AAATTTGAGCACGATTTTTATAAATTTAGTGACAATATCCAGAAACTTGAAACACATTATACTTTCTACCTATCAAAAAAATCGTAATATAAAAATGTTAAGTCAGTAAATAAAAAAATACACATAACACACAGAATCTCTCCCAAAGAGGTAGACAGTTATCTGTAGTTTTCTGGTTATCTACTCCTCAAAAAAACAAAACATAAGAAAAATGTACACAAACTATAATAAAATTCAAACATTCAGAATAAAAAATTACAGAGATATAAAAACTTTTAAAATATGTCCTAGATTGCAATGGATACCACCAAGTTAATCAAAATGTCAAAATGTTTCCTAGAAACTAGACAACAATGGATTATTTTTACGCAAATTATCTCAACTCTGCAATTTGAAACAAATACTGTATTACACAAAAAAATCAGAAAAAATAAAAGTAAAAAGTATTAAAAAAAGTATGCGACAATTAATGAAAGTGTAACGTCTGTCCCAGATTGCAGAGAATAATTTGCAACTGGAAACCAAATAACACCACATGGTTGCTAGGTAACGGAAAATTATTATTTTGACAGTTTAACCGTGACTTAGCAACTAAGTTTGTTACTTAGCAACTTCAAATTGTTATTTAGCTTGTTGGCCAATGAAATGTTTGTGAAATATTTGAGATATCTGGCTCGTCGCGCGTCCCCTCCCGTCCTTTGTTAATTCCGTCACAAAACGGTTTCACTTTCAATTACTCAACTCAATTGAGCCAAATCGTCGACGTCTCAATCGAAATGTTGGAAATGGGTTTGTGGTTGAATTTTCAGGTGCGCCGGCGGTGTTATTTATGAAACTGCATTCAGTGCGTCTTGTGAATTAATAGTGTGAGATATTTGAATCCGGTTAAGGATAACCGAGTCCGGTGAAATGTCAGGTTTACAAGGATCTCGTATTAGGGAAGCGCAGCGCGCTTTGTTGGGAAACGGTTCGAGTAAATCATAAATAATTGTGCACCGGTGGTATTGGATAGCGCTATCGCTCGTAAATTACAAACGAAGAAACTTTATGTAATCACGAAAGCCGGACTGCGCTTCGCAGCCGGATTCAGCCGGATAAGAATATAAATAATTGCTTAATGACGAGGATTTTCAGGGTGGAGCGAATTTGGGACATGAATTATTTATTGAAAATAACATACAACATGTTTGCCGTGACGATTTACAGCCACGACTTTCGATTTTTGCACAAACAAATTTTTACGGACAAAAATGGAATGAATTATAAATCATTCTTAACATCCACAAGATTTATTATACAGGTTGATTTTTTTAAAACAAGCCTCCCTGGATATCTCAGAAAAATAAACAAAAATTAGAAAAGCCCTAAACAGTGTACTTTTGAAAATTGTAGTATCAACCCCCTTTGTAATACAAACCACCCTTCCAAAATTTTAGTTGTGATACCTAAAAATCAAAGGTATTTTGACCAGGAATTCGGGTGTTTTGTGTGTGTTTCACCCTGTAAAGCTGTGTTTTCGTAAAAAATTAAACAGTACAAAAGAGCATTTTGTTATGGTGTTATGGAATTTGCCGCGTTTCTTGGCTGCGAAATTAAATGTCACAAAAATATTGCAAAGTTGGCGATAAATTCAATGTTGAAATTATTTCCGATAGTTTTACGACGGTTTTAATAACTGTCGCAGAGGAAAAGTTTACGTTTCCATTTGGAATTCGCGCAAATTAATTTTAATTTCTTCCTAATTTATCTCCATTTTTTGTAAACAACCATTAACATTTTTCTCTCACAACTCCAAAGAAATTTCCATCAAATTCACTTCTAAGCAGCTAAAGTCGGCCTCGAATTGCCGTGCTTGCTAGCTAACAATTATCTTCATTGTGACTTCTTTTGTTAACTTAATCTATAACTACATTTCACCGCAATTTGAAACACATTTTAACCTAATAAGTATCATTATGTTTTTAACCAGAAGCAATAAAACGTGTTTTCTTTTAATCTGCTCTTTAAAAATCATTTTTTTAATTTAATTTCAATTAAAAAAAGTTTTTCAAAATCGTCTGTGAAAAGACTAAAATTGACACAGAAGTGGTTCATTCTACAATATTGGACAACAGTATTATCAAGACATAGTCCTATTGCTAACGTATATGTGGATATAAGTATGGGTTTTATTTTCTACAATTTTTTTCCCAGTTTCGTAGTTTTGTATGGTGGTTAATTATTGTGCAGTTTATGAACAAAATAACACTATTGAAACAAGAAATCTGACAACACTGAAGTGAACTGTCAATCGAGAACTATCATGATAACTTAAGCGCCAAAAATAGTTTTTGCGACTTCGGTAAAATTTTTAATATACACTAAAGAAATTTTTCATAACTCATGTGTTTTCGTAATGAAAAATAAAACTTAAGTGTCTTGACACATAAATAACTATTCTTTAAACATCTTTTTAAATACTTGTAAATCGCAGAAATAAATTTAGTAAATTTCCAAAAATTTGTAAACAAAATTTTAAATTATTATTAATTTGAAGAAAATCGATTGTTTCCTATTTACTCAATTTTGACCACTTACAGCAAGCAATTTAGAACAGATTTTATATTACACTTTTTTTATTAAAAAATAAGGCATAAATATTTCATTAGACGTCAAAGATACAGAGTATCCGGAAAGTCGTGCACCTCCTTGAAAGGGAGTAATTATCTAGTCCTCCAGAGTACTGAAAAACGGTTTAAAAAATTCTATCTGTCAAAAAATTTTGACATTTATTTTTTGACATTTGACATTTTTTGATGTCTAGTTAATGATACTGATGATCTTGTATAGGTTTTTTTTACAATTATTTAGTAAAGGTTTAAATATTTTGCCAATAAAAGCCACAAATAACATTGCACAGAGTTACAATTTAGGATACAGCTTCATTGTTTCCTTTTTTAATAGCCTGTACCAAAAAAACTTGGCAAGTTATTTTTCCAACAGAAATAAATAGAGTCAAAGTGCAAAATTGAAATTTTTTAAACATTTTTTCCATGTTACTTGAAATTTTTCTCTGGGGCGCGAGTTCTGGCGCACCCTGTATACTTAGAATTAAACAGTCAAAAAAAAATAAAACGTTGTGTAAAATGATATTTCAATAAATAAGTTTTCAATACCCAAAAGCACATATTTTGTGAAGAATGGTGTATTTTGAGGGTTTTACCACAAGCCGTGTGTGAAACACGTTTTTCCACACTTGTTAATTTGACGTTTACAGGTTAAGAGGCCAAAAATATGTTACCCAATTAACCAAAAAAATAATAAATAAAATGTCTCTAGTGTAGTAGGCTGTATACCTAATTATAGTTTCTTAACCAGTTTATAGTTATCGCTGCACACTAGGATATTTAGAATTTCAGCCTAATTATCTATGGAACATACATATACCTAATATACTTTACGAGAGTTTTACGACATTATATGTACTTAATACCTTTTAATGTTTTTCTTTTAACCACAACTTGGAAACAATTGTTTTTTATAGCTAACGTCTGTTTCAAATTGATGTCGACAATAGTTCTGCAACTTTTATACATCTTTTCCTCAGTTGACGGTAGAAGAAAAAACTAGTGGCCCGGCCTTAAAAACCCGCTCTTGTTTCGCTTCACTAATTAATTCCAGTGACACCTTAAATGTCAGTGATTTTTTCACCTTCACTGTTGTCAATTACCCCTCGACGAAACGGCACGACCGCCATCGAAACAGTAGACAGCTCCTTTAATTACAGCAATCGATAATTTCAGTCACGTTTCTCAGAAAGCACTCCTACGCGCTTTCATCTCATCGTCGAGAAAAAAATCAAAAATTTTCTAATTCCAATTGCAACAGAGCCCTCAGATGCCTCGCTTACATAATCACCAGGAAACCGCAATTACGATCAAAACCCGAGATAAAACACGGGCCTTGATATTTAAAAAACATTTTGGGGACCGGTTTTTCAGGAAAATCCTACCTATGGACGAGGTGTAGACGGCGTTGACGACAGGTTGTGCGTAAATAGGCTTAACCACTGGCGCCACCTGTTTGACGATAGCGGGAACGTGTTTAACAGGTGGGAGATGCAAAGATGGCGCGCTTTTCGACACCACGGCGTTGAACCCGTTCACAGGGTCGGCAACGTAGTCCACTGTACGGATGCTGCCGTCGGGCTCCACCAGCGAGTACTGCCCTTTGACGACGTCGCCGTCGCGGACTTCCGTCTGCGCCTTCTGGTCACCAGTGTGTGGGTCTGACACACCGTATTTGAACGCGTATTTCGGGTGTGACTGTAAAAATTAAAATAAAAGCAAAAAAATCTCGACTGGGGCACTCTGTATACATCCAAAAATAAAAAAATTACAATTTTACAAACTGTTATAATACGAAAAAAAAAAAATAGAAGATGTTCCAACTGAAACATCCTGTATGAAATTCAAATCTAAAATTTTATTTTATTTCAAGAATCGAAAATTTTTAAATGCCGTCTTTGACTGCATTAAATAATAATAAAAAAAATAGGGCCTCAATAAGATCTCAGTTGGGACATCCTGTATCAAGTTAAGCCACAGCAGGGGCGGATCCAGAAATTAATTTTGGGGGGGGGACTATCTAAAAATTTTTAGAATGATGAGGGTATACAGTGAGCGGCAAAATTATAGAACAATCTTATTTATTAAAACTGAAAATATGGTGTTTTGGAAAAATGCTCAAACAGGTCAATTTTCTTTTTAAAAAATACAAAATTTTTAACTTGATTTAAAATTCTATCTTTGTTTTTTATTGATATTATTTTACTTTTTGGATAATTTTTTTTTGAGAATTTTATGTAATACATAATATTTTGGTGTTGCCATTTCGATAATTAAAAAATCTATCGAATTGGCTAAATAAATTAGGGGTTTCCAATTATGTATAGGTAAGGTTTTCTAGCGAGTTGGTAAAGTTCATTATTCAAACAGATATAAACTTAATTTAATTAGATACCTAAGATGTGGCCCAAAGAAAATTACAATTGATGATTTCTTTTTAAATTAGTAAAAACTAAGTAAGTATCGAGAGATCAAGATAATTTGTCCTTGTATCCGAAAACGTATGTCCTGTGCGTATGTCTGTGAAACGTCGAATAAAATGACAAGTGGAAAGGTAAAATCCCATGATCAAAAAGATAATTAAATTTATGATTTACCTTCAAAAAAGAACGGTCTTATTATTATACGTCGGCGACTAACTCCAGCCCATTTTGCCGTTTTAGACTTGTCATTTTATTTGACGTTTCATGTGCAGTTAGTTCAAAAACAGACATACGTACAGTTGCGGAATTAGAAATTCGAGCAGTACCTATTTTTCGGTCACTTTAAAAAGTTCACTGTAAACTACCTTTTACTCTCATCATAACTGACATTTGACAATGAAACTTATTTTTATTTGTTGCTAAATTTGTTAATTAAACAATTTGTCTGTCTTAGGAAATTTATTAATTAAACTAAGTGTAATTAAATCATCGCTTTGATCTGCTGACTACCCCGTTATTATGCCACAAATCACTAATTTTGAAAGTAAATAAGTCAAAATGACATAAATATGACAAGAGTAAAAAATGAGGTTATTAATACAGGGTTATTCACGGGAGGGTTATTTCTGATTTTTTTTGCCGCAACCAACAATACCAATCTCACAAACTACTAAATTAAATATGTTATTTCTTTAAAATTACAATTCAAAGTAAGTTGGATAAATTTGCCAGAAATGTCAGATTGACAGATAACCTATATTTAATCAAAATTCAACATATAAATTAACAAGTTAAGTTAATATAAAAGGTGTTTGAAGTGTCTAGCATCGACTTCTAAACATGCTCCTAGTCGGTTGAACATAACAAAACATGTCGCATCGTTTGAGTGATAATTTTTTTACTATAATGTCACAGAGACAAGACTAATAACTAACAGCTATCGTGGATATTTAGTTATAATTATTTTCAAAATTTGAAATCAAGAAGTTGTTGCAATATGTATATGGGTTGCGGCAAAAACAAATTCAGAAATAACCCTCTCGTGAGTTTACATTATAAAAATGACAGTACTGCCTGAAATTTTAATTCCGCAACTGTACGTTTTCGGATCCAAAAATGATTACAAATTATTTTGATTTCTCGGTATATGTATGATTTGTACAGAGTGGTGGTAAATGATTTTCATCTAGCCAGCTTTGGAGTTTTTTTGCATGTAACTTTATTTGTGCCGCTCTACTTTTTTGAAAGCTCTAGTTCTGTCATTAGTGTCACTTATTAATTAATAATAAATTGTTGTTGATTAAATTTTTATTGTTTCAACTAATTTCCAATAATAATTGATAATAATGTATACTTTGGAAGAAAACAAGTCTATTTTCGAAGTGGACGCTTAGTAAACGGCGATTTTTTAATTTTGAGTTCCAACAAGTAGGAACCCCTATTCTCGTAAAGCGGCATTTTTTATTTTACATGGAAAATTCACAGCTGGCTAGATGAAAATCATTTATAACCACTCTGTATTAATAAGTGTGATTTAAAAAGAATTCTAATGTTTTTATTAAAAAAAACTTTAGGTCATAAGGTTTTTATATCAAAATTTAAATATAAAAAATTGAAGCTTATGGTGCAAGTTTGGGGCCTGGCCCCCTTGAGCCCTTGAGCCACAGCCTGCTATTTTGGATTGCAAATTGTTTATTTCGTGATCAGAAAAAAACCTAAAAATTTTATTTCTTCCATTTTACGAGTTATAAAACGTCGACAATAACCAATAGCCGTTACACGCGCATAAAAACCATGATTAGCGGTCCATAATATACCGAGTGTTTCGTAATCTAGGTCGGGAAACGCGATTTCCCAGCGAAAAATCCCACACTTTCCCAACTTACGTAATAATCGACGGCATGTTGCCCTCGACCGACGACCGCCGCCGCCACTGCCCCATGTATAAAAATGGCCGCCACCCAAAACTACAACAAACAAATTAAAAAAATAACCCCAAGTCTCACTCACGCACCTTCATTGTGTTTTTCTTGAAAAAAAAATTGACTGCGAGTCTCCTAGCCTACTTGGTATATATAAGAACCTCCCAGTAGACAATGCATATTGTCTCCCCCACCCCCGCCAGTGGCGCAACAAGGTCGCACCACTTCATATTTCCAAAAAAATCAAATTGAACTGTGATTAGTGTTAATTTCGATAATTGTGGGTAATGAAGAGTCGCTTTGTTTTGGGCGAAAGTGAAGAAGTTTGGACGGAAGTTGAATTATGTAACTGGTGGTAACAGTGATTTGTTTGTAATTAAACGGCCATTAAGTAATCTCTCATTAATTCAATTGGAGGTTGGATTTAAATAAAATCAGCAGTCACGCGATTTGATTCATTAATATTTAATATAATCCGGATTTTTCCGAGTTTTTGATAAGGGACTTGTAGGAAAACGCACACTTTTGTTGCGTCTATTTTTCGACAATGTTTCGTCCGTTGTAATGATTTCTCTCTCCTCAAGGTTCGTTTCACAAGAGATAAGACGAGAGATTAGCGGCCTTATGAATAATAGTCGTGCGATTTTCGCCCATTCATAACACAAGTGTTGATCCGCTGATTAATTATGTATTAATGCGCCACAACTACGCACTACTAAAGAAAAATTTTTAATAACAAAAATAAATCAAAGTAAAATTTAACAAAAATCACCCCCTGTATGTTATTCGCAATAAAACCGCTAAAATATATTGCACGGTCCATAAATTCCTTTAATAGCACCTATCAAAAAAACAATTTTAGCCAAATATATAAATAAAAATTCCTTGTTAATATTCAGTTAGACTGGTCAAGATGAAAGCAATTTTTCTCGCTGTAGCACTCGCTGTGATTTTGTGTCCGTCGGATGGTAAGTGAATAATTATGAAACAAGTCTCCAAATGCAATTTTCAGGTTCAGGGTACCGCCAATGCGGCTTTTGCCATAAAAAATGCTCCCCCAATTACAATAAAAAGCTGATTCCTTGCACCTCACACTGTTTTTCTGTAGCTTTTAAAGGTGAATTTCTTGTGAAAGTGATGATTTTTCCTAATAATTGGCTTGTAGACGGAGATGTTTATAGAGGGTGTGCCCCAACCAACAACGCCGAATTGCCACAAAAGTGTTACAAATGGCGGACGACGCATGGGGGAATCAAGGAGTGTTACACTTGTGACAGAGATTCTTGTAACATTACACCTCTTTAAAAAGAGCAAAATGTTCTAGCTTGAGGCCAATTAATAGAAAGTTTGTGACAAAAATTGTTTTATTTCAAACTCAAGAAATTTAAAAAAATTGTTTTTTTTTTAATTAATATTTTCATTAAAAAAGTCACATTATTTTGGAATAACGTTTCGTTATTACTTATTACCAACATAAAAACTTGGCGTTTAAAATAATTATGGCTAAAATTAAGAATTTGCATTGCTACCAACAGCCACACGCAATAATTTGCATAATGAATACCTCATTTTACGAATGAGATAATTATAATGTAAGTTCTGGCCTAAAAGTCAGTAAACTCTTCTTCTTAAAAAAATGAAAGAATTAGAGAAAAAAATACAATCCTAAGTGGTACTAAAAGCGATTTTCTGAGATTAGCTTAGCTTATCTCGTTTCAACAAACAAAAAGTGAAAGTTTCCCTCAGATGTGAATCTCATTTGACATTAAAAAAGTTACCCAAACTGTCTTTATCAAAATCTGCTTAATAAATAATTAATTCAAACACAAAGAAACTCGATTTAATTCTAACAAAACACTTGCCAATTATCCAAACCCGTGTTTTCGTCTTGTTACGTGAGAATTACGAGAAATTAGAAACCAGAGCAAGGTCACACTTTTTATTCAAAAACTACAAACATTTCCTGCATTTAATGGCTCAATAGTGTCCATGGCCGAGGAAGCCGTGCGCCGCCGCCACCACGGGGGCGGCATGCACCGCCTTCCCAATCCTTGTGACCACCGCATTGAACCCATTATGGTCATCGGCGGCGTAATGAACCACGCGAATTGTGCCATCAGGTTCGGCCACCGAGTACGACCCTTTGACCACATCTCCGTCTCTGACCTCGTGCTGGGTCTTGTGGTCGCCGGTCAACCCATCGGCCACCCCATAATTGTACGAGTAGCGCGGATGGGCCTGAAACGGAATTTCAGTTCTTGGAACATTTTTGATCAAAGTTTTACGTAATAATCGACGCCTTCGAGGGGGTCGTGGGGCACGGGGCCGTAGCCGTGATACCCTGGAACCACCCCACCGGTCACCATGCTGAAGACGACGGCCAAAACTGCGACCTGTGGAAACATCATTAATTGGGTTGTAGGCAACCAGTTATACACAATCGTGATATGTCACTCATCCTTTCACTTGTTAAATACCAACTTTGGAAAAAATTAATACTCACGAAGAGGAAAGCCATGTTAGGGTCTGTGGTTGCAACTGTACTGAAACTCCTCCCCAATGTTGGGTATTTATATGGAAAAGAACTCCTTCACTCATCTCAAGGTTTTCAAGGGATTTTTTTTGCGAAAAATCCGATTCCTATTCTTGCAGCCGTCTATTATGTTGCTCCATAATTTTAATAGGTCGTGAATGGTGTGTGAACTTTACTGTGCTCTTAATTCTAGACATTAATCGCTTTCTTATCAGGTGTTTAAGAGCCTGTGAGAAAATTGTGTCAAACTGATTAAAAAAATGACTTGATGCAGTTGAGGGCTCGGCTTCGCCTCGTCCGTCTGCATAAACTTGAACTTGAACAAATAATTCATGCAAATATTTTCAATTACATAAAATTAACGCTTGCATTTTTCCCCAATTCTTACACAATTAGTTAAATAATTATAATTATCTAAAAATTTCTGGGAATGGTATTTTTGGTATAAAAGACACAGTATGGCCGTATAAATCAGTTCAATTCACACATTCAATCACTACCAAAGAAAAAAATGTTTTCGAAGGTGATTTTTTCCAATTTTCTAATAAATTTTTTCAGCTTTTGACCCTTTTGGGTCCGCTTACGTCCAAGCCCAAGGCTACGCCTCCTATTCGGCCGGTTTGGGAGGCTTCTCCTTGAGTGAGCACCATCTCGAAAAGATGCACCACCCCAAGTACTCCTTCAAATACGGAGTTGAGGACAAACACACAAACACATCACTAACCAAATTTTTTCACTTGTTTTATTCAAATAAAGTTTATTTTTTTACTTTTTTGTTTTTTTTTTATACAAGGTTAGTCACGAGAGGGTTATTTCTGAATTTGTTTTTGCCGCAACCCATTATACATATTTCAACAACTTCTTGATTTCAAATTTTGAAAATAATTATAACTAAATCCACGATAGCTGTTATTAGTCTTGTCTCTGTGACATTATAGTAAAAAAATTATCTCTCAAACGATGCGACATGTTTTGTTATGTTTACCAACCGACTAGGTGCAGGTTTAGAAGTCGATGGTAGACACTTCAAACACCTTTTATATTAACTTAACTTGTTAATTTATATGTTGAATTTTGATTAAATATAGGTTATCTGTCAATCTGACATTTCTGGCAAATTTATCCAACTTACTTTGATTTGTAATTTTAAAGAAATAACATATTTAATTTAGTAGTTTGTGAGATTGGTATTGTTGGTTGCGGCAGAAAAAAATTCAGAAATAACCCTCCCGTGAATAACCCTATATTACAATAAGGTCGCTAGGTTACGGTGCATAAAAATTGAAAATAATTACGTTGCTATGGAAATACCATAGCAACAACGTATAAAATGTAAAGTTGCTAGGTGACAGTTTGCATTGTCATGGAAACGTCTACGTAATGCGTAGCCGTTTTGATGTTCAAATACGTATTTTTAAAACTCTGAAATAATAATTGTACCAATTGTTGCGCCACGTTGTAATTATTTTAATAGCTGTAGTAAAAATAGTAAAGTTCGTAGCCTTAACATTAGCTCCGCAATGAAAGAGCACCAATAAATATAAAATATTTTATATTGAAATAAATAATTAAATAAATAGTTACAAATTATTGTGTGGGAAGTAATAGCGATAGGGCGGATATCCTTGAGTCCCCGGAAATTGGTTCAGCGGTTTCAGCATCGATAATTTCAGGCCCTCCTCTTGCGTTGCCCTGAAAAAGCCTTCAGCATTGGGCAGTAAAGCGGTGGCAGTCACCTGTAGCCCCTGTGGTCGGCGACGTAGCGCACCATCCTGACCCTTCCCTCGGGATCGACGTAGCCGTAGCTGCCCGTCACCGTCCCGTTGGGATGTCGCTCCTCGTCCCGGAATTGGACGTTCCCGCTGGCGGGATCATCGATATCGTAGCCGAAGGCGTAGGTTCCGGGTCCTGAAGGTTCCCGGAAATTGTAGCTGTTCCAGTCCGCCAAGGATAATCGCGCGGCGGGAGCGCACATTCGCAGCCAAACGACCAACTGAAATTTTTTTTCAGATCACTCGCCCATTATTATATTTAAATTTTCGACGCGGCCCACAAGAAAATCCGGATTATTGGCAGTTATCGGTTATAAATTTCGGTGGGAAATTATAGCGCGACACCTTTATTATGCAAATGCGGGCAATGGGGGCGGCCAGTGGCGGCGGGGAGTTTATTACTTGTTGATTTTAAGTGGAGAAAATTCAGGTAATTGAGACGTAAACGTCTTTTTCGTGTTGGCGAGTTTTATTGACAAGTTGGCGAAGATCGGATTACTGAATAAATTAATTGGGAAAAAATTCTAAATATAGCAGGCAGGATGCCTCGAGAAAATAAAAAATTATTTAAATACAAACCCACATGTTTTTTGCTAATTAGAAAAAACGCTTTTACATCGGAAAATTAATCTTCCTCTTGTTTTTGATAATCATTAAAATCAAAAGACTCGGAGAAAAATAATTAAAAGTAAAGTTTTTGCCAAAAGTAACAAAAACAACCATGATTAATATTATTAGTTTGATTTAGTATGATTTAGTAGAGATTTGACTTATTTTTTGTTTAAAATAATAAAAAAATGAAGAAAAAAGTGATTTTTTAAAAATGATGAATAAAATATTTTAAGAAAAACAGTCAATTTTCTAAAGAAAAAACTGTAAAACTTGATAAATGACTTGTTTTTACAACAAACTTAAAAAAACTTGTTGTTTTTCTCTTTGCAACAAAGTTTAATCCTTGGTTAAAAAAAAATAAAAATGTAGCCAAAAACGCAATTTTCAACAATCTTTTTTATACAGGGCGTTTCTGAACTCCACATTGGAAATAATTTTAGGAGTTTTAACAATGATATTTATCTAAAATTTTGTTTATGGCCATAATAAGTTAGCTCCTCTGCAATAAAAATATTTTCAAAATGGTGGCACTTCCGGAAGGGAGTACTAACTGCGTTATTATAAATAGAAAGCGCTTTTTATTGCGTTTTTTTGAGAGAGTTTTTATTAGCCTTCCCTATACCTAAGTTTAACCGTTTTTGAAATAAACTGCTCCACACAAAGGTTAAGGAAGTGTGCAATAATTACAATAATTAATTAAATTAATAAATTATTAAAAAATAAATTAATAATTAATTAAAAGTAAGATAAAGGCAGATATCTCTTTACTTTTTTGTTTTTGCTGGATTCCACAATGCTTAGAAGAATAAAATTTGTTGTTGTAAAAATAATGCGACTTCCTTAACTTTTGTGTTACTGATATTTAGAGATTTTTGAAATTTTTTGGATTTGCAACTTTCTCTTTAAAAATCGATGACTCTACCATTTTTAATTATCTTCGAATCGTATTTGGGTAGATGAAAGAGAAAGGTTAGATCCATTTCTTGGATGTATTCATAATTGCAAAAATAATTATTATATCCCCAAAAAAGTTATGTTTCAAAAACTTTAAACACCTTTAATCGTAAAGTATCCATTTTAGAAAGACAAGTCAATTTAAAAAAAACTGCAAAAATGATTTGTTTTGGGAAAAATGTACAGTTCTACTTTTTTATGTTCTCGCTTTTTTTCTTAGTATTGCAAAAAATTGTCATAAAAATTCTGATTTTCATGTAATTTTACTTATAATACGATTTTTGCTCTACTTTTGAACTGTTTCTTATTTGCATTAAATAAAATCATAGAAAAGCAAACTTCTGGAAAAATCTAACTTTTTATTTTTTATACAAACGTGCCAACGTAACTTTTTTATGATAATTGCAATAAAACGCAACTTATTTTGTAATTTTGTTCCTTTTTTGTCAGTTATGTAAAAAAAATATTTTTCTTTCAGATTTGAAACTTTACTCACCAACGCCAGCACGCCCGTCATCATTCCCTCGCCCCTAATCACTCAACTCCCAACAATGGTCCCGCACAGTTCATTACCACGAACTTGTCAAAAAGCTGCCTCTTGTCCCATCTTATAATCTCAAAACTCCTACCCGAGTAGAGGTGGGACACCAAAAACTCCACCACATCGACAAATTGCAAACCAATTAAACCACGAATTCGCGTGCTACTAGACGAAGAAAAATCTCAGAAAAAAAATCATAGCCTCAAGAAACACAATGTTAGTGACCCCAAAAAAACTCAAATTGGGATTACTCTTCCTACATCGACATTGCCTCCTTTTATTGCCCTCATATATAATAAATACCGCTATCACATAAAATATTTTCTCGAATTAGTCAGAGGTGGTAAATACGCTAGTTTTTTTATTACCAGTGGGCGGTTATGGCCGCCGCTCCACATTGATTGATCTTATCACGAAATTAGACGAAGCGTGTTTAAAATGCCGCCCCCACCAGATCACCAAATCGAACCATTGTGGGTGATGCTGTAATTACCCAGAGATGGGTGATTTACGGCTCAAATTGAATGTGTTTACACGGGAAGAAAACGTGTTTTAGTTTGTTTGAGAATCAAGGCGGCGGGGTATAACCACTGAACAAATACTGAAAGCAAACACTTAGTGGTGTTCGGGAGGTCACTGACTGTGAGTTTTGTGCATTTTTACCGAGAAAAATGGGCATTTTTCAAAAAATAAAATAATTTAATAATTTAGGCAACCAACAATACATTTTTTTAATTATATCAGAAATTTTTATTATTTTGACGATAGACACTCTCTAAACTATAATGAAACCTAAATATAACTGTAATGTAAAATTATTAGCTAGAATTTTTTGTTTACTATTTGGCTGAAACTGAAAGAAAAACTTTAAAGCGAGAAAAGTAACAAAACAAAGTGTTTTCAATATGTTTAAAGTATGTAGGGTATTGGAAAAGCGTCACATTGATAACGTGACACGTAAAATCGGATAAAGCAAAGAGGGGTTCAAAAAAATAAACACTTTATTAACGAAATTACAAATATACATGGTGATTGTGTAAAACTTTAGTGATGGTATGTCCCATAGGCCAATGGTATGGCGGGCTGCGGATGCACGGCATGCCCCGTCCTGGTGACAATCGCATTGAACCCGCTGTGCCCATCGTCCTGGTACTGGACTTTCCTGATGGTACCATCGGGTTCCACCAAGGAGTACTCGCCTTTGACCACATCGCCATCTCTCTCCTCTGTCTGTTCCTTGATATCACCGGTATGCCCATCTTTCACTCCATACTCGAAATGATACTTGGGATAGGCCTGTACCAAATAAGACCAAACGAGATTTCTCGTTGAAACTACTCACCACTGGTTCGACTTTGGCCAAAATGGGCCCTCCGTAGCCCTTATATTCCAGCGAGTGGGCCGCCACAGCCAAGAACGCCACTAAAAAAAACTGAAAAGGATTTTCAGGAAGGTTTTACGGTTCGTCCACGTACCTTGTCCATTTTGCTCGAATAATGCACTACTAGCACGAGAGAAAATCCTTACGTATTTATACTGACCTGGGGTGGCCCCCTCTGCCGCCAAGAGACACCCAGGCCGTGTGCGAGAGCCCCAAATTTGGGGAAATTGCAAAACAACCACCACAGGCCTTGCATTGTCTCAATTACAAGGAACTTCCTGACATTGAAACGGCGAAAGGATCACAATCCTGCGTCCTGCTGCGAATTACATAAGAGAGTTTACTGAACGTTTTATTGCCCCGTGTGATTCATGAGGGCAGGAAGTAATGCATATGCACAGCCAACTAGCTCGCGCTTTATGTCCATATCAAATATAGCGCTGGAGAGAAATTTTATCGCGTTTCTTTCTCACTTAATTTTCAGTTATCTCAATGACGCATATTTCATCCTTTGCACGCGCAATTTCGCCCGGAAAATAAACACAAATCATGGGTTTCACATTTTTATTTCAACAAAAACACTTAAAAATAAACAACAGTGTATCATTTTATTTCAAAATTCAAGTGGCCTCTGACTTTGAAATTAAGTTGGCACTATAATGTAATGTTGCCAACTTAGTTAAACAGTGGCGGCTCGTGTATTTTAACAGTCTCATGGTTTGACGTACTCGACGGTGGCCCTGAAGCCGTGTGTGCCATCGGCGGTGTATTTAACAATTCTTAGGATGCCATCGGCTTGTAGTACTTTATATTCGCCTAAAACGCTGTCTCCGTCTCTTGTCTCTTTATGAGCTTGCGAATTTCCGGTGACAGGATCCTCCACTCCGTATGAATATAAATAGTCCGGTTTGGCGACGTAATCGAGACTATAATGCTGGTTGTGGTAGTGACTAGGGACCTGGATTTGGTGAATTTGGCCACTGACGGGCCCCCGAAATTTATAAAATGAGTAACTGCCATCGTCTTCTGGTGTCACTAAAGGCAAACAAACCGTCTGAAAGCAAAAAATTATTACTTCGTATCGACTTATTACACGAACTTACAAGAAACACGAGGACTTGCATCTTGTCTAGCACTAAGTCGGAATATTTGAAGCGGGATTTATATCTTTGCAAATTGTGAAATTTTAATGGTGGATGATTTTTTTGGGAAATTATTACAAATGTGATGAATTATCTAATGGTTGGAATGGTTTAATGGGTCAATTGTGGTTTTACGTGGTACCACCATAAGTTAGAACACGTCGGCGCTCGACTGGAAAAAATCGCATTATTGGCCATTTTTGATCTTAGATTGGCAACTTTGACTGTCAAGCTCAACCTGTCAAACTTTTATAGGCAACTGTCATTCATTTGCGACGGCCAACCCCTGACTTACTCGTCGCCGAAAACATCCTAACGGCCCCTAATTCAGTCTTGCCACTAAATTTTACAATTACTTTTTACAATTTACAATTAATTAATAGAACATGAAATTTAGTCAATGTTTACTTCATTAAATTGTGTTTATTTGTAGAGTTTTATTGCAATGATCAATCATACAAAACAAATTGCGTTAATTACACAAATTGTGAAAAATGTAAATGTCTGTAAACACGAAATTTTTGCGCATTTTCTTTTCGGTTGCAAAACACATTTCATCTTACATAAAAGTGCAGCCCACGTTTTTGAACTAGTGCAAACTTATCTAACACGATACGCAACCGCAGATTCTTTTACTCTCTTTTCCCCGAGTTAAAATAATAGTCTCTCGATTAAATAATCGTCTTTATCGCTGCGACCTGTTTGGAATATCAATGAATATCTCCATTGAATGATAAAATAATCAATCCGGAAGGCCACAAATCGATCGAAGAAAGGCACCGGTCGTTGCCACCATAACTCACGTTTAGTCTCCTTGACTGAAGATTAATTCTTCTTCGGTTGTGAGAAAGTAGGCCATGACCTTTGAGGGCCTGAAGAATACACATCGCTTGCATAATTATCATCTGAATTGCATTTATGTCACTCGCATGCAACCTCAGAGAGTTATTGCACATTTTGCCCGAATTAACTCAAGTCGGGTCTAGGGCGATTTTTTTTATAAAGTTTGCACAATTGTGGTGTTTTACAGTCAACAAATGCGCGCCTGCTAGATAAACCTTCCTCTGACCTTGACGTGAAACGAATTTTATTTACTTGCTACGCCACTGGTGTTCATTGTAAAATTGACCGCACTAACAAATAAATAGTCACAAAGACCCAAAATAATTTGCAATTCTGAGGCGTAACCGTTGTTGAAACTGACTTTTCTTATTCTTAAACTCAAAGTTTGTGACCTTGAAATAACTCCACGTGAATTGAGTTTTATTTACAGTTTGCTTTAACTTTACATAAAGATTATCAGACGGAGAAACTCGTATCACTGTTTTTTTTTCAATTTCTGGTTCCGAAGTAACCCAATTTTGAATTTTGAAACGCTTTTTTTACCCGTAAGTACGCCACTGGTGTCCGAAAATCGGTCATAGGCTCCTTTGATCAGCCCGCTTTTGATGATTTTTTCCATTCCAAATTTAAATAAACAGTGATAAAAATTTTTATTACGCTAATAGCGAGATTACATTGTGAAATATGTCCCCCATCGTAGAAAAAGATAAAGTCCGGAAGAGAAAAATTGGTTCAAATTTTCTCTAAATTAGTAAATAAGTGTGCTAACGAAAAAATTATGATAATAAATTTATTTTAATGTAGTGCGTCTGTACAATTTTATTATTATTGAGGCGCCCTCGACCTGTCCGAAGTTAGTCGCGTTTGTGCCATCGTGCTGTCAACTTCTGTCGCTAGCTTTACGCCGCTTATTCAGCGAATAAAATGTGATTTTTGAAATAAATAGGTAAATTCGCGTGGGGAGTCCCCCGGAAATTGTTCCTTCTTCGTGTTTGTGTGTTGCGTGTGACAATCGTGTGATTGTTTGTGAAATTTGAGGTTAGGTTGTCACATCTTGTAAGGGGGCGTCGTTCTGTTTCAGGGGGTGCAGCAACGACGGACGAGTGATGTATTTGCAATGCATTCGCCACGTAAGAAGTGATCATGTCGAGAGTGAAGTGTTGGGGAAAAATGGCACGAGTACATGTGTTGTGTAGTCTCTGGAAACACAGTAAATGGAGGACTAACGTTGCGAGCTAACGCTTTGTCACATTCCATAGTCTTAGTGCCATATTCCGAGATACCTCATATGTAAGTCAATCGGTGATGGGAGAAGACAGCAGGCCCCTTCTGGGGGTCCCCAAGATACACAAGGTCTTGCGCAAACTGCGACACAAACACCATTGCGCCTACAAGGCTTCCACCCTCAAGAAATGCGTCGTCTTCGTCATTCTACTCAGCATTATACTCATCATCATCTACTCGCAGTACATAGGGCACTCGCCCTCCTATCTCACAGGGTGAGTACACCTGAGGTGATCGGACCCACAATGTGCATTTTTTAATTAATTCAATTGACTATTAATTCCGGTGAGTGCGTTCGGAGGTACTCAAGCCGTAAATAAGATTATTACAAAAAAATTTATTGCTAACAGCGCGAACGAATTTTTAGTTCCCATGACTTGAAGTTGGCCGTGACAATGAGTTTTTACCAAGAAAAATTAAGTTTGGTTACGCAATATGCACAAAAATATTTTTTTCCGATCATAGATGATAGGGCGAAGGTTAAGTGTTAAAAAAATTGTTTAACTTTGTAGTTTTATTTTTATTTTGCGAGGGACACTAGAAATGTCACAACTTTGTTTTTTGCTCCAAATATTGACATTTGAAACTAAACTTTAGATTATACAATTCAATTTTTGATCAAAGTGGCCTACGAATTTGAAAAAAAATAGGTTGGCAACATTGGAGATACGGAGAATCGTCTCCATGTTTTTCAGCGTCACCAACTTGTCACGGGTCACTTAATTAATTTTTTAAGACAAATAACAATGATTTTCTGTAGTTATTAACAACCTGAAAAAATAATTTTACAAATGTAGGAATGGGTAAGACGTCAAAATCTGATATTACAAACCACAGCTTCCTTGATTAATTAAAGAAGGAAGCTGTGTTACAAACTATCAAATTTAAAATTTTTGTATAATATTATGTTCGGTTGCTAAATAACGTTAAAATTAAAATTGGTATTATTTTACCGTTACCTAGCAACTGACCTTTTCAGGAAGATGAAAGGTATGAAACCAAGCGTTTTTTGCACAATTACTGTACGAAAAAAATATTAAAATAAAATAAAATTTTTGGAAAATTCTTTTAGTTTTTGAGTTTTGCAATTTTTTGTTAAACAGCAGCTCAATATAAGATCTTTGTTACAAAGGTTATGGTTTACTTAGGATTACAATTATCTACAATTTGATTTAATTATTACTGAAAAAAATTCTCATATAGGCTGAGTCCAGGGGTGTCCAATCGGTTCATATTTTTTTTTTACTTGATATATGCCGTTTTTAACATCCGATACATCTACTTAAAGTGCACCATTTAAAAATATTTGTATCATACAGGGTGCGCCAGAACTCGCGCCCCAGAGAAAAATACCATATAAGATACCAGGAACATATAAAAAATGTTAACAACATTCTATCTACAAAAATTTCTAAAAGTTATGAGAGTTTTAAGTTTTACACTTTGACTCTATTTATTTCTCTTGGAAAAATAATTTTCCAAGTTTTTTTGCTACACGCCATTAGAAGAGGAAACAAGAAAACTCTATCCTAAATTGTAACTCTGTTTAATGTTGTTTGTGGCTTATATTGGCAAAATTTTTGTATTTTTACTAAATAATTATAAGAAAAATCTATTCAAGATCATCAGTATCATTAAATAGACATAAAAAATGTCAAATTTCAAAAAATAAATGTCAAAATTTTTTGACAGATAGTATTTTTTAAACATTTTTTTCATGTTTCTGGTAGCTTAACTTACTTGAAATTTATCTCTCGGGGGTGTGAGTTTTGAGTCATCCTGAAGACAGAGTTGTGAACCAAAGTTATTATTTTTTAGATAGAACACCTTACACATTTTTACATTATTAATAGTTTCTACGTAAAAAATAATAGTACGTTATGTAAACTTTTTCTTCTTCCCGTTTCGGAATTATTCAGTTTTTTGTTATAAAAAAGACCGACATTTGAAAAATTACTGCGAACTCGGTTGTGAATATTTTTCGAAAAAATTGCAAAAAAAACTCACCGTATAGGTTGCCACTTTGAAAAAAACCGGGTAACCCAAAAATGAAACAAAATTTCAATCTCAAAACACGATCACATTTTTATACCACTCTAATTTTTATTAATTATTATTTTCTGAAGGCAAATGATAAAGAAAAAAACATATATCTGTGTTAATCTTATGAGTTTGATTATTCGCTAACTATGTGTAAAATAAATAGTTTTTATTGCAGAAAAATTTGAAATTTTGTAATTATCAGTGAAATATACGTATTGGTCTGGTTTTTTAGACGCAGCGACGCATAGTATGAGATATGTTTCAAGCCATAAGATAACGTCGAAAAATAATTACATTGTAAAAAGCGTCCGTCTGCGGATAAAAATGCCGGCTTTGTTCCCCCGAATAGACGATGCAAAAATCGTTTTATTTTTCCCTAAACCGCGCTTAACGGAGCGTGGAGTGAATTATCCCCGATTTCAGTCTGATCCAGAGAAGCAACCGCCCCGAGCCGAACATCCGCTGCGGCACCATGAACGGCGGCCCCCGAATCCCACAAAATCACGACCACAAAACCGAGGCGCGTCTCCGGAGCTATCCCAAAGTCCTCGTTTTCGTCGAGACGATCTACTCGAAGCTGGGCAGAGACATCGCCGAACTCCTAGTCCACACCAGAATCAAGTAAAATGGATGCCGATAATCCAATTCAAGGGAAATTCAATTTTTCATTTTCAGATACAAGGTGGAGGTTGCCGGGAAAAGTCTTCCCGTGTTAACGAATCTCGACAAGGGCCGCTACGGAGTCATCGTCTTTGAAAATTTCAACAAGTATCTACAAATGGACAAGTGGAATAGGGAGTTGCTCGACAAGTACTGCCGGGAGTATTATGTAGGGATGATAGGGTTCATAACGCCGGAGGAAGAGACCTTTGTCGGGTCGCAACTCAAAGGATTTCCCCTCTTTATACACACAAATCTCAAACTAAAGGTGCAAAGGACAAAGATAGACTACCTCTAGAGAATCAAATTTTTATTTTCAAAAACAAAAAAATATTGTGACACCCTGTATATTACTTTTAAAGACTAGTTGCTAAGTTACGGCCATTTGAAAAATTAGGTTACCATGGAAACGTTAAAATTTTATTGTTTATTCTCACCAGTGGCGTAACTAACTTTGAATTTGTATTTAAAAATATCCATTCATACAACGTTATTTTTAAAGTTATCTTCAACCAAGATTTATTAAGTAAGAAGGTTGCCTCGTAACTTTTGCACCAATCACGTGTGCGCATTATTCGCGCGAATTGACGTCACTGGAGGTTTTGTTCAAAAATAGGATATGTAACCAAACATATTATTAAGTTAAAAAACTAGAACTCCGTAAAATAAATACTGATAAAATATTTTTTATTAAAGGTAAAATATACATTGATAAAAAAATATATAAATTTATTTTGCTAAAACTTGCAATTTTTAATTTTATTCATTTTTTCTTTGTTAGTTTATCAGAAATTTTCTCGATAACTATTTATCGCAGAACACTGATCTTTTTTGTGAATGATAGAAAATTTAATTAAAATTTTCTCTTCCCATGGTCCCAAACATAAGCTGTTATCACCAAAAGTCCGGAGTTACTATAAATAGAGCGCTCCGGGTGCCAAAAATCGACTAAAATCTCGACAAAAATCCAAAAAAAATTAACTTTAAAACCATATAACGTTTTTTACAATTTCTAGTATTCTTAAAGACTCAAAATAGTGCACAAAATGTTATTGGGTCAAGTTTAAGAGCTTACGAATTTTTTGAGTTTAAAAACGCTTGAAATATGTTTTTTTCGGCGTAAAATTACCCGCTGAACACGATGCTACAGGTTAAAATACCCTGCGATGCATAGTTTTTGCGATATTGAGTAATAAAGCAAAAAATAAGGCTAGAAGCATACAAGACCTATAAAGGAATATGTGGTAAATAGTGCAAGATGCAACACAATAATAACACAAATCTGAAATCTGACATAAGGTGATCAACTTCAGACAATTCAAAATCAAAATTGACGACAAAAAGAAGACTTTAACTTGAAAAAAACTTTGCTTTCACTGCAAATGGAAATCTCAAAAAATTGCACACTTAGGTGTGTTGGTCCTTAAATCGAGACAAATCAGGACATAAATGTAAAACAAGACAAGACAATAAAAACCTAAACATCTCCTGGCTAAATCAGGACGTTGGCCCCCTTAATCTGGCAGTCTGAAACCTGCGGCTGATCGAGCAAAACTCCACTGACGTCACCATATAGCCATCTTACTCGCTCTTTAATGTCTCTCACTCCAAGTTACCACTTAATAAATCTTGATCTTCAAATAAGAACAGAACTAAAATTAATGGTTTTTAGGAATCAATTTGTTGCAAAAAGCTTCACAAGACGGTAAAAAGCATCTTAAAAAAAGAAAAAAACAATTTGATAATAGTGTAATAGTCACAAAGTTTTCTTTTTTAATTAATTTGGAGTTCAATTCCTGTTTTTTGTGACGCCACTGATTTTCAAGAAGGATTTTTACCGCTTTGTCCCACAGGACGCCGCTTTGAACGCCGCTTCCCAGATTTTGCGTCTGACTCGCGCCGGAGAGACTGCCTGGGGCGAGCTCCCCTGCAACGACTGGACGGTTTTCCAGGCCAACCATTCCACGTATGAGCCTCTGGAATGGGCCCACCGCAGCGACGATTACCAACCTACCGAAAGTAAATTTCCTAATTTATCCCAAAGCTTTTTCTTTAAAATTCTCTTAGGTAACGTGCGCACTCCCCTTCCCACCGTCATCCAAGACCACGGCCTCTTTGACAACATCCAACGTGTGATTTTCGGCTCCGGTTTGAAATTCTGGCTCCATCGCCTCCTCTTCCTCGATTCACTCAGTTATCTCAGTCACGGCCAACTGTCGCTGTCGCTCGATCGTCGCCTCCTGGTGGACATTGACGACATCTTCGTCGGCGAAGTGGGCACTAGACTACGTCCCGAGGACGTCAAAGCGCTCATTGCCACGCAAACGCGAATCCAAACGATGATTCCCGGGTTTAAATTCAATCTGGGCTTTTCGGGGAAGTACATTTATCATGGGAATAGCGAAGAGGATAAAGGTGACGATCTCATCTTGGAAAATGTCGATAAGTTCATGTGGTTCTCGCACATGTGGAATCATCAACAACCACATCTTTACGATAATCTCACCGTGTTGATGGAGGATATGATGTTGAATAAGAATTTTGCCAAAGAAAAGGGAATTCCGGTCGATTCCGGGTATTCGGTCGCGCCGCATCATTCCGGAGTTTATCCGGTGCATGAGCTGTTGTATACGGCGTGGAAGAAAGTATGGAACATTAGAGTCACCTCCACCGAGGAATACCCCCATCTCAGGCCGGCGAGGTAAACAATTTCACCACACTGTAAAGTAGGCCATGAAATATTAATTTGGCAACACTGATTTATAGGAAATTGTCATTCGTCACTTGTGTTGCCAATAGATTTATTTGCTGTAAAAAAATCTAAAATTCAGTTACTAGGCCACTTGATTATAATGGTAAAAAATTTAGTTACACAGTTGGAAAAAAATTGTAGGTTGCGAAGGGGTTTCATTCACCGAAATATCATGGTTTTGCCTCGTCAGACTTGCGGTTTGTTCACACACACCATGCTTATTGAGAAGTACCCTGGGGGTAGAGAAAAACTAGACGAATCGATACAAGGAGGCGAGTTATTTCAAACAATTGTATACAATCCTGTACGTCCCCAAAAATGTGAAAAAACATTTAAAAAAATATTTTTTTTCCAGATTAATATTTTTATGACTCACATGTCGAATTACGGAAACGATAGACTAGGTTTATACACTTTCGAATCTGTAATAAAATTTATACAATGTTGGACCAATATTAAACTTAGTTCAGCGCCACCTCTGCAACTAGCCGAAAGTTACTTCAAGTTATATCCCGGTGAATCGGATCCTGTTTGGGGGGTAAGTCGCCAAAAAATTTTCGAATTAAATTACAGTTTCCTGTAGAATCCGTGCGACGACCTTCGTCACCAAAAAATCTGGTCCAAGAACAAATCGTGCGATTCTCTCCCGAAATTTCTCGTGATAGGGCCCCAAAAAACCGGTACTACGGCCCTGTACACGTTTCTATCTTTACATCCTGCGATTGCTAGTAATCTTCCAAGTCCGGACACCTTCGAAGAAATCCAGTTTTTCAACGCGCACAACTACCTCAGAGGATTAGATTGGTGAGTCGAGGCGAAGCCGAGTTATTGTCACTGTGATTTTTTTACCCAGGTATATGAATTTTTTCCCCGTGGATTCCAACTCCTCGCACTACTATTTCGAGAAGAGTGCGACGTATTTCGACGGCGAGTTGGTCCCCAAGCGGGTGCATGCCCTCCTCCCCCATGCGAAGCTAGTTACGATTTTGATTTCTCCAGCCAAGAGGGCGTATTCGTGGTACCAACACACGAAAGCTCATGGGGACATCATCGCGAACAACTATAGTTTCCACCAGGTGATAACGGCGAGTGACACGGCCCCGAAGCCGTTGAGAGACCTCCGAAATCGGTGCCTTAATCCGGGGAAGTACGCGCAGCATTTGGAGCGGTGGTTGACGTTTTTCCCGCCTCAGTCGTTGCATATTATCGACGGGGAGGAGTTGAAGTCGAATCCGGTCGAGGTCATGAACGAAATGCAAAAGTTTTTGAAGATAACGCCCTTTTTCAATTACACGGAGCATTTGAGATTTGATCCGAAGAAGGGGTTTTATTGCCAGGTGGTGAGTGGGGATCATACCAAGTGTTTGGGGAGGAGTAAGGGCCGGCAGTATCCTCCCATGGAGGAGAAGTCGCTCAAGTTGTTACAGAGGTATTATTTGAGTCATAATACGGCGTTGGTCAAGTTGATGAAGAGGATTGGCTTGAGGAATATTCCAAATTGGTTGAAGGAAGACTTGTCTGATTCACCAGCGTGAATTTTCATTGTACTTATTTGGATAAGTCGGTGTGATATTAAATTAGAACAATCTTGGAGATAATAAATGGTAATTTTTATGAAATGACATATCATGGTTGAATTTTAGGCAATACTATTCTAAAATTGAAATCAATTATGAGTTTTTGAGGCGTTGTCCATTTTTCATGTTGGAGTGTTTTTAGCTAGAACATGATTGTGCAATAGTTTTTATTCCTTGCGTCCACGATGTGAGCTTATTAGGTGTTTGAAATAGATTAGTTTTCATTCAATTCAAGCATATCCATTGACTGAATGTATTAGGCTTCGCGCCGTCCTATTCCATCAAAGAATAGAACGCAATTTAATTTATGTGTAATAATCGTGTATATATTTTTATTTATAAACAAATTAATACGTGCCATTTTTTTGTACATAGTTTTCTAATTGTGGCAATTTCACGATTGTTAGATGATCTTTCATGTCTATTTTACGAGATTGATGTATATTGCATGTAATTTATAACATTCTAAAATCACACATTGATGTAAATATTTCAGTTATTGCATAGCTGTTAAAAGTGGTAAAATGACAATAAAATGATACAACATTCAGATTTCATTACAGTTACCTGTAATCAAACAGTAGTGCTAGGCGCGTCTTTAAAAAATCTATTAACGAACTTGTTTGGGTGTGTTAATGTTAACACCCTAGTGTATTTTTCGTTTTAATGTTGGTGACAATGACGTTGGAAATTAATAAACTTGCGAATTTTCGGTGGCAAACATTGAGCAATTATTTCCAGATTACGCACATAATGACAAATGTTAATTTCAATAGAATTTTTCAACGCCTTTATAATGAATAATACAAACACTGCTACGTGTCACCAAGTGACGAAAAATTTCCTAATTTTTTAGGAAAAGTCAAATTTGGTCGTAAAATTCAACGTCACTAAATCTGGGGAACTACATGTCCGGCTACAGTGTCGCAAACCGCTGAAAAAGAAAATCTTCTTAATTCTGTTGCCAACATACAGTCATTCTGGATCACTTTGTAGCTATAATTCACTAAATAAACCCGAGAAATTATTTTACTTCGCTAAATAAGATCACAATTTTTAAAATTTTAATTCGGACGTACAAAATTTCGGATTACATGAAAAACATAAAATTAAATTGTTCACGTCATTTACTTGCTACAATACTAAACGAGCCCCTAGCATTAATAAAACTGAGATTTTAGTAATTTATTTACGTTATTAAATAAAACCACGCTTTTTAAAATAAATTCGTGCGTACGAGTTTTCGGCATATTAGGGTCCTTGAATTTGACAGTTGCTAATTTAAAAAAACCGGTGAAAACGTAAAAGAAATGCGGAATTGTGAGGATTTCCCGGCTCCCCCAGAGGGCGAAGTGTCTTTATGTGAAATAAACGGTCGAATGCAATGCACGAACCCCGACTTTGCCACCGTTTCAACCTTCACAACTGCGGTACTAATTCTAGGTTAGAGTCCCCAATGTAATTTCTCATTTAAGGTCGACAAACACCCGAAAGTCCACATAACTCGCGACTTGCTGCACCACCCGAACCTGGGGGACGAGGGCCGAGCCCTGTTTCTGCCCACAGACGTGCCTTTCTTAAAACAACTCACTCAGGTTTACGCCGAGCAGGGCTTGAAGGAGGTTCTGCAGACTGCCACATTGCACCAACATGTGCTTATATCGCAAAGTGCCCATCTTTTATTGAGACTTTGGCGGTATTTGCGAAAAGCGAGACTGATTTTGAACCCCAGTTTGGAGTACCACACGTGTGAGTTGATAGACGAGTTGAGCCAGACGCGAAACTGGGCTAACAACACCATCAAGTGCATTGCGTGGCATTTGCACAATTCGCGACTAGCTATAGCGACGTGTGACGACAGTGTGAGGATTTATTGCAATGATAGCAATTTTGTCCCTTTACTGAGATGCAAACAACAGAGAAATGTGACGTGCTTGGCATGGAGGCCCATGTCTTTGACGGAAATCGCCGTGGGGCACGAAACGGGGGTCATAATCTGGCACGTCGATTTCAACTCATTGGTACTCAATCTCATTTAACGTTATCACAAATAATTCAAATTTAATTTAGGTGACTAGACCGTCCGTGAGCAACAGTATAATGCTACATCGGGTGGAGCACAGACCTGTCATGAGTCTGGCTTGGAGCCCCCAAGGCAACCTCCTCGTGAGTGCCGCAGCCCTCGACTCAAACATCCTCGTCTGGGACGTCGAATTGAACAAAACCAGCATTTTGAAAGGGTCCAGAGACTCTGGAAACGTCCTACTCAAATGGTCCCCAGCCAAAGACAAACTCTTGAGTGTGTCAAACGGAATTGTGTTCAGGATTTGGGATTGCCAACATTGGGAAAACGAGCGTTGGACGGTGCCCTCTGGGCGCGTCCAAGCCGCCTGTTGGACAAGCTGTGGCACAAGTCTACTTTTTGCCACAAATACCGAACCCGTCATTTATGGATTAAACATAAAAAATGATCACGTATTCACTAGCAATGCCACTTCAATCGACCACGCTGTGCCTTTATTTGACCTCTCTAAAATCGATTTAGGGGGAATTTCAGTCGGTGGTGTTGTTCAGGCAATGGAAGCTGACCCGAAAGGGAACCACTTGGCTGTATTTTTTAAAGATACGAATTGTGTTGCTGTTTTTAGTGTAATAAAATCGCCACTTCTCCAATTAATACCAAGGTGAGTGATCGGTTTTGTGACAAAAATAACTCGTTTTTGCAGCTCCTTGATTACTGGGTTGGCCGCGGAAGTGCCCAGCACGATGGTGTTTCAACATAATTTCAAGCCTGGGGCTTGTTTATCGATTGCTTGGTCCAGTGGACGCCTTCAACACTTCCCAATAATTTACACAGACTTGACAAATAATTTTAATGCAATCGCCAATTAATTAAGTGAAATAAAATTGTTTTTTGTACAAAAATTAAGTTATTTTTATCACTGTCTTGGCCTCTTATTACTTGTGTAAGTTCCTGGGTCAGACTGTCTCTTCTCTGCAAATTTCAAGTTTTAATAATTGGAGGCAGTTGATTTGTAGACTTACTGATTTTATTTTCTGCTGCATTTGACGCTGATACGAATGTTCTTTGCAATTTCGTCTTTTTAACTTCTCTGTAGTTCATAGCAATCTCCTTACTTAATTCAGCCACCCTCAACATTAAAGGAGCCGGATAACTGGGCAATTATGTGATTTGAATATTTCGCGTTTAATTGTGAATTACTTACGTGCAACCCATAAATTCCATGTTTGTGAAAGCTGTAGCTAAAGCAACCAAGTAGTCTTCTGGAAATTTTTCTTTGTGGGCTTTCATAAACTCTCTACGCAACTGCCAATGCTCCTCAACGTCGGTGTCGTTGCGGTATTTGTCTATATCCCAATCGGTGGGGTAGGTCTGCGTCATTTTTTGATAATTTTTCCCTTTTTAAGTTTTTAATAAGTGGAGGTAAACAATTATAATAACCAAACCAAAAATTTTGACATCTGCTTCCAATGTCGCCAACCTATGAAATCAAATCAAACTATTTTTAATTAATTCCACTTACTACAAGTCATATAACTGCAATAAGCTTACGCAAAAACATTGCTAAAAAGCGATTATTAAACACAAAATTATAAATAAACGGTATGTGTTTAAAAAGTAAACAAAAATTAGAAACACCACAACCAACTGGGTGTAACTAAAGTCTCCAATTATTGTTTGACATATGTCAATTATGTCATATGTGTGACATTGACAGTTGTCGTCCTTTTTGAGTCATTTTGCATAAACATTTGTAAATTATGGAGTCAAGGATAGAAACGTCGGAATTGCAGCAATTGGTGGGAAGCGACGTCGACGGTGAGAACGACGACAGTACAGCCCACGACGAGACCATAACCGAAGTGAAAGTCATATCTCCCGTCAGGAGCACTAAAGTACTAAGATTTGAGCACGTTTTCACCTTAACTTCCAGTATTTACAGATGTCATCGTCTGGCAACACGAGTCGCAGTTCAGTTACTAAACTGGGGGCCCGCTACAATTTGGGCCCAAGTGCCCTAAACCCGAAGGTGTCTTTCGTGAATGAGAAACGCGTCAACCGTGATATCAGCAAAACTTCAACAGCCAGGCCCAGAAACGTTCACAAAGGTAAAAGTTGTGTTTTTTTATTTTGCATGTTTCACACATTTTTTTGATTTTCTTTTGGTTCGTTTTGCACGTGATTAGATAGTAATACAAATGTCCAACACCACTGTTTTATCTCCGAAGTGCCCGATGTGAGACACATGGAAAAGGCGCTTTTGGGGCTCTTGGCCGACTTCCATTCGGGGAAACTCAGGGCGTTTGGAAGCGGCTGCACTATGGAACAAATGACCAACATTAGACAACAGCAGGAAAAATTAGCCAAATTGCATTTTGATCTGGGGGCAGCCACTGTGCCCTCACTCAACGATGAAAATCTCCTAAGGTCGCAAAACACAATGACGCAACTTATACAAAGACTGGAGCAGTTGAGTGTCTCGATAGAGGGGCTCCATAGCACCAACAAATAACCTGTTATGATTCCATTTAAATGTTATGTTCCTTTAATTGTATTTTTATGTAAATTTTCCAATAATAAAATTTGTGGTTTCAAAGGTCGTTAATTTTAATTGATTTTCGTCACAAGTCGACTTTTAGAGTAAATGCGCCACGGTAGTTCAATAACCTTTTGACAGTAGTGACAGTACTTAAATCTAGGTTATGTCAGTGTTTTGCGTTTCATTCCGTTTCGAACAGTTTAAACCTTGAAAAATAAATAAAAATGTGATTAATTCACCTTAAACATGAGTAATGAGGAGAGACTTGTGACGGAGGTGCCTAGTAGCCTCAAACAACTCGCTAGGTTAGTCGTGAGAGGCTTCTACACCATCGAGGACGCCCTCATCGTGGACATGCTCGTCCGCAACCCTTGTATGAAAGAAGACGACATTTGTGAACTGTTAAAATTCGAACGAAAAATGCTCCGTGCTCGAATAGCCACCCTCAAAAACGACAAATTCATCCAAGTGCGCCTCCGTATGGAGACAGGAGCCGATAGCAAAGCCCAAAAAGTGAACTACTACTTCATCAATTACAAAACATTCGTGAACGTAGTTAAGTACAAGTTGGATTTAATGCGGAAACGTCTTGAGACGGAAGAACGCGACGCTACAAGTCGTGCTAGTTTCAAATGTCCCGGTTGTTTGAAAACCTTCACTGATCTCGAAGCCGACCAACTGTTTGACTACACCACGAGCGAATTCCGGTGCACTTATTGCCGGGAAGTGGTCGAAGAGGACTTGTCAGCCCTCCCGAAAAAAGACTCTCGCTTGCTTTTGGCGAAATTCAACGAGCAGCTGGAGCCCCTCTACATCCTTCTTCGCGAGGTTGAGGGAATTAAACTAGCGCCGGAAGTACTAGAACCCGAACCGGTCGATATCAGCACTATTCGAGGCATCGACAAGAAATTCATTTCACAACCGCAAGAAAACTGGTCAGGGGAAGCGACAAGAAACTCAGGATTTATGGTTGAGGAAACGCGAGTTGATGTCACAATCGGAGATGAGAACAACACTGCGGCGACCAACGCAAGGAAAGAAGCGCCAATCTGGATGATGGAATCCACTGTTATTACGAAAGAAGAAGATTCGGGGAAAAACACGGACTCTATCATGGACGCAAACAATGAAACTACTAGTAATAATGGCAAGACTGATGATATAATGAGTGTTTTGTTGGCTCATGAAAAGAAAGCCTCAAATTCGGCCGCCAATGCCCTCAAAGCGCTCAATAATGAATCCGATTCAAGTTCAGACGAAATGAATGAAGTGAAGGAAGAGACAGTTGAAATAGAGAATTCGGACAGTGATGAAGATGATGGAATCGTCCCCACGGTCACTGTAGGCAATCAGGTTTACAACATTACTGATATCAATGATACCATCATTGCGGAAATGACACAAGCAGAAAAGGAAATTTACGTTCAAGTGTTCCAAGACTACTATTCTCACATGAATTATTAAGCTAATTTATCTCATAAGTACCTAAACTATTTTTCTAACTGAACAGTAAATACAAAAGTGGTGTACATATAATGACTCAATAAATACTGTATCCAAAAACAGAGTCTTTACTTTCCGTGACAAAAAAAAATAAAAAAACAAAAATTGCATCTACACCTTTTTCAAGTGTAATTCAGAAAGCGTAAGATATATTTCAGAAAACGTTAATTGTAATTTGGATTAGTTACTAATTGTATTTCAGAAAATATTAATTGTAATTCAGAACCGTAAACTGAATTTCAGAAACCATCAGATGTAATTCAGATTAATTAATTTAACTTCAGAAAGCGTAAATTGAAATTCAGATTAGTCAATTGTATTTCAGAAAGTGTTAGTTATAATCCAGAGTTTGTCATTTGTAATTGAGAATTTGTCAATTGTAATTCAGAATTCGTTATTTTCATTTAAAAATTACATTACAAAATTCCTTTGAAAATAAAATATCTTATTTATTCTGTAAAATGGCAAGTTTATGTAATTCTTGATTTCTGAAAATAAAATAATTCGTGTTTATGTGTAAACTTCATTTTGAGATAACAGTAAGTTACTCATCTGAATTACATGTAATGATTTCTGAATTACAATTATTACTTTATGAAATACAATTGACTAATCTGAATTCCAATTTATGGTTTCTGAAATTAAATTAACTAAACTGAATTACATCTCATGGTTTCTGAAACTCATTTTACTCTCTTGAATTACAATTAACATTTTCTGAAAGACAATTGAGTAATCTAAATTTCAATTTACGCTTTCTGAAACTAAATTGACTAATCTGAGTTGCATGTGATGGTTTCTGAATTACACTTGAAAAAGGTGTAGTGTATCAAAAACTAAATTATACGTGTTTTTCGACGTATTCGAGAATGGTTTTTACCACAGAACACAACAGAGATTTAAGATTTGTTTCGTTAAATAATTTGATTTACAACGATTGGTCTAGAATCTAGCCAAATGGATTGGAAATGGTTTAAATAGCTTTATTTTCGCATAAAACTGCGTTTTAAGCACTTATTTTGTTGAAATACATTGATTTAGAATAATTTCTGGCTTAAAATCTAAGAAAATTTCTGGCTTAAAATCTAAGAAAATTTCTGGCTTAAAATCTAGCAGAAATGGATTGGAAAACTTGATGTTGGTAATAATTTAATTTTAAAAGGAAATGACATAGGAAGAAAATTACGTTCAGGAACTAAGACAACTATTCCCATATGAATTATTAAGCGTAATTTATTAGTACCTAAACTATTTTTATAATAATTGAATAGTAAATGCAAAAGTGATGTACATATTACTAAAAAATCACTCAATAAATACTGTATCCAAAATCAGCGTCTCCCCATCTACCACCTTAAATAAGTCGATTCATTATTGGGGTATTTATGCGGGCTGAAGCACCACCACTGTTAAATGAAACCAGTAACAAACCCAAGACTTACCTCGCTGAAACAATCGTAATATTTTGCGGATTAATAATCGGTTGTAATTTTTCCGTAAGCCGTTTAAAATTCCTATCAAGTTCTCTTTGGTACTCTCTTTGGTCTGGTCCAATCAAATTTCGGTTTTTCTTCAAGGCATCCGAACACTTTTTACAAAAATCTTTAAAACACAGCCGTAGTTTATTTTGGTGTTTGGTCAAAGCCTTCCCGTCGCTCGGTAAAAACGTTAAAGCCATTTCAAGTGGTCCTTGATTGACTGTAGTACCAATACAACCTTGTAGAACCATCTGTAAAATTTTCGTATCTGAGGGCTCTTGCAGAATGGCAGCGGCCAATTCATTGGTTTTCTTTTGAATGTCTTCGATTGCCACCTAAGTACGGTAATTAGTGAGAAAATTAACGAAAATTGAACAAGAACCTCGATAGGTGTTAGAGTGATTTGCACTCGATTCACAACTTGGATTCGTGTTTTAACGTAGGGGAAATGCACAGCTGTGGTCAGAATCGTTTTGCGTTTGTATTGGTCGCGCAATTCGCCGTGTGCTTTCCCGGTCATTGTGAAAGGGGTTGCGTAAACGAAACGTTCTAAAAAATTATTTCAAGTCAAGTTAACACACACAAAATACAAACTTACTAATATTGAAATTTTTGTCGAAATGAGTTTGACGATATCTCAACTCGTATTGTTCAAAATAAGGCTCAACGTAGGTGATTTGAATGTAGGCTTTGTCCGGATCTAATGCACTTATATCAACAATGTTTGAATCTTTGATAATAATAACGTTTTCAGGCCCAAATCTTTCAGCATAGAAATTCTAAAATAACACCAACTAACACACAATAACAATAAATTTCAGTACCTCAAGCCGACTAAATATTTCAGGAAGTTTCGTCAACGTTGGCTCCTTGTAAATAAACTCCTCTCTATCCAAATCCCCAAACTTGGAACCGTAAAAACCAACGCGAAAATACGTCCCAAACATTCTTTTTCCTTGCAACTGATCAATCCTCGTGTAGGCATCGTGTAATTTCCTAGGGAAATAATAAATAAAACCTTGAAGAACACAAGAAAACACAAACCCATGTATATTGGCCAACTTCTTGAAATCCCGATTATTCTCCGCGATTGGTATCAACACTCTGTAGATATCATTCATTGGTTCGTACATCGCCGCTACATGAAAACTACTCGCGGCCTGTTCCAGCAGCCCCACTAGTCCAGCTTCGGTGAAATGCGACCCTAAACAGCCCCCTTCCTTCTCCGGACTCAGAACATCATCCGAAACCGCACTCTCCTCCAACACATTCGGACTGACTCGCTCCAAAGCTGCCGCTCCAGCCGGTAAATGGGGCGACGACTCTGACATTACCAAATATTCAGCAACGAGAGCCGCCGAATGCACGAGACACATCCCCGCCTCACAATGATTACTCCTCTCCATGTGTTTCTGTGCCATATTTTCAAGCCAAGTCAGTCGCAAATCGGGCGAATTCTGATAACCTTTCGCAATACGATACATAAGATCTAAAAGCATCTCGGGATCTTCTTGAAACTCTTTCATTTTCACAGTATCAGACAAAATCATATGTAAATTGAAAACCAAGTCGCGTACTTGTTCCGGAAATGTGGTTTCTTGCAATTCGGTGTCTCTTTCACCGTATTCGAGAATCGTTTTTAGGGAGCGTCGAAGAGATTCATCGCTAAATGACGACGAAGTGCCCACAAGACTACTCAAAGACATTGTAACTTGCATTTTGACGCGGGCGAAATTCTATAAAATATGCATTACAAAATGTGACATTAAAAAAAATGTGAAGCGGGCTTTAGATAATAACCTCACATTCAACTTGTCACTGTGATGTTTCTGTCACTTTGACGTTTTGAAGTGTCAAATTTGACGTTAAAGCCTGCTTCACACCGAAAGTGTCAAACTCACGTTTCCGATTTGGAACGTTTGTCTCATTAATAGATACAAAGAGGCGGCGGCTTGAGAACGCACTGAGGCGATTTGGGAACCACAGTGTTTCAATAACAGGAGACAAAGGTCGGCGCAATGGCTACTTTCCTCGTCGAAAAGGGCACTATGAAACTACACCAAAATTATTAAAAAAAAAACAAGTTTGGTCAATTTTTTTACCTTAAACACTAAATTCCTCTGCGATGCGAATAAGTGGGGCAAAATCGTCGTACTTTGATTCTTGCTCAAGGCATGCAAAAGCACCGTCAAGGCCAACCCAACCAAATACTGCTGGGAATCCCACTGTGCCACTGTCGCCACACACCTCTCCAACGTATCCAAAATAATAAACGATGATTCGGTGGCAAAATGGCCTTCTAGATGCACATCAGTGAAGAAATCCTCTTTGGGTCTATCAACCGTATCAGTTGTCGGTCTATAAGCCATTTGTTCTTTTCTCCATCTCAGCTTCGCCTCGGCCGAACCTGGATTTTGTACACCACCTTTCCGACGTTGCATCATCTCTCTCGCCGATCCCTGACCCAAAATCACATCTTCGAGAAGCGACAAACCGTCTTGGGATACTTGTGCGTGAGCGTAACCGGAAGGTGGGGGCGCACGACGTCGCGGTCTGTACTCGAAACAACTCGTACAGGCGTCGAGGAGGTGAAGGAGAGTTGCAAGACGTGTGGAGGTTAACTCCCCCAGCCATTGCGAGAGGGACTCACGTTCGACGTTCTTCAACACCCAGAGGACGCAAGTGAGGAGGTTGCGTGTCACTTCGCCGCTAATCCCCGACTTGCGAGTCTAAAATAATAAGACACAATTCACATGTCACCAACTTAATTTCAAAATCATAGAAATTTAATAAGACCATGATAAAAATTCCTGATCAAGTGATCTGTGACTTTAAAACTAAGTTGGCGACACAGCAATGTCAGTCAGTGTTACCAAGTTTCATGCAAGCCTAGTGAATTTATTGAAAATTAAAAGATGTAACTTTGCGGTTACAACAACAAAACTAATAAACTAATTTTTTGCATCTTTTTCGAGCATTTTCCACGTTTTTCCACCAGAAACTTGACCATGCTGCCAAATTAAAATAATAAAAAACTTCCAATTGGGTAAAAAATAGTTCTTTTTGTTAGGAACGCAAAAGGCCAAAAAAGGTGATATTTTTGCCTTTTATGCAAGTTTATTAGATAAGAACAAAAGAGTTCGAAAAATGTGAAAAATCACAAAAATAAGATAAAATTGATTATTTCGCTCGAATTATTTCGTTTTTGAACCAAAGGCTCATTATTTTGCAAAATATTGTCCAAACACGCCTAAAAATCGCAAAAAGAATTGAAATTGATACTATTTGTACAAAAATTTCAGATTTTTTGCTAAATTTCGCAAAGTCAAAAATTATATTATTTTTGTATTTTTCGAGAGTTTTAGTACGTTTTTCAGCTAGAAACAGTGTCATTTTTGAGTGTTTAAGCACTTTTGAGATAAGAACAAAAAATTTTGAAAAATTTTCATAAAGCAGGGTGAAACATCTCAAAATTAAATTGAAATTAATACTATTTTAATTTGTTTCAATCGATTTAGTTCATTTTTGAACCAGAGACTCATTTATTTTGCAAAATCTTAACCAAACACGCCTATAAATCACGAAAAAAACCTTAATTTCAGGCTTTTCAAAAGATTTCGCTAAAACAATCCAAAAAATCAGCAAATTAAGTCGAAAATATTATTATTCTTGAATTTCTCGAGTGTTGCAATTATTTGCAAAATTATTTAGAAACGCAGTTATTTTATAGAATTTTGATAAAAACAAGCCAAAGAATCACAAAACTAGGCCGAAAATTATGTAAGTTTTGCTTTTTCGAGAGTTCATGCAGATTTTTAAACTGAAAACGCAGTTTTTTCGTGAGATTTTGCCAAAAGCACTAAATTGTTATATAAAATATGTATATTTTAGATTGTAACTTGTCTGTTTGTCATTTTATTTTGCTGTTTATTAAACTTGTATGTATAAAAATTTATTTTATTATAAAAATTATTTTTATATATTTTTAGCTAACTCTTAGGTATTAAACACTCAGTTTTTATGAAAAAACGTAGACTTTCTAAACTAAAACTAAAATTATGCCAATTTCAATGAAATCTACTATATAGTAAAATCGTTTTCCTAAGACCCACTAAAAATTTTATTACTTTTAAGTTAAATGCGGTATTGTTAAGAGTAAACCAGAGGTTAAACAAATCATAAATTAGTGGAACCCACCCGGATCCTGAAACAGGTAAGTTTTTAACAGGGTCGGATTACTTACATTCTCTTTATCTAAAATACTTGAAATGTTTTAATAGTTTTTGATGTAGTTGTTATTAAAGTCAAGTTTTTTAAGAGATTTAAAAAAGCCAGGTGATTATTAACAAGCTATTATTAAATAAAGCTGATTTTTTTAAATAATAGCTTGGTAGAACTCTACCACTACTTTAGTTTTATTCTAGTGGGTGCAGCAACACTTGCAAAGGAACGTGCTATTTATGGAGGGTTACAAATTCAAGCCATTGTTTGGTTAATCCCTTATAATGTGTTATAAAATTTTTAGTAGATCTTAGAAAAACGATTTTACTATGACTCGGATCGGTGAATTTAATTTTTTGAGTGGGCAACACTGATTTAGTCAATGTTGCTAACTTAATGTCAAAATCATAGACTACTTTGATCGGAAGTTTATTTACCGATTGGAGATTATCGCACGTAACTGGAGGGACTTTCCCGGCGATTGCTAGAGCAACAGTTAGGTTAATATTCGTAGTTTCATCATCGGTTGAGTACCGATCGGGTTTGTCCGACGCCCAGCGATGCAGTAGTGGCAACACATCCATTGCTATACTCAGAAGAGGTAAATAAAGTGCTGCAACACGTCTTCGAGCTTCAAGAGTTGAGTATCTTGGATCGCTATCGTGCCACGATAATAGCGATTTTATCGTATCGACAGCCTTAACATGTAAATTTGGTTTACTAAAACACAGTCAGTAGTACCAACTTGAGAAATATTAAACCAACTCACTTGACATCAAGGAGAATACTTGCAACATCAGTTAGGACAATTCCAGTCAAGTAATGATGTTGTCGATACTCTGGTGATAACTCTGCAAAGGTACTAACTCGTTCTTGACTCGCTGGTGGTCCTGATAAAAACGAATTCTGACTCGTCGAACTTGTAACACTTGGACTGGGGGACACCGAAAGCCCCGTCACCATAAACGGCGTAGCAAATGGTAAATTCAAAGCGACGTAATGCTCATGACTACACACAATCCTTGCACACTCCAATTTTAATTCGACCAAAACCCCAGCATCTTGCATCGACATTATCTTTGCTTGCAATTGTTTATTATAGTAGCGAATCGCATTAAAAACCGATCCTCGATCACAAACCGACAACAAATCAAAGAAGAAAAACGCCAACGCGGCATTTAGTAAATGCGCCCGTTTGATGTCACTAGTCGAATGCGAGATTATCTCAGCGGTGATCGTATGCACTAGTGAGAAAATATCATCGAGAAATTGCTCAGAAAAGCGGATTTTTCGTGGCGCATCCAAACTACGTGTATGCGCCAAATGCTCGACCATACTTTTCGTTATCAATTCGAACAAAAACCAGGCATTTTGCATGGCCAAGTCTTTAATACGACCGCTGGAAACCACCCATTGAAGGGCGATTTCATGATGGACGATCTTCTGACAAGTGTTTGAACTGATTTGATCATTGTTCGGGACTCGCATACTTGCAGCCCGATCCAAACCACGTGATTGTTGTAAATGGGCCACTTCCAGGTCCGGATTCGAATTACTACGAGTCAAAGGCCCCTCCTCCCAATCGGGAGAACTGTGATTACTTGAAAGGGGGTGAGGGAGGTTGCATTGGTAATGGATGTACGTCACAAGAAGGGCATTACGGTTGTGTTGATCGGTCGATAAGTCAAGTTTCTACAAATTATAACTCATTTTCTGTCATTAAACCAAAAAAACCTCACCGAAATGTTCTCTAGCAGTAAGCAAAATGCCTCAAAAGTTGTCTGACCGATGTTTAAAGTGTGTCCTGAGATTCGTGGAGGTTGTACTAAAAGTTCTAATAGACTGTCGAAAATTAATGGTAGATTTTTAACAATTGTTTCGGGTTTAGCCCCCGCTAGGCCTAATAAAGCCGCTCGTAATTCGTTTTCTAAGCCGGCTTCCCCCAACCTAGGGGGTATAACCCCAGTATGGACGTAATCATAAGCCGCTAGAAACCTTTCAACAGCCGAATCATGTGTATGGACTGATGAAACCGAGTCTAAATGGACCGTAAACAACCCTTTATGGTTATCCAACCATTTGGTACCAGGTAAGTACACATCAGGGGGTATATAACTGTAGTTTTTTGGAGGCGTTTCTAACATCACCGGGAGACAAAACTCCCCACTTATCAATCGACCATCACGGATTAGAGGAAGCCACTAAAAGAAAATTTCAATAATAAAACGCAAAATTTTTCAACACTCAAACTCACTGTATATCCAACTGGAGTGTCAACCGACGATTGCTCCACTTTTTTCTGACACGAAATGTGATAAAACGTGAATAATAAATGATGATTATCAGATAAGGCGGCCGGTAGTTTGATTTTAATTTCATCATAAAAGAAGGGATTTTTACTGTGATAAGTCACAACACTGTAGGCTTCATTGGTCATTTCTGGACAACTCGACTTGCCAAAGATATTACACAAAGCCGAATTTTCGCTCTCACCGGCCATTAATTGCACTCTTACGGCCAAATTCCGCGCCGATCCGGCCCTATTAGAAAAATTCAATTCTTTCGGACTCACAAACAACAAATTTCGATAGTTGTAATGAGGCACGAGTAAATCTTTAATCGGAAATTCAAGCAACTCTTTAATTGGTCTCCCCTTATCATCAGGGTACGGATACAGTTTCATTAATTCCGTTGTTAGACAATTTTTGTATTCACCGGGACATGGTGCAATCTCTAATTTTAAAGTTGCAGGAATGCATTTTAATTTTTTTAGAATTGTTGTTGGTTTTTTTAGTTCGTGAAGGCACTTGTAGAGGTCCTCATCGCGTAATTTCTCACCTTCTTGTTTAAAAAACGAAGAAACGGTTAGGGTAATCGGTCGGAAAGTTTCCAAAGTTGAAGCTAGATGATCAGGTGACCATGAACGTCTTTTATCTGTTCTGCGTTCGAGTGAACCTCGCCGAGTTAAGCTCCCCATGTCTGTGGCTCTTCTACGTAACTGTTCCAAACTACTGCTCCCCAATTTACGGTCTTAAAACATCAAATTGTAATCATAGTAGTACCGGGTGGGGCATCGGTTACGCGCACATGAGAAATCGCAACTTCAAATTAATTAAAACTGGCGATATTTCGTATAACTAACAAATTATTGATAGAGTATAATTTGAGAATTTTTCTAATTTTTTTGGATAATAAATAAGTCCGTAACAGTTTTGTGTGTTTTATGAATACTTTCTGTTAATTTACCTATAAAGTTTTTTCATTAAATGAATCTGTACCTGTCAGCGCATCAAACTTTGATATCACAATTTCAAATTTTGACTTGGTTAGCCAAATAATCGCTTTTTTTATTTAAACACAAACCAGACCCCTGATTTATCACAAAATGGTATAATTTGCCAACAAAAGAATCATCTACTGGTAGCCGACCGCTTTAAAGGGTCTTTTTGTTGTAAACTTTAGAATCTTACCCCAATTGCAGTTCCCCATTGTCACTTAAATTTACGATGGCACAAGTAGCAGGTCATAAATAAAAATGATTTTCAAAGTTAAGATGGAAAATTGCGTTTAATTCAAAATCTAATTGGTGTTTTTTTTTCTCTGACTTTGTAAACAATTGTAGGAAGTGAATCTGCGTAGGTCAGTATAAAAATTAGAAGTAAACTTTTTGGGAGAAAATTACTTTTCATTTTTTTGGCTTTGTAAATGAAAAATTACCAAAAAATTAGAGAATGTACCTTACTAATGCCCAGGTAAGTGTGAAAAAATTCAACAATTTTATTTAATTAGAAGTGGGGATTTTCTTTTTGGACGTAACGGATGCCCCACCCGGTATGTGAGTAAACTCACCTAAACTATTTGTTGTTGAATTTGAACTAAACGAGTCCGTTTCACGTTCCAATGAATTCCCCCCGTTTATAACATTCATTAAATAGATTCCTGTCCATGCAAATGCTTGTCTGTACTTCCCCAAACGTTCACAAACCGCAACAGCATTTGCTTTAAGTTTATCACGATTCTGGAACACAATTTTTAGACTAGTTTTACCAAAATGACACAATTTACCCTCTCTTCTTTCATGTAGGGCTCCACACATTCATTCAAATCGCCTTGAAGGACTTTCTCTAGTCTCACTACTAGAAATAAATCAGGTGAGGGATTTGTTATGTTGAAAATACAGCCCCTTGCAAGGGTACTAGTGTCACTATAAGGCACATGACCTCCTAACATGCGTTTTAAACCTTCTGGATTTAAATCAAAGTGGAAAGTTTCCGATAATTTTTTGCGTTCTTTACAATCATAAATAGCCATAGATGCAAACATCGGCTCTACTTCAAGGTCCAACCTAAACAAAACTTTTTAAATTTTATTTTGACTTAAAATTTCAATTACGTTAATTGGTGGCACTTGACGAGGATTCGGTGCCCCAAAGGCTCGGCCGGTGGGGTTGCTGGTAATCGGCGTTCAATCGGCTCCCCTGCTTCTTTATCAAGATTCGAACATAGGGCGAATAACCCGTCTTGTCTCTCAGTTTGTCGCCGACTTTCATTCAATTGGTCTAAGGTTTCCGGTGCATTTTGCTCGAGTATTTCCGGAATGAGGGGATCCCCGGCAGAGTGACGTAAATCCAGCGACGCCCATGAGTTTCTAGGTGTTAAAGTATCCCCACATGAGGAGCTTGACACCAACGAAGCAATACTTTGACGACTACTACTTGAAATCGACAAGTCTGATTCACTCGTTTCAAAAGTGTTGGGCTGGAAATCAACTTCGAATTCTTGTTTGGGGCTCTGGAGGCTTTTAGAGGGGTTGGATCTGGTAGCAACACTACTACTGAGATTCCTATGGTTGTATCTAACGACTTTCCAGTTTGAGGTGTAACACTCCACACAGGCTTGCACATGAGGAGGGAGAGTTTCCCTGAAAGACTCAATTATTCCTTGTTGTTGTTTACGTTAAATTTACAGTTTTTCTTCCGGTAGGATTGGGTGTAAGGTGCGAATAGGACGCTCAATAACGTCAACTTCAACATCTCCCTGGGGCACATCTAGAATTTGTCTTAAAGGGTCCCGATCGATTAAATTCTGGTATTGGCTTAAAAACTCCTCAAAGTCGATGGGGTCCACCACATCGTTAGTCCAACTCTGGAAAATCAATTTGAAAAAAAAAATGAAAACAAAAAAAGCCGCTTACTGAGGAAGATGGCGAAATTACGCCACCTTTATGACACGCTACATTGCGACGAACATCGGCGGCATTGTGTCTGCAAATTTAAAACGTTGATAATTCTTTAATTAAGTGTTTGTTTACTCACTTTGATAATTTTTGAGTGAACGCCCTGACGTTCGAAGTCATTTTATAAATGTCAAATGTCAAAATGCGTTCGGGTTTGTAGGTGGCGCCACACTCGTTATCATTTTCTCACACAAAAACTGTTTTCTTTCCTAAAACTAAACACCTCACGTGTGAAAAACTACATTTTATTAAACTCTAGCGTTTTACAAGACTCAAAACGTGTAAAATTGTTGATTCTTAGGGTAAAATGATAAAACTGTTTGAAAATGCGCAAGGCATGATGGGTGTCGGAAACCGTCGATCTCCCCCGATCACATTTCAGTACGTCTTGGACACAATCGACCAGTGGAAGAATCTATTTTCGCCATTTACTTTGCGTGTTTGTGCATCTTTTGTTGTGTTTATGTTTGTGATGTAATTTAACTTTGCGATGGAGGTTAAAATAGAGCCAAGCGTGTTTGATATAAATAAGATATGTAGGGCTTGTCTCTCGGAAAAAGGCGAAATGAGGTCTGTGTTCTTGGCCGATGAATCCACCGGACATGCTATGATGCTCGCAGAAATGATCACGGGAATCTCCTCCGTACAGGTTAACATAAGTACATTTCTACGGAGCTTAAAATACCACAAATGCACATTTTTTAAACACAAAAATCAAAATTAACTTTTGAGCTGTCAATTACACATCATTCATAGTCGACTCAGAAACAAAATTCGCGTCTTTGCTTGATTCAAAAAATTCAAGTCAAACTCAAAAGAATTCGATCAAGTACTAAAAGTGCCACAAACTGTGATTTATTCCAATTTAATTCAAAAACTTTCAAAATCAAAGTTCTAATTTACAAATTGAATTTTTTTATTTAAGACAAATTTTGGTGAATCAAGCCAAGACTCGAATTTTATTTCTCACAGGCAACTTCGATACAGCACAAAAATTAATTTTGACAGATTTTTTTAACAAGCAGAGCTTCCTTGATCCGTGAATTTTTGCCTAAAATAAACTTTTAATCATTTTTTAACTGTTTTTTGATTGCAGATTGACAGCGGGGATGGGTTGCCGTCGCTGGTGTGCCTCCAGTGCGTGCACCAGCTCGCCCGGGCCTACTCCTTCAAGCAGCTTTGCGAGCAGTCCGACACGAACCTGCGCCAGTATTTGGGGCTGCCCCCGAGCATGAAACAGAAGAAGGAGGAGGAGACAAGCCACGCGACCGATTTTGCAACAACTCTCCTCCTCGACAACTTCGGTTTGGATTCATCATCGGGTGATAGCGACGATGATGATTACAAAATCGACTACAATCTACTCCAAACTACATTACCGGACACAAACGACGAAAAGGTCATTGCCCAAAGACAGCTCCTTAAAGCCGCAAAGTCCCAAAAAAGCAAACTGTCGAAGAAATTGCTCGCGAAAGCCGGGGGAAAAGCAGCCGGTAATGTCACTCCCTGAATTATCCTCTCTCCTAATGAAAAATTTCCAGTTTTAGCCGCAAAAAAACTGAAACGTAACACCAACCAATGCAACGTGTGTAAAAAGCAGTTCATTAATATGAAATCATTTCGGAAGCACTTGCGGACGCACATTGAAGACCGGCCTTACAAATGCAAGCTGTGTCCCCGGGGATTCACCGAGGAGAACTACCTAAACAACCACATGCGTACTCACGTGCCTGAAGACCAGAAACCACACGAATGCAAAGTTTGCAAGAAACGCTTCATTCACACCACTCTCCTCACGAAACACATGCTGAAACACAGTGGGGAGAAGCCCTTTGTGTGCAAAATTTGCAACAAGGGATGCTACGCCGAAAACAGTCTTCTCAAACACATGAAAATCCATGAGAAGAAAGAGGGGGATCCCGCGTTACTGAAACACATTTGTGACTATTGCAAGACTGAGTTTCCCGACGCGCAGAGTCTCTCAGTTCATATAAAACAGCACACGGGGGATCGGCCTTTCGTGTGCAACATCTGCGGCAAGTGCTTCCCCCAGAGGTTTAATCTCGAGCTCCATTTGCGGACGCATACGGGGGAGCGGCCGTTTCAATGCGAGGTTTGCAAAAACGGTTATGTCTCGAAAGCGAGTTTGAAGATTCACATGCGGACGCATACGAATGAGCGGCCGTTTGTGTGCGATTTTTGCGGAAAAGCGTTCAGACAGTCGGGGGATTTGACGAGTCATAAGCGACTCCATGGGACCGAAAAACCGATAGAATGTCAAGTTTGCCAGAAAAGGTACCGAAAAATGAAAACAAAACAAAAATTGTTCCTGTTTTTGCAGATTCACGACTGTAATGAAACTGAAGTACCATATGAGGAACCACACGGGGGAGCGACCGTATGTGTGCACAGTTTGCGGTCGGGGATTCACCGTAAACACGATTTTATTGCGACACATGAGAGTGCATTCAGGGGAGCGGCCCTACGTATGCGTCACGTGTGGGAAAGCCTTCTCGCAATCAAGTACTCTAAACACACACATGAAGGTTAGTTAAATAATGTACAGGGTGCTGCATTTTGGATGTCCGAATAGGGAATCTCCGAAACTAAGAGGTTTAGCCAAAAACGAGTAATACATTCTGGGGCTCATTTTTTAAGAAAATAATATTGGTTAAAACCGCATCTCGCTATCGTCTTTTGTTTTCGACTTACAGACAAAAGTTAACATTTTGGCGAAATCTAAAAACATTCATATCTTTGTTATTATAGAAGAATAGAATTTAATAATGTAGTTAACTATTTTTTTCAGTTATTTCTTTAGCCCTAATAAGATAAACTTGTATTTTTTTAAATGGAAATCATAGGCGGCTATGGCACTTTTGAAAAGTTATTTTTTTTCTGATCTAAAAAATATATATTTGTAACAGAATATTTTTTTATAATTATACTTAAAAAATGGAATACATATTTTGTTTGATAATAGTTGGCCATGGAAAAACTATTTCACTCCAAATGTGTAAATAATAATCAATAAGAGTTTTGTAAACTGTAAAATAGATGAAAAAATTGATAAAACAAAAATTTTAAAAATACGAAACGTTAGAAGTATTGAACAAATATGCGAGCGCCTCAGAACAAAATTATTACATATTTTTAAAAAATCCAAAAATAGGAAAAACAAATGTGTCAGCAGTCAACACAATTAGAAAAAACATTTTTTTTGATAGTCTAATGGAGGAAGGATAACGTTCCACATAGACGGAATTTGAGTATTTGAATAGCCATATCGTCATTTTTGTGTCATATAATAATAATATATTTTATTGAAGAATTAAAGCGGCTTTTTTTTACAACACTCTATTTGTCACTAGAAGTTACAATGGTAATGTTAGCTTGTGTAAAAACAAAGAAATGTTATTAGATCTGTGGTTATTAGTCTTCAATAAGTTGATTTACGAATTATTTTGCATTTTTTTTATTACTTAGTGCTTAGAAAATTTTTCCATTAGTGACATTTATTAAATAATGTAGTTTAAATCCTTTTAGTTGAAGATGCAACACTTTTCCATGGCCAACTGCGAACAAAAATCAAAGAAAATTTTTTGCTAAAACTGTATCATAATAATCTGTTACAAATATAGATTTTTTAGATAAGAAAAAAACAAGCTTTTTAAAAATGACATAGCCAACTATGATTCCCATTTAAAAAAATATAAGTTTATCTTATTACGGCTAAACAAACAACTGAAAAAAAATTGTTAACTACATTATTAAATCCTACGTAAAAAAGTGCCTGCATAATGTCTTTATTTCAAATCTGTGTCTTCTATAATAACGCTAAAATGTCAATTATTGTCTAAGTCGAAAACAAAAGACGATAGCGGGATACGGTTTTAACCAATATTATTTTCTCAAAAAATGAGCCCCAGAATGTATTACTCGTTTTTGGCTAAACCTCTTAGTTTCGGAGATTCCCTATTCGGACATCCAAAATGCACCCTCTACAAAAAAAAATTATACACTAATTGTGTGTTTTAGGTGCATGCACCATCTCCCAAGTTCAACAACCAAGAATCGCAACAACGAATCCCGAAATTTCACACCACCAATGAACAAAAGTTCCAAAACCAACAACATCAGCCCCCACAACAAGCCCCTCCTGACCACAATAACCGTTTAATGCAAACGATGCAACCGGAACCACAACGTATGATGCCACAAGACAACACTCGGATGATATCCAGTGATGGTTCAAGGATTATCACTGATAATTCTCATCTTATCAGTGATAAAGGTTTGATTAATGATGGGACGAGATTGTTGGTTAATATGACGGAGCCGCCGCGGCTTCTAGTTCACGATAATTCGAGATTTGTAACGAATGATAACAGATTGTTGACAAATGATGGACGATTGCTGACTAATGTTAATGATAATTCCAGGCTTTTGACTAATGATAATGCCAGGCATTTAGCCGTTATCGAGAGTTCGAGGATTTTAGCCGATAAGTATTTAGCTAGTTATGAGCCATATCATCGCGGACATTTGTAAAGTGTCGTGGGGTTTAATTAATTATTTCTAGTGTATTTATTGGTCGAAAAAAGATTTATTTTTGGTATTTTTACGATGTGTTACCTTTATTAATATTTATGTGTGTATTTACTTGCCAAAAGTAAGAAACAAAAATATGGGCAATCTCCTAGTTATAATTAAGTGTTTTATTGTGTACAATCCGTGCTTTTTATTTTATTATATTCACATTCCCAAGCTAAAATTAGACTTGTCGTCAGAGGCTTGTAAATTATTTATTTTATTTAGTTGAAAAAAAGATATAGTTTTGTGGGGCTCTTTCAAAGTCCTCTGAAGACAGAGTGTGTCTATCAAATCAAATAGTAATAATTTGTAATTTAATTACAACATTGGTTGTGATGTTCATTTGAAGTAATTTGATCACAGCGCTGTCCATACGTGTGTAAGTATTACCATGTTAATAACTTCTTAAACTGTAAGTAGTTTAAACCTATGTAACAACATAATGTAAGTTTTTAACTTTATTCAAATACATTTTTTTATATACAACATTAAACTAAAAATCGGTAACCCTGCCTTTGCGCTCCCAATCCCCATACCTGGTGGGTTCGGGCCCCCGAGGACCCCCAACTTCTCCAGTTACTGGGTTTGTATTCTCAGGCCACGCTTCCAAGGGCTCTTTTTCCTGGTGGGGATGTTTGCCGGCTATTTCATCAAGTTTTTCAAGAGGTGTTGTTTCGCGTAACTTTTTCCTAAACTCTTCGAGCCTGCGACTGGGGGGCTTTTCTTGTTTTGAGGTCGAAGACAGTCTGGTAATTAGTGCTACCATAAAAAATTAGTTATCTATATCGACAATTTTGGCATTTTTACCATTTGCACAAGTCTGTCTCAGAGGCTTCAAGTGGCAAAGTCCAATTAGCCTTAAAGTCATGATCAGATGATTATTATCTAAATATAAATGTTAATTAAATAAAAAATTAGCAATTTTGGGATTTACCTAGCTTGTCACTGTTTGAAAACTGATTTATTTTTTCGATTTTGAAAGTTGCATGACTTAACCTCAACTGTCAATGTGACAACTGTTATATAAAATATACAGCGGATCAGTCAAATCATAGACATAATAGATGCTTAGATTTTCTAACGTTTAGTAAAAATAAATGTTTGCGGTACATATAAACTAATTTAGCTCATAATTTTAAAATTATTAACAATTAATTGTATAAACTAATTATGGAATTTTATGGTTTATGGAATTATTGTTTTCGTTGTATTTTTTTCATTTTTTTATTTTACTATTTGTGACAGACTTGACAACGTTGCAAAGTGCTAAAAACCCATGCCCATGATTTAACTGATCCGCTGTATATTTGAAGGTGCTTTCGCCACCGTTATAAAAAAAAGGTTACATTGGCCAAAAAATCATGATCAGGCAATTATTAGCAAAATTTTAAGATAATTTAGCGAAAAATTGATGCAATATTGAGGTCAATTTGGATTGTCACTGTTTCAAAACTGATTTAAATCGATTTTTGATTTTGCTCGACTTAACCTCAACTGTCAACGTGACAGCTCAACTGTCAGATTTGTAAAGGTTACATTCAGCGAAAGTTTTTCTAATTTCTTGAATTATACTGAATAATTATACGCACTTGACAATAAATACGAATAAAGTATTCAAGAAATGCTTCCGAAAATATACAGAAGTGACCCCGACATCAGAAAACACCAAATAAACACTTTGAAAATCTTCAACGACAAGTAAGTGGTGTTGATTTTTTACCAAAATAACGTTTTTCGTTTTTGTTAGCGTTGTGGAAATTTGCGAGGGTCACGAATACCAAATATGCTTCAAGTCGGACCGACATGAGCTTTGCTTACACATTTCTTTGAGTAAGGAATTTCCCAATGAAAAACCCCTGTTGACTATATCGCCCCCCATAGTCCACCCGTGGGTAAACGCCGACAGTGAAGTCACTTCAGCCCCTGGACTATTAAATGTAAAAAAAATCACAATTGTCTTGTTTTGAGTCATTTTTTTAGTTTACTATTCACTCTGACTTGGGACGTGTCGTGCAAGCTATAATTAGGGAATTTGAGCGACATCCGCCCCCTCTTAAAAATGACACTAACATCACCTCAGGACCTGGAAGCACCATCACATCGCCGACTGTCCCAACACGAGGTTTAGCCTTCATTCAATCAACAATTTTCAAAAATTGAAGTTTCAGAATGCGAAAGGTCAAGTCCCAGTTACATGAACAATTTTTCCTCACCAACTCACCAAAGAAGACTGGTTTTCCCCGAACTTAATAAACTATCAATTAATGAACTAGAATTTTTAAATAGTAATTCGGACAGACAGCAAGAATTTTTAACCGATTTACCGCCAATCAAAGAACAAAATAAGTTACTCGACGATTTGATTGCGCAAGTGGAGGAGTTGGCGGGTATTTTCAGTTTCAGACAATTTTATGAACGTATGTCTTCAATAGTAACATCAACACCTGTCAAATTTGACATTGAAATATTGACCAAAAACGGCTTATTTCTAAATTAAACTAAAAATTAGCTTCGGAATTAACATTAGCAACTTTCTAGGTAGTATTTATATTATTATTTTTTAATAATTTGATATTTTATTAAACAACAATTTAGGCTAGACATACGTTCTTGAAATTTTCACAACACTCTTGACACTTTTTCATTGTAGAGTCAAATTTATCGAAACAAGAACACCTCAGTGAAATGCGTTCAGAAATTGAGCAGAAGATAAGTGAGGTGACTAAACTGGCGTTTGAGAATGAGCGTCTTCACATGAAGTATCAAGACATGTCTGATAAATATTCTCCTTTTAATATAAAAGTACTACTTTGGTGTTTTTGGAAGTGGTTTCATGATTAATTTTCAGGAACAGTTGAGGCTAGCTGCTGAAAAAGCCGAGTCAGAGTGTGAAACCATAGCTGATAGTTTCCTAAACGGCGAAATAGACGTTGAAAAGTTTGTAAATCTGTACACAAAATCGAGAAGTTTGTGTCAGGCGAGGAAAACCAAAGAGGAGAAGCTTTCCCACCAACTTGAGAGTCTATCAAAAGCGGGATTTTAATAAACTTTGAATTATATTTATACTAGAGATATACAATAAAAATAATTTAAATTAATACACAAATTGTGTTGTTCTTATTAAAAATCTGCGTTTAGAACGTACTCTTCGGTTTGCTCACTCGATACTCCACTTTTCTGGTACTCCCCCACTTTCTTCTCAAAGAAATTCGTTTTGCCCTCATTGGAAATGATCGTCATGAAATCAAACGGGTTGTTTGAATTGTAGACTTTCTCACAGCCGAGCTCCCCCAGTAGTCTGTCGGCCACAAACTCGATGTATTGACACATAAGATCGCAATTCATGCCAATCATGCTGACTGGTAGCGCCTCCGTCAGGAACTCCTTTTCGATTTTCACCGCGTCTCGGATGATACTCACAATGCGCTCCTTGGGGGGCTTCTGCACCAGATGCGAGAACATCAGACAGGCAAAATCGCAATGCAGCCCCTCGTCCCTCGAAATGAGCTCGTTGGAGAAGGTCAAGCCTGGCATGAGACACCGCTTCTTGAGCCAGAAGATGGCCGCGAAGCTGCCCGAGAAGAAGATCCCCTCGACGGCGGCGAAGGCCACGATGCGTTCCCCGAACGTGGCGTTCTTGCTGTTTATCCACAGCAGCGCCCAATCGGCCTTCTTCTTGACGCAGGGCAGCGTCTCGATGGCGTTGAAGAGGAACTCGCGCTCCTGGGACTCGGAGATGTACGTCTCGATCAGCATGCTGTACATCTCTGAGTGGATGTTCTCGATGGCGATTTGGAAGCCGTAGAAGCAGCGCGCTTCGGTCACCTGCACCTCCTGGCTGAACCTCTCGACGAGGTTCTCGTTGACGATGCCGTCCGAAGCGGCGAAGAAGGCAAGAACGTGAGAGATGAAGTAGCGTTCGTCGTCATTGAGACGGTATTTCCAGTCGTCGAGGTCGCGAGACAAGTCAACTTCTTCGGTTGTCCAGAAGGAAGCCTCGGCTTGCTTGTATTTAGCCCAAATGTCGGGGTATTGGATGGGGAAGACGACGAACCGGCGGGGGTTTTCCTGCAGTAGAGGCTCCAATTCGGGGTCAAACTCCATGTTGCACCCATCCTGGATCTTCGAGGGGCCTGAATCGCCTTTGCTTTTATCGAAAATGTTGCTTCTGTTGTCCGTGAGGACGTTTTTCCGGTTGTTTTCACCGATTAAGGTTATCATGTTTTCTTTATTGAAAAGCGGCATTTTGCGGGGCTAGAATTTCGGTGATTTTACACAACTTTGGGGCACCGTCACGAAACAACACCCAAAACGAAAATAACAAAGGGCGCCAAACACACAAACGCTTTTATAGTCCCGTTAGGAACTCGTGAAGCGGGAAGGGCCCCAATTGGGCGAAATTTGAACAAGGATGAGTGGTATAGATAGGGAGTCAGTGGCGTCGGCTCACAGGGGCATAAAACACTTAAAAAACGTTATTTTATTAGAAATGCACGTCTTAGAAATGTTAAAAATATTATAACCTATCTTTGTGTAAATAGTAATGATATTTTTATAAATTGGTGATAAAGAAGTAACTATTTTTGAACCTTAGTGGTCAACAATTCGTGACGCTCGTGTCGTCACGATGGGTGAACAACTTTGGCGGGTAAATGGTGCATTTTGATTGGTGGAATTTGTGTACACATTGGGAACTGTGGGGTACCGAAAAGCCAACATGTTACGACTTGCTTACAACGAATTTCCAAATTACAAATTTCCATTTAAATTTTTATTCTACAATATTGGTCTTGAAAAAGATCCACAATTTATATTTTTACAGAAATGTAAAGAATAAACAAGAAATAAATGGACAGTAAAGTTCGTCCACCCAATTTCTGTGAATTTACAAAAATGGGATGTGTGTGCTTTATTGTCATGATAACTGTCATTCAAATACATATTGTCAAATTTAATGAAATTCGAACGTAATAAAATAAATATTCAGGTACAAGAAGGTATGTCTCAAAGACGTGTCTCTATACTTTTGGGCATACCAAGGACTACCAATTCAAAGGACAAAGGTAAAAAGTAGCAAGAAGCATCGAGCATTCTGTCAACATGACAAACGTTAATCAAAATTCTAAAACAAGGTTAGGAAAACCTAAAGACTAATTTACACTTTTAATCTATCAGGGAAATTGGGTGGACGAAATTCACTGTCCATCACTGTACCTATGTATTCAATTTTTTGTTTGGTTTGAAATTCAAGTTCGTAAAATTTATAATTTGCAATTTTGCAAACAAAAGTAGTCATCAATTCTACGATTATTTCTTTATCGTAAAATCGCAAATAGTAATATTTTCACTATTTTCTTTTTTAAATAAGCTAAATGAATTTCTTTGCGATTTTTTTAAATTCAAAATGAAAATGTTTGGAAACCCTCGCTCATACACTGGCGGACACGGAATTTTGGAGGAGTTGTCATTCGACTGACATAAAAATGTAAAACGGGCTTTTAGACAACTAACCTTGCTTTCGGTTTTTGTAATTTTTATCCTGATAGCTAGAGAAAAAATCACAACAAATCAAAATAATTTATTGAACTTATATAAAAACCCGTATTGCTAGCATTATTGTTTCGGAAAATCTATGCCAAAAATAAATTTAAACTAAAACTTTCAAATTTTAGTTTTAAACGTCAATCATAATGACAATAAACCGCGGCTTACATTGACATTTTTTGAACTGACATAAATTTGATGTCCAAAATTCCGTGTCCGCCACTGGAGTATAGGAAAGTGGTATTAGGGTTTCGTTAATTTTTAATTTAGTCGGTGATAATTTTAATAAATGCTACAACACTGCTTTCATTATAAAATAATAGCTTTAGTGGCTTTGACGTTCAGTTATGGGGGCTATTTTGATCTTGTTGCGTTACGGACGCAACCTTCCGTTCTTTACGCCAATGAAGAAACCAACACAAGGAAAAGTGCTGGCGAAATGTTGATTTTTTTTTAAGGGAAAGGGGACTAGATAAACCCATTTTTGAAGTGGTAAAACTGTGCGAGTTGGTTGCAACTCTTCTCGAGCAAAAGTTTAGAAATTCCCCCCCCAGATAGCCTCTTAGAGGTGTCTATGTTGTCGATTGAGAAAGCCTTTATTGAAAAAATGTCCCAAGACCCCCATTTCTACGACAACGTAATAGCCGAATTTGCGAAAAAAGACAATACAATCGAATTACTTTATAAATAGGTGAAAAACTGTGCAAAACACAATCAACGTAATATTTATTCCTGAAAAAAAAGACAAACATCTTGTTCTTGACATTATGTAACCTTGATACTGTTGTAAAATAGCTGAAAATAAACCACAGAGGCAATAGCGTCTTTCTGTTTCCAGAAAAAGTTAAAATAACTAGCACTCGTAATCAATATGACTACTAAAACCTCCCTCTGGAGGACGACTGTCCCCTGGGAGCCCCCCCTCGGCCGCCCCGAGCCCTGCTCCTCGGATTACGCTGTCCTCGAGCCCCGCGTTTGCCCCCCCGGCCCCTGAACTCGCCATGGCCGCTCCAGCCCCTGAAATTGCCACCGAAATTCTGGTTCCTCCCCCAATTCCCGTTGCTGCGTTGCCAGTTCCTCGACTCGTCATAGTACTCGTCATAGCCCTCCTCGTCCTCGTAGTGGCGGAAGTCCTGGTCGTTGCGATACGGTTGGCGGAAATCCTCGTCGGCCATGTCATAGTCACGTGGGGGCGGCTGGAAGTTCAATTCGCGGTTGACGACATTTCGATAGTCGGGATCTCGCATGTCGCTGTCTCGGCCGTACGAAAATGCCCCCCTCATGTCTTGGTCCACGTTGCGCATGTCTGAATCTTGGGCGAGTGATGGGGGCGCGATTTGGGGGGTTTGCATGAGACTGGGAATGTTTGTACCGCCGGGGGAGTCGTTGTTGCTGTCGTAGTCGTTGAGGTAATCTTCGTCGTCGCCGATTGGCATCACGTCGTGCAGCTCCTCGATCTCACCCGAGTCGATGTACTTCTGGAGAGCCTCGGGGCCCTCGGATATCGCCTGCTCCAGCTTCGAACCCGCTGCAAAAACATATTAAATTAATTAAGTGTAATTATACAGGGAGTTTGTCAAATTAAACGATATACATATAAGGTGATAAAGTTCCTCCGAAACCACTTGAATTGTTTTATTAAAAAAAATTGACAACCTTTGTGAGCCATTAACAATAGAGCCAGAGCCTGCGGTCGCCAGACCTTCGTCATTTTATAAAAGCTGAAAATTTGTCAGTGCATAACACCAACACAGGTAGAAACGATGGGCAAGTATGAAGTTTGGGTCGTCGTGGTTTAGGGAGATAACAGGTAGCAGAGAAGTAAAAAATACCAACTTAAATTTATCAAATGAAAAAGCGTAATTTTTTTTATATTTTCTTCGGAATAATATTAAAAATCACCTCATCCATTGCCAGATACTTAATATAGTGGCAACCCCTTGTCGGACACCCTTAAACTTTAATAAATTGTAATTATTACAAAAGCTGAATTTTATGCATGTTACTTGGACAACTATTAGAAGATGTTTTCTCAAAGTAACCAGACAGTTTCGAAAGTTTTACCCCCGACCAGACAAACATATAGGGTAGCTATAGGCCTTCCATGATGATACTTTGTCAAAACTGAATCATATTTATTTTACTTAAAACTTAGCACTTAGAACTGTCAAAACTGTCTGGCTAATGAGAAAACATCTTTTAATAGTTAGCCAAGTAACATGTATAAAATTCAGCTTTTACACTATAACGTAAGTACAGTTACAATTTATTAAAGTTTAAGGGTGTCTGACAAGGGGTTGCCACTATGTTAAGTGTCTGGCAATGGATGAGGTGATTTCTTATATTATTCCAAAGAAAATATAAAAAAATTAAGTTTTTTTATTTGATAATTTTAAGTTAACATTTTTTACTTCTTTGCTACCAGTTATCTCCCAATGCCACGACGACCCAAACTTCATACTTGCCCATCGTTTCTACCTGTGTTGGTGTTATGCACTGACAAATTTTCAGCTTTTATAAAATGACGAAGGTCTGGTGACCGCAGGCTCTGAAACTACAACGCTTATTCTCCGCCAATTACTTTGTTTTTATTCTCACCAGTGGCGTGCGGAAATTGTGGAAATATTCAAACCATTTATTTATTTACTTTTTACTGGTGTTATTTTTCGATGTAAAATATTGCAATTTATCGCAGTATTAAGGAAACACCCAGTATAAAATTTGGTATTATAGAACAACACTAGTATAGTGACAATTTTTTTTTTGCTTAGCACTTTTTAAAATAATTATTCTGCATTTTATGTAATAAAGAAAAAAATGCAAACTTGCAAAATTTTGAAAATAGTTTCTTATTTGTAAAAAGTATATTAATTAATAATAAATTTTTGATGGCCCTATTTCTTAGGTGGTCGGAGTACATAGTAGCAAAAATTCTACAAATGATCAAAATGAACAAAAAAATGCGTACTTGGGATCCGTTTGATAATTTGACTTATGATAAACTATACTTTGTTCACTAAAAAGAATAATTATACAGGGAGTGTACTATAAGTATATTTTGACTTTATATCAAAAGATAATAGTCACACAAAGATCAGGCGTTTGTCATAAAAAACTTTGTATTTCTCACTGTTCATGTGATTTGTTCGAGATTTTTTCTATTGATTAGTTTATTATATATTAATTACACTAAGTAATTTTTACAAACGGGCCGTTTCAAAATTTATTATTTTTACGAATTATTGACTGACTTCTTAAATTCAACAGACAATTCACATGACAATGTTGTATAAAATGTGTCTGAAAAAATTCAGATGTACATAGAAAAAAAAGAAAAAAAAAACAGTTCTTATGCGAAAAGCTGATCTTTGTGTGATTATTAGTTTTCGAAATAAATTTAAAATATACTTTTAGTAGCTTCAGTCTGTGCGTGTTGACTATTTTTTTGTTGGTCCAAAAAAAAGTTATAAATACAATTATACCAAAATATTCGTAAAGTATTTTTGTTAGATATTATAATAAAAACGAATCTCTAAACAAATTCCGAGGGAATTAGATGTACAAAATGTAACGTGGAAATCTTATTAGGAATTAGTTGTCATCTATTATACTCTACTTGCTATACTCTTCTTCAATTCCTATTTGGGTTTTTGGTCTCTTTCAGGCGATCAAAGTATAGTACAAAATACCCTGTTTATCGACAAAGTAAACACAAAACTTGTATTATAAATCTCAGTTGTCATTATCTCTTAGATGGTCAGAATATAATCAAAAAATAAATTTCTTCAAAAAAGCAATTTTTTTACCGATTTTCTAAATGGTAATCATTTGATTAAAAAAAGTAACTTTTCAGCAAACACACTGTATTTTTACGTACGTTCAACTGGAATAAGTTTTCCGTAGATAATAATTGCACTTGGGGCAATTTTCTGCAAGGGGACAACTCCTGGCGTATTTTCGACGATTTGACTAATCACTTCGTTTATCGTCCCGGCTGCGTCCTCTACAAAAAAAATGCAATAAATTGAATTTGAGTTTTTCCCCCAAACCGTAAGTTTCGTTCCATTGCGCTTGGAAATTCCTAGGAATTGGTTTACTAAACGGCACTTTTTTAATTTTGGTTTTTTCTTCATTAACAGTCAACAAGTCCAGATCGAGACCAGGAATAGCAGTGTTACCATCGGAAGAAATCGACGTCAACTCGACCTTATCATCGGGGCCCATTCCGGGAATAATTGACGGTTCTTCGCCCATATCCAAGTCCTCAAGCCCTGCAATACCGGCGGGGAGAGTATTCAAGTTGTATTTATCCCTCATTTGGTCCCCTGGCCGGTTCCTGGTCCAGAATTTGCTGGTGTGGTCGTTGGATCCTGAACAGAGGATATGTCCCAGGGGGTGCCACGCCAGGGTCCAGACTATACTATCATGGGCTTGTTCGATAGCCCCCACTTCCTTGTCGGCTCTGAAAACCCAACTCAGTTTTTTTAACACCTTGAGAAGGTTTTTTTACCCAACGTGCCAGAACATGATGGACCCATCGGACCCCCCGCTCGAGAACAGCCCCTCATGGATGGGGTGCCAGGCGACGCTGGAAGCCTCCTTCTTGTGCCCGCGGAAGGTCTGCACCTCTTGGTTGAGATTCCTCAAATCGAAGAGTTTTAAAAGATGGTCACGTGACGCCGTTATTAGCCAATTGCCGTTCTCATTCCACTTCAAGTCCATGACGGTCGACTTGTGCGCATGCCTAAGTCACCTATTAGTCGCTGATTGGTCCGATTTGTATACTCACAAGGTGGCTAAAGACTGGCCGCTTTTGGGGTCCCACAACTTGATCGGCTGCTGATTGTCTTTACTACCGGACACGATAAGCCCCTTTTGGGGGTGCCAGTGCACACACTTGACGTCAGCCCCGTGACCTGGAAGTTGCGAAAATGACCAATGTTTGCGCCGTCGTGGGGCTTACCTCGCAGGATGCGCTCCTCTTGGTACCGGAAAAAGTCCCAAATTCGCAGAGTACCGTCGTCTGAGCAAGTTACAAACTTCGTATCCGAGGGGCTGAAGCTAAATAACACATTCACAGTCATCTCAGGGCAAAACAAACAGTTAAATTTGATCATTAGTGCAGAATAAAACACTACAACTCGTTTATTTTCTTTAAAGAGGCTCATGGAAATAAAACAAGTGTGCATTTTTCATTTTTTATTCACAACGGCCGAAAAAGCTAACCGAAAGGAAAAATAAAAATGCAAATCCAAATATGTTTCCACACTTTGTGGTGCAAAGTTTAAAAACAAGCTTGGACTTGGCTCTCGTCTAATTTCTTACGGATTTATTGAACGTTTTCTCATACAGCACGGTACAACATCACAGAAATTCTTATTTTACCATTAAATCTATCACAGCCTATCGTTCATCACTCAAAAGTAAACATTTTTATGAAAACAGTTACTGGAATTACTTTTATTTATTAGAAAAAATTGCACTAATGTAAGGAAGGATGGGGTAAAATTTATTAAAAACATTTTTTTCAAAATATATACAAACTGGAGTAATACGAAGAGAAGTTGTAGATACCTTATGCCTCTAAGAGCTTCTTTATGGGCCTGGAACATCTTCACATTGTTCATATTTGACTGCCAATATTTCACGTAACCCGCGTGGTCGCCTGTCACCATCCAACTATCGTTGTGGCTCCAGACCATCGTTCGCACGGGGCTGTCATGAGCCTACATAGAAGCAAAGCAAACTTGAGAATTTGCCAATTCGTTTTTCGTTCAACAGGCCATTTATTTTGCAAAAATTCCCGCACGATTTACAATTTATGAACGTTAAAGTCTAGTAAAAAGTGTTTAAAAAATTCTCACTTGTAAAATCGTTTCGAAATTGAAGGTGAGACCATTCCAGAGCGTGAACTCCCCCGAGCTGGCGCCGGTGACGAGTCTCCTCCCTTCAGGGGTCCACGCCATGCAAAAAATGGGGCACCTCATCTTATTTGTTGCTGTTTTAACGAACCTAGTGGTGACACAGTTAATGGGGTTATCTTGGTAACTCGGAGGGGGCATCATATCAGGGTAATACATCACGTCAGGCTGCAGGGCTCTTCTATCCCGATAGTCCCTCTGCCATACTCGTGACTACAAACAAATCAATTAATTAAACACCCAATTTTTAAATAATTTGGAAACTCACTTGTAATTCTTTAATAATTGAAGAGTTATAGTCTACAGTTTTCCTCATTACCGACTTCCTTAGTCGCTTTCCATCAAAGTCTTCGAGGGTCATGTTGCCCAAAGGGCCAGGCAGGGGCCTTTGCATGTTCATGAAGGGCCTAAATGGGGGCTTGTTGTGTTGATACCCTCCTTGAAAATACAAATTATTAAGGGAAAAATATGAGTCGATAATAAATTACCAGGTCCGCCCATGTTAGGTGGCGGCATGTTCATGTTTTGCTGCCCCATGCCCGGGGGTGGCATCGCCATGTTGGGGGGCGGTTGTGCAAACTCCATCATTGGAAATCACAGCTCAATCGTTCATTTCAATAATCTTGAAAATGTCACGAAGAAAAGCATCTGTGAAGAAAAAGTTGTAATTGACAATAGCCACATCTACCATCTTTCATCAAACATGTGTCTAATGATGTTTCACCATTTACTCACCTTGGCTTGGATTTGTGATTTGCTAAGGACTCGGGAGTGTTGGAATTGATAAAATAACAAGAAAACACGCAACTGTTTCGAATGGAAAACATAAAAACGAGCTATTTCGGTTTCTGAAACTGCAAAATTTTTTGCACTTCAACACGCATGCGCATCGCGCACTGTTTTACTAATACTGCCAACACAAAAAATTAAATTCACCAGATTTGAGCTAAAAAAAGTGGCAGATTAAAACTTTACCAATTCGAATGTTTACGTTTTTAACATAAATTTTGTGTACAAAAAATGCAAAAATAACGTATTTTTGGTCTAATTCTGTAATTTTTAGCTATTTACGTTTTACCTTGCTAATACAATGAAAACGGCGAGAATAATCATTTGTTTAGTGTTTTTTGTGTTTTCGTAAAATTTCGCAAAAAACAGGTATTATTCAAAAACACTCAAAAAACATTTTTTACAGAATTTTGTGTTTTTTCGACTTATTTTTCTGGAATTTTACCCTGTGTGGCGATACCAACATAAAAAACGCAAAGGTACTTGATTTTTTTCGAAAATAAAAATTTAAATCAATTTAAAAAACAACAAGCGCAATTTATTTAGATATTAATCGGTCCATTGTAGGCTTTTTAGCAAAAATAATAACGAGAAAGTAATAATAAAAAAAACTAATTCCAAAATTTGACAGGTGACAGTGACAGTGTGGAAAATGTCAATAATAATAAAAACAAACACCTCTTTTTTGTAAAAAATACTCAAGAAGAGGGAAACCGGCGTGGAAATGGCGCAAGATTACGACGCAAAGATTAATTTGCACTTGGATATCAATCACGGTTTGGACAGGTGAGTGACGTTGAAATTTAAAGGAGGTACAAGTAACATTTGATTTTTTTAGGGTAACTGAGCTGGTTCAAACACGTTTAATCGAGTGTGGATGGCGAGATGGAGTCAGGCTAGCTTGTAGGAAAGCTATCACAGAAAATGAAAAACATATGCCCACCGTGGACGAGCTCATAGCTACAGTAACACCAAAAGCAAGGAGTATGGTGCCCGACTCAGTCAAAAGAGAACTATTACATGAACTAGAATCAATTTTGATAAATGTAGACAAGTTTGGGTATAGCAAGAGTTTCTAATTTATTTAAAAACACTTTACTGTGGTAAATTAATTAATTAATTAATTATAATTCATCTTTTACAATTGTTCTACAGTCACAGTAATTTTGTTGTTTCACTTGTTCGACTTTTTCCATATCGTCTAATATCATGACTTGACTGTCAATTTTTTGACTAAATTGATGTAATAAATGGGCATGGTAGCAAAAAATATGTTGTGGTAATAGATTTTCATTGGCGAACTTTTGCCCATTAGAGGCCACGGTCTGGGCTTCTTTGTCGTTCTTAATGGACCATTGAAGCTTCTCAACCAAGTCTGATAAGTCTCTTTTCATTAAAATGTAATGAGTATTTGGGATTAAGTCATTGTAAAAGTGTTCGTAATATTGAGATTCTTGTTTTATGACTAGGGAGCCCCCACCTAAGAGATATGGGAAACGGTAAGCGGCGACTGTACCGTCCAAAGCCAGTTGATATTTATACTAAAAAAAGAAAACATACAAATAATTAAAAATGTGCTCTGAAACTTTTACGAACGTATATCTTGATTGTTAGATATATGTCAAATTTAGCAATTTTTGGGTTAAATATTGACTAAAGCCAATTCTTTCTTGAACAAACTAAAAGCGTGCATTAACAACACTTTCGCTAGTAAATCTATGTTTAATTTTAAATAGTTTGACATATCAATTTAGGCAAGACAAACGTTCGTGTTATTTCATAGCCCTCTGGACTACTCACATCAAAGAAGCTGAAAAACGAGACATGCTCGGATTTGGGGCCATAAACGTCTTGTTTGTCTCTAAAGAAGAAGAAATTTGTCAGTGAAACATTGAACAAATCGGGATATTTTCTCCCAATATCGATCAAATCTAGTCTGTGTTGATTTGAATCCCTCCCTCTCCAAAAAGCCTTCCCTGTTCGATTTTCCCATGATTCTTTCACATTTCCTTGGACGGAAAGCATGTCTAGCATTACTCTGCCCATATTTTCCAGTGTTGATTCAGTAATATCGTACGTGGGCATAACAATGTCCAGACTTGTGGTACTCCCACACCAAGAGAAAATGGGAAATTTTTCGACTTTTTCAGTAACCAGGGGCCAGTCTCCCAAGTTAACGAAAAATTCCAAGTCGGGTAGGTTGACTTTCCTGCTTAAGGACAATAAAATCGCGTCCATGAACATCTTAAAACCCACGTATTTACCGTAACAAGTGCGGTAAACATTATTATTTTTTATGACGTAATGGCACAAGCTGACTGAATGGGGTTGATCAAACTTTTTAATTACCTAAAAATATTCGTGTTATTTGATATATTTGGTGTTTTCACCCACTCTATCTCTAATTTTATTCCAATTAATTGATTGGAAGGGCTTCAGGTCGGTGAGAATTTGCTGCGGGGTGGTACCACATTCCCATTTTTCCAGAAATTGGGCAATGTTACCAACAGAACAATCACAATCGTCTGGATAAATCGGTTCTGGAATTTCATAAGGGGACTTGTCCACATGTTCCAAATTATAAAGTATATTAATTTTTAAATTAAAGCACGGCTCATACAATTTATATCTAATAATGTAAGAACCGTCTTTTCTATTGAGATTGTTGGCCCAAATGCGACAAGGCTTTTGTGTTTTGGTCACACCGTCTAGGTGTATGTCGAAAATCACCCCCAAGTCCGAGGAAATGCTAAAATGAATCGTCACTTAATGGAAAAGCATCAAAACGTGTTGTTTACCTCTCATTTTTGGAATTTTTTGCTTGAATAAAGAAATATCTGGCTGGCATTGTGAAAATGTGAGGTTTGAGCCCAGGCCCCCATACTTTCGAAAGTTTGGCACTAACAACGGGTTCACTGGTTAGAGATGCTCTTATGAGGTAAAAAAATACGATAAAGGAATAATAAAAATAAATAAAATTGCACATTTTTGAGGTTAGCTAACCCCTGACATGTTTTCAAATCGCAAAACTGCCAATCTAGTCAACTAGAAAACCCGGAAAAAAGAAATGTGCATTGGTTTTGTTGCAAAAAAATACAAAAAAGCAATGATGGTTCCAGCACAGACTCTAGCAATCAATTCATTGTTTTTTTAATTAATAAATTGCTAAAATTCTTTTAAATAATAAATAATCACATTTTTAAAAATTACACCAGTATGCCAATGAACAAATAAAAGTCCCTAAAAATTATTCATCTTGCGACCTTGAATGTCGCATAAATTTAGCAAATTCTAATTTAGCATAAAAAAGCTATGAATTAGATGATTTTTAGTTAATTATTGCATTTTAGTCATAGCTTAACTTGTATTAATTATAGCAATCAAATTCCGTTACTTTTTTGGCCGCTCAAAAATTGGGTTATGTTATTATTTTTTCTGAAAATTTGTTAGAAACGCGATAAAACATAAAAATGTCTTATATTAGCGATTTACGTATTGCGGTAATATGCTCCAGCAACATGAACCGAAGCATGGAGGCTCATGCCTTCCTTGCAAAAAAGGGCTTTCTAGTGCAGTCCTTTGGGACAGGGGACAAAGTTAAAATACCTGGCTCAGCAGCGGATAAGCCAAATATATACGACTTTGGTGTTTCCTACGACGAGATTTACCACGATTTATTGACTAAAGACAAGTCACTGTATCCTTTTTAAACATAAATGGCCGTTTTGTGTCGTCGCTTTTTTCCTTGACAAATCCATTAGCTACACACAAAATGGGTTATTGCACACCTTGGACAGGAACAAGAGAATAAAGACACACCCTGAACGGTTTCAGGAGACTGATGAAAAGTTTGATATTTTGATAACTTGTGAGGAAAGAGTTTACGATCAAGTAGTGGAGTATATGGATAGCAAAACACCAGTTGATAACTCCATAGTGCATGTTATCAACATTGACATTCAAGATAACTTGGAGGAAGCCACAATAGGAGCCTTTTTAATAAGTGATATGTGTCTTATGGTGGGTACGTCAAAAGAAACTTTCGAGTCAAAATCAAACTCAATTTTCAGTTAGCCAAAGCCGAGGATTTAGATAACGATATTGAGGAAGTTTTACACAATTTTGAGGAAAAATGCCAAAGGCCTATATTGCACAGCATTGTATTTAATTAATTTATTATAAAAATTCTCAACTTGATTTTGTCTTCCTAATAAAACTTTTTTAATCAGTGTTGGTCCAGATGAGCATAAACTCTTCTCAGTTTCTCCCTCTTGTTCTTATTTTCATGTTTGTTGACCTTCTTCCAAGGTTTATCCCCCAGGACGCTACCACTACAAGAAAAAATAAATAATTGTGAAACACCAAATGTGTGCATTACTTCACAGCCCCGTAACCACCAATCATTGTCTTTCCTTTCGTATGCACAGCTGATGAGCCCCCATGGAAGAACATTTTATCAACGTCTTCAGTCGTTGCACGACTTGTCTACAAAAAGTCAAATAATTTAATTTCTAAATGAATTTTCATACTTTTATAGCACGAATTTGGCGAGGAGGTGCGGTTTCTAAAGAACGAAATTTCTGTCTTTCGGGCCACCTGTGGTATTCCGTTTGGGCAACACTAGGAGGGGCATGACAATATAATAATTTCCCATTCATGTAATCTTTTAAAATATATCTAGCTGCTCTGGGATTATCAGGCTGGCCATTAGCAGTCATAAATCCCCTGTTATCTAGAAAATATCAATTAGAAGAGAATAAAATTACTTTAGGAAATTTACAAGCATATGCGTTTAATAATTCCTCTGAAGTGGGGCACCTGTCAGGATCCTCCCCTTCCATGGGGGCTGGTAACATGATCCCGTACTTGTCTTCCAACACATGTTTAGGAATTAATGTCGCGATTAAATTAACAGGGGGTACATGATCCCTCATTTGATCTATTGGCAGTATTCCATTTATAATCATTTCAGCTTTGGTAAAAACAAACTTAGGCATTACAAGTCCAGGACAATCACAGAGGAGCAGATTTTTCGTAAGAAATAGAGTCTGGAAATGTTTGGTTTTCCCCGGAGTGGCAGAAACCGAGACTTTTTTAGCCGACAAAAGTGAATTAATTGTTGAACTTTTCCCCACATTGGGGTACCCAACAAGACCAATAGTTGTAACATCTTCAGTAACTTTACAACCTTTATGAATGTTTTTAAACAAATCAATCAACTGGTCTTTAGTTAATATCTCGTTGGAATTTTGAAACTCCAGTTTCAGGACTCCTAAAATCTCATTCAATTTTTGCGCAGTTTTCTCAACTTCTCGTTCTAGAGTGTCAACGTAGTCTTGGAGCTGATTCAATTCTGATTGGTCCGCTCCTCCCCTTGGCTCAGTTTCTGACGCTAAAGTGGCTGAATAAAAGATAGCTTTCACATTTTGGGACGTGAAATAGTCAGCCCAGGCTTGTCTTTGCTCCTGGGTTAAAAAATCAGCTTTATTGACCAGGACTACGCTCATTTTCTCCGGTGACACCTCCTGTGTGTACTTCTCCAAGTCTTCGCAATAAAAAAGTAGGGGGTTTCTGGCATCTACAATTTGCACAATTACGTCACTTTTTTCAACCACTCTCCATAGTTGTCTCCAGAACTCGAGATTCCGTTCATAGGGGGTCAAAAGCAAGCCTTCGTCTTCCTGCAATTTGGCCAAACCTTTGCGCCACTGGAGAAAGTACTCTTTTTCGTTTTGGTCCAACTCTTCTTTACTCATGTTGGCGTTCCAAGGGGGGCGTCGGGGAATCCTCAACTCTCCTCTGTGTTTCTCATGGAGATTCTTTGCCTTGTTTATCTCGTCTTGAGTCAGCAAGCCGATGTTTGATTTAGGATTGACAAATTTTATATCGAGCTTTTCGGCCTGAAACTCGGCCCCTGTTAATTCCGCGGTGGCTAAGAATTCCTGAAACGATGACTCCTCAGTCACTGATTGTAAATTCAAGCGGCCCCAGTCGTACCCATCTTGCAATTCTGTTGTATGCAACTGAAAAAAAATTTTGCAATTCATAAAAATTTGAGAAAACCAATACCATAGACTTGTCGGGGGTTAGTTTGCGACCCTTGGTGCTCCCAAACCGGTCCTTGATCAACGACCGGCCCAAACCAGGCGAGGATTTTGATTTTTTACCCATGTTTTTACAAACTACCACATAACCTCAACTGTCATATGGCACTCTCTCTGTTTCTTTCCAACATATGTCTATCTCGTGTTGTGACAGTTGCACCAACTAGAAAAACTAAGAAACTAGAAAAAATAAATCGCGGATTGTGTTTAAAATATTCATAAATTATTTATCATATTTTGAAGTGAAGCACAATTTTTGTGTTAGGTGCTAAATAAGAACGCCTCATTTTGAGAAAACCGTTTATTGGCGAAATGTTACACAATAGGAAAAAAACAAAAACCCTATAACTAGTTTTTGACGGTGTTCATTTTGTTGGTATTACAATTATTAAAATCCATACAAGCCCTTGGTCTTGTCAAAAAATCGTAAACTAAAAATTGTTGTAATTAGTTTGTGGATAGATAGATGCGTCGTTTTGCCGAATCCGCACGTCCAGGAAGTCTCAAAATAAAGGTAAATGTTGTACTTGTTGTGCCCGGTATCAAATTGCAATTTATTTTCAAAACAAATTTCAAGCTTTTGGTTCAACAAGGTTAGATTTTTTCACCGTTTCCCTGGCCGTGAAATAGTTCATCCCAATAATAGATAATTGGTTCAAGTTCCCCAACATTAGAAAAATATCCGTGAGCAAATTCGCCCTGTTATTATCAAACAAATAAGTCTTGGCAAAGAGCTCCAAGACACTCAGAAACCACAAGGCGGCGAAGCAAATCACCGCAATTTTGAGCTGCTTAGCGGCGTTGGCATCCTCATTCCGCAATTTCAGCTCCCTGATCTTCGAGTAGAGAATCGTAACAAAGTAGATGAGAAACACCAGCAAGGTGTAGAATCTGTGCATTTTGTCGAAATTGGGGCACGTATCGAGCTGTTTGGGCCGTCTGTGGATGTTTACCACATTTTCGCGACTTGCGTTCACAATCGAGTAGATTTGTTTCACCACATCGTTGATTTCTTGACTCTTTCCGGGCGTTGAAACGTTTAAAGGCTTGTAAATTATGCCCCAAATGTTTGAATCGATCGAGTCAGGGTCAAACAGGCGTGAAACAAGACCGATTTTGTCCATTGCGAAATACAGGATTATGACAAAAATGACTGGGAGCAGAAAAATCACCAGAATTTTGACCACGAGTTTAAACTTATTGTTTGCTTGGGGTGGTATAGAACTGTCTTCCAAATTGGCATTCTTGGCCGGTTGTTTGCTAGCCCCCACTAGGAGCGACACGACCGAGTGTAGAAACGAGTAGAGGAACATTGAATTTTCCATGAAAATTTCATCAAAACACTTTTCGTGGGGGAAAACAGTGGCGTTGTGGCCACTCTCATTCGTTTCCCGTTTTTTAACAATCTTTGTCGCATTCTGCCTCATAATCTTGTTTATGAAAGATTGATAATTGTGTAGGAAATCTTCATTGGGAGTGGTGGAATTTTCACTTGGTGTTTCAGTTGTAAAACTTTCGGGGTAATACTCTGATGTGATTTCTTCTTCGTGTTCTTGAATTATTGTTACGTCATCCTCGAGGGCGAAGACCGTGTTTGTTGGGGTTATGACGTGCTGTGACATCACAACAGCACAGTAGAAGTAGAAAATTCCGATAAAAATCGTGTTGAGAGATTCGGATAAAGCGGGGATTGTGATATTTTGCAAATTTGTTGTTTTGAGGAAACGGCCGAAATACACCGAACTCACAACCCCAATCAGGATTAAAATCACGGCGATGAGCACATAAGTCGCGTACATTTTCGCAAAAACCGATTCTTGCAAGTTCTAATATCGAACTGAAGCGGTTTACCCTCATGTGGGCTTGAAGTATGTTTTAATTTGAAAACAGTTACCGATAAACTACCGTTAAGGCGATTTTTTATTTGGAAAAAGTGAACTTATCACAGTACTTTTCAAATTTCGAAATTTTTTGATTATCAAAGTGGAATTTGGGGCCAGTTTTTGTGAGCGTTATCGTTGCAGGGATGCCTATCAGGAGAGCAGCCGACCCGATCAGTGTCCAACATGTGTGGGACGCAATCCGATCGGCGGTTCTGCAACGCCAAATGGCCGATTCGAAGCGAATTATAAAATATTTGCAACGTGTGGAGACTTGCACCTACCCCCAAGCCGAATTACACATCCAACAGACGCTCCAAGACGGACTGATTGTGTTAGTACTGTGAAAATGGAAAAATACGCATTCTTATTTCAGTTTCAGGGCCTTACAAAAAGTAACCAAAACATCAAAAGGGGACTTGGTGGACAGCTTTCGCATCCCTACACACGAAGTGGTACGTATTAACAATTGTTCTTATAAATTGTTAAAGAAATTCGATAGCCCCCCCTGGACGGGAAAGATTGGTACTGCTTCGAGTGCCACCTCGCCGGCGATGTCACCCCCTGCCAGAGGTGTTTCCGCGTTTTCCACACGGATTGCATAACAAACGGACGCCTCAAATTCCAGGAATACAGGAAAACTAACATTCTTTACGACCAACAGCCGAATAAATCCGTAAACTCGATTTCGTCAGATTCCGACGAGTTGAGTGAGTTGAGTACTTACAACAACAATGATCCGAATGATGCGCTCGAGTATGACGAAACGTTGTGCAGTATGTGCAACGTCTCTAGACTGGCTGATGGTTGCAATTTGGAAAAGTCTGAATTGAATTATCTTCTCAAGTTTGTAATACACCGGATTCAGTCTTGGGTAACCCCCCCTCGTCTTGAATGACAATTTAACGATGAGAAATTGCAGTTACCCCACACTATAACCCACACAATGGGCGAGCAAGAGCGCCCCGAGTGGCTCACCGACAAGGAATTGAGTTGGCGAGCAAACCAATTGTTTTTCGAACACAGAGACATGTCCGTGATTGAAGTTAATCTAAATAACGAGTCGTACACAAAACTGTACGAATTTCTCGCCGATGTTCTGACAATTCAGCACAATGTTGCGATTTTTCACGGAAGTGAGTGTTGGATTTTTATTTCATTTGTCTAAATGTGTGATTTTTCAGTCGAGTCGCAGGAATACGGAGCTGCCGAACTCATGGTTCGCGACTGTATGCACGACTTGACCGAGTTGAAACTTTGCGTGGATTGCTATCGCCATAGTAATGAGAAAATCAACGCAAAGTGGTTCTGTTTGCCGTGCAGAGTGCCCCACAAGTTGGTGTGGGCGAAGCAGAAGGGCTACCCGTATTGGCCGGCAAAGGTGGGTTAGCTAGTCCTGAGGGGGGCCCCTTTCAGAAAATAAACAAAAACCGAGTGCGAGAAGACATTTTTCACACATGAGCGCATTATTTAAGGCACGAGCGACAAAAGAGCGAGTGCTGCATTTGCGCGAAAATATTTTTGAAACGAACATTATAATTATTTTTTTTCTACGACCCTAGCAGAGTAAAAATTTTACATCCCTCCCCTCATAGTATCGGAAAAACATGCTGCTAGATTTAATGACAAAAATGGGATTTCAAGAGAAATTGTTAGTTTTGAAATTTCTTCTGCCTGGATCGTAGGAAAAATAATATGAGTTACACTTTCCTCCCTTGTAATACAAATAATTAATTAATTATTACAAATTATTAATGAAACTTATTGGCGCTCGACCTTGCGGTTATGTAAAGTCCCTAGATGTACAGGGTGTGATACATCGTTGTAATCAGGAACAAAAAGACTTTTCAAAAATACAGAAATCGAATATAGGGTCCATAAGAAAATCCAAACTTGAGTGTTGATCAAGAGCGCTTTGTAAAATACGATGAAAGATTTAGATTCTTTGTAAGAAAGTGCCTTAAGAACGTCTTAGTTAAAAACATATAGGTCTTTTAGCTTTCACTTGAAAAAATAAAAACGATAATTACAAATTTCCGTTTTTTTTCCAATAAATGCGCAACTTTGCCCTAATTTAACAGACCTCGTATTTCTTATAATAAAAAGTAAAATCCTTTATAGAATGCTAAAAAAGGCCAGTGCTTTTTGGGTAATTTTGGAAGCACTAGTGTGCGAAATTTGTGTTCGCGAAATGTCATTTTGAAGGTAGTTAGTTCAAAAAATATATTTAAAATAACAAAAACAATATCAATACATATTTAAAACATACTTGAGTTGCGAAATACGTATTTAGAACTATAAAATATTAATAGTATATTAAAAAACAAGTTTCATGAGACCAGTCTTGAAGCACGAATTCAAGTTTAAAAAACGAGTGGTGTAGACAGGAGTTATTTTAAGGAATGAGTGCTTCAAGGCTTTATGAAACGAGTTTTTTTTTTATACTGTTTTTTTTATATTGCCCTCTTTATGTCGTTATTAACCAAAATTTTTACTTTCATCGATTTAGGGATTGTTGTGACGTTTGGTAATGTCTAATAAGACATTGCGTTCTTTAATATGTCTAAAATGGAGACAAGTTACAAAAAATATTATTAAAGTAAACAAATAAATTTTCAAAAAAAAAAAATTACTTGCTCAGAACTCAGATTGCAAATAAATGTTTCAAAAAACAAATAATCTTCGATATCTCCGAAACCGTTACTTTGCGGACCCATGTTTATTATGCCTTTTTTGTTTGTTTTGGGCCGTACTATTACCTCCTAAAATATTTTACAATCTTTTTTTAACACCCTATATAAAGCGAAGTACGAGTAGTACTAATCGATTTGAAAAAAGGAATTAATTAAAGTACCTATATACTACATAATTTCTTCTTTTATCACGTTTCTTAGTTCTTTTATCTGAAACTATCGCGGAGTTAGCGAATTTGTGGAATTGTGATAGCATAAATTATAGAAGAAAGTTTTAGAGAAACAAATTATAAGAAAACGTTGAGTTAGAAAGAAAAAGTTGCGTAGACATGTTGGGGGCTCTGTATCATTGCTACAGCGGTAGCTACACCTCTGTTACCGATGATTGTTTTGCGGTTACTTAGTTGTGTGTTTTAGGTGATCCAGGAGACTGGCACTCATTTCGATGTCAGGTTTTTCGGGGGGAAGTACGAAAGGTCGTTGCTGATAAAATCATTGATTAAACCAATAGAAACACCGCAATCGAAACTGCAAATAAAGCCATCGTCGGCTTTTAATAAGGCGGTGGAGGAGTTAAAGTTCCATCAAAGATTGATGCAGAATCCTGATGAACTCGAAAAATTGATCAATTCGTCCAAGAACAAGATTAGGAATTTGAAACAGCGAAATTCAACATTAAAAAAGACACTCAATAGTTCGACAGAGATTAAAAAGAGGAATAGTTCGTTTGAAATCAATGATGTTTACAAGTTTGAGGACAATCCATTTGGGCAGCAAAATTTAAGTTTAACACATAAACGCAAAAGTAGCATTTCTGCAGGTAATTTTCTTGTTTTGTTCCATTTTATTCTCATTTGGGGTAATTAGGAAGTCCCGCGTCGAAAAAAAATTCAACTAGTACTCCCGAAAAAGAGGAAGAAGTTCACAACACTTCCGATAGCGTAATACACATATCAGATGGTGAAGACGATGAGTTTCCCTACTACAGAGATAATTATTCATCCAAGTAAGTGTGTGAGATGTCTCAAACTAGCTTAATTTTTGTTTATAGTTTTAATGGTTCATACGAGCAAGTTTCAAGTTCCACTGAAAACTACCGATTTCAGGAGACTTCAACTTTGAGAAGCCAGGAAAATGGGATGCAGCAACTTGATCACCCTTATAGTGATTCAGTTGAAAAGGTTTGGGAACCACAGTTAAATAACTTGTTTCTAACTTGTTTCTAGATGAGGCGAAGACTTGAATGTTTGAGTGATAAAAAAGAGCTTATCAAGTGTGCAATGGACTGTATGCAAACTGAGACTGATCGGATCACAAATGATCACAATGATCATTTGAAACGACTGTTTGAGTCCCACAATGCGCAAATATCAGAGATTAAGAAAAAACAATGGGTAAATGAAGATGTTCAATTTTGGTGTTTTTTTTTTAATTTGTTAATTTCTAGTGTTATAATTGCGAACAAGAGGCGATTTATCACTGTTGTTGGAACACAGCGTATTGTTCCCAAAGTTGCCAACAACAACACTGGCAAGCAGAACATAAAAAAGTTTGTAGGCGTAAGCGCTAGATATAAGAGATTGAAGTACACAAAATGTTGTCTTATTTTGTGTATTGTCTATTTTTATAGTTTGTTAATTATTACCCGACATTTATCTAGAGGATTAATTTTTACATAATGGGACTATGGCGTAATTTTCGTTCTGGTACTTTTTAGGACCAAGTTAAAGTACAATTCTAGTTCACTTTTTAATTGTAGGCAATAACTTTAATTAAATTTTATTCATAGTGTTATTAGAGAAAATTAAGTTGTTGGCTGTATCACAATTGAAAGTTATGCCACTATTTCATTGTTTTCTCCTTTTACTTTATTTAAAGTTAGTATTGCTTCTAAATGTATTTTTCCATTATGTACTTGCAAGAGGATTTTTATTGTCAGGAACCAGTCTACTGCAGCTTTGTTAAATTATGGATGTACAAATAAATCCTTTATTTCTTGGTGCACTTTTTATTCATCAGTTACCTCTACAAATTCGACGTTTTGAAATGCATTGGCGATGTTATTGTGCTTTTCCAGAAACTGCAACTCCTCTCGCGATAGCTGCTCGCCGAGTTGTCTCAACGCTGTTAGTATTTCAGCCTTTTGCCTACTGGTGGCTTCATCGCTCAATTTATTGAGTTTAAAGTCTTGTTCAATACTGGACAGTCTTTCTCTCAATTGTTTTGGCTCTCTTTTCCCGAAAAGTCTGATAACTTCCGGCGTTTTGAACGCTTCGGAAATGGCAGCTTGAGTGGCCTTGAATGAAACGTGATTGTATTTGGAAAAAAAAAAAGGAGTGAGGGGTTTTACAAGTTGTACAGCTCCTAGGGCACTGATAAGGGAAATATCGCCTTTGACTAGTTTGGATAAACTGTCGTTTAATTCCTTTAATTGGTCCATAGTCTCCTGTTTGGTTTCCTCGTACTCCTCTGCGTCTAGCTCCGCTCTAAAAATGCAGTTTCATCATTGAGGAAATAAACTCAGTGATGACTGACTTGCAATTTTCCAAATCCCCTAATTGTTCGACTAGTCTATCCAACTGATTTTCCAAATTTTGTTGCAGTTTTGCGGTTTCCACTTTTCCATACGAGGTCATTTTGGTTTATTTGCAACTCAATTACTCGAAATTTGCATTTTTTTCTAGGTTATATCAATTTCTGGACAATGCCGTTATTTTTTTCCTGAGTGTGTGAGTCAAGTCCCGACATACGGTTAATTTGGTGTTTTTGTTTGGTGAGTGAAGTGCGGGGGGGAGAGCGATGGGCGTGCGTCGTGAATGTGAGAGCTTTAGTTCGGTGATTTTCCGTCGGCTGCGCTAGGTGCTTTTCTAGCAACGTGAAAGCCGCGTGTCAGTTTTAATAAAGTTGTAAGTTTAATTTAAATTCGCAGACGTGACATTGGTTAAATTCGCGTTCGCATTAAGTTCGGGAGTGTAGAGGGTCGTCGGAAGAGTGGAAGCCCGGCCCGGAGTGCGTCACGAGACTAAGAAAACAATCATGTTTTTGGGTTAAAATCCGCCATCTTGAAACATATCTTAACCTTTGATTAGTAATAGTGGTAGTGTTATCTAAGTGACGATTGTCGAAATCCAGTATCATCAGCGTCGAATTTCGGTGATTGGGCGCGACGATGTTGCAGAGCTTGTGAAATGTGCGTTGTGAACATATGCCGTCGCTGAGGCCTCTGTGAGGGACGCGGCGCCCCAGGGCTGACATGAGCGGCAACCAGAAGCAGGCCGCCGGGAGAGGGCCCCAGAACCAGGCCTACTCCGCCACACTGTATCCTTTGCGTTACGCCCATCTGTCACCCGACTGTCATCCCCCCTGACTAATTCGCTGGCGCTGCATTGTTTTGAGTTGAATGTGAACTGCCAGGCTGGTAAACTTTCATTAGTTCACATTCACCTGTCGATGCAGTCCACCAGCCGAGTCATTACCGTCCATATGGTGTTCCAGCTCGGTTAAATTCGCGATTTTTGGGCCCCATCACTATGTGAAAAGTGAAGTGGTCAAGCGAGGCTCTTCCCCGATTTAATTACATAATTGTGTCATTTTGCTACGTCGCAGGTAAGGTCAGGTGTGCACCGATTGGCCCGAATCATCGTTTGCGCGGTTGCCATTTTGGCGGCGTTTTTGGGTTTTTCCCTGGTTTTGGGGGTCGTGATTCGGAAAAGCGACCAGTTGAATGCGATGGTTGATGGTTGAGGTCCCCACTTGGGTGCGCATGCGTTCCCATTGTTCCTGGCGGCGGAACCAGGAACCAAGTCGTACAGTCGATACAATGGCGGTGTCGCCGATGTAATTTTTTGACTGACAATCAAGTTTATGCAAAACTCTAAACCTCGTGTTTGAAATCGTAAAATATCGCCGATTTTTCCGTTTTTGACAACGAAACATAACATTGCGACACGTTGTTTGTAATACTACCATGTGATTGGTTTGCGTGGTGTTTGGTAAAACGCCCTTATCGATTTTTGGTGTTTGGTGCTGCAGGGAGACGTGTTTCGCATGTCTCAGCTTCTCTTTGATTTTTCTGTTGAAAGTCACCGAACGTGTTCAGTAACATACCCCGATGCAGTTTCGTATTAATGACTGTGCGTTTTCCCGTGGTGTTAAGTCGGTGGTTGTGGTGGTGAGTCATTCCACATGTCGAAGATGTTTGATGCTGGACGAAATCTCGCATTGATGGCTTATTATCGTGTGAGGGGAGTGACTTGCGTGGGTTTTTGATGCGTTATTTTGCCCCAACTCGAATTATTTGTCGTTTGTGATTTTTTTTCTTCTTCATTTTGAATTTTTCGACAAGATGGTGTCGCGGTACGTGACCAATGGGCCTGTCAAAGAGGGCATATGTTTGTTACCACCCACACATTATAGGATGATGCCACCGCAACGTAAGTTTTTTTGCGACCAATGTCATTGACAATGGACGTTGCACGTGTTTTATGCCTCGTTCTCTTGCCTAAGACAAAATCAATAATGCCTCGACAACTTAAACTTAACCCTAATTCGACGACGAGATTGGATTCATTTTTAATCAATGCTCTTCCCATTTTCATTACCGACTTTTCACTGAAAGAGTCAAATTTTGATAAGCTTTGGTTGTTTTTTTTAAATTTATTTCCGTAATGCTGAAATATGGTGCTTTAAAATCAAGTGTTTGAGAAGCCATCGCTTGTGAAATTGATATATGGTTCAGATAAAATTATAAAACATGGGTGCAAATATTCATTTCTCTGTTATTTACTTTTTTTAACAAGAGATAAACGAATTTTGATTAAATTTTATTGAATTTACTATTTGTAACAAAAAATAATGCTCTTTAGTTTAAATGTATTGAACAAAGTCTTTTTATCAAGTAAGCACACTAGTTGAGGACGTATGTCGAGTGGCAGTTTGTATGTTTACTAAATGTCAAAAAATTATATAAAAATAAAATTATTGGATTAAGCCAGTTGAATTGTTCTATAAAACATTTTTAAGTGAGATATTTTTATTGTTTATCCATACCCACGGACGCATGTCTTTTATTTAAAAAAATCATACTGACATTTCACAAATGTCATTATGACGTATTATTTTTCGTAAACACACGTTCTAAATTTCTACGGTAGCTTGATAAAAGGACTTTTAATTTTATTGTAGAAATTATTATTATTATTATCATAATAGGGTAATTTGACTTTGTGGTAATAAAAAACTACTTGCGTTTACCCACTGAATAATAATTATTGACCGTTATTTTGTATTACTTTATAATTATTATTGAAATTGCTTTTGATTTTTTACGGTTATCCATAAAGAACTTGAAATTTTTTATAAACAATATGTTTTTTTTTTATAAAAGATCTCACATCAAGAGTGTTGTGAAAATTTCATGAAGTATGTCTTGAATAGAAACATTAATACTTATCAATTATCTGTCAAATATTTAAAAATTAAAATCCATTAAAGAATTGATCAAATCCACTTTTTTTAGAACAAATTAAAAATTTGCATTATTACAATGTTCCACGTAACCTCTGTAGTATGTTGTTTTGACATTTTTAACGTAACATGCAAGACACACGTTTGTAAATTTTCACAGCATTTATAAACACCTTGTACTTTTTGTATTAATTAACTCAATTTTGTGTTTTTGTAGTGTTTTCAAAATTCTAAATTTCTAAGGTTGTTTAAATTGCAATTTTTGTCTGTTCATATGAGATTTTGATAGTATACGTGAAGGTCAAACAAGTGTAATTCACTATCACAGTTTTAATAACCACATTAAACAAATAAAGCATGAAAAGTTTTCTTCAAAATTAAAAACTTAGATGTTTTTCTTTATTTTGTCAATTTATTCTCATTACGTAAACGTAACACATTCCATGTAACTTTTTTTAACTGACATCATTGAGAAAAGACTGAATTTTTGTCACCCATACTATTTTTTATTTGCTTGTTCTGGGTTTCTTAATATTTATTAATTAGTAGTAGTAAATAGCAAAAAGACGTAAGTCACATGCAGCATTGAGATTTCATGATAAATACAAATATCAACGTGGCCTTCAGTTTAAAAATCTTTGTATGAAAATGTCATGTTATGAAAACATGCTGAGGTATCTTGAATTTTTGCTGAAAGTGTTATATGTGAACACATTATAAAAACGGAATACAAGACTTTGAGAATTTGGTAGGGAAAAAATCTCTATTAATTGCTAATCAGTAAGCAATATTTGCACCCTATTTTTCAATTAATTAAGTAATTAATTGCTTATTAACTTTCCATGGAACTTGTTTGTAAACCACTTTCATTTATTGATCCTGGATTATGAAGTAGCGTTCTTTTTATGAAAAATTTCCATTCCGCACTATCGTGTGAAAAAAATGGGACGAATTTACTTCCTTTGTTTCGGATACCGTTTTGGAAAGGGTTAAGTGTGACCCCATTTCACAAGCGGTTATTATTTAATTGTGTGTGTGAGAGAGTTAAATGTTAATAAATTTTGTTTGATCAACGCCTGCACTAATCACATTTATCGTAATAACAGTTCAATAACAATTAATTCGAAACCGATGTGTGAAAATGGTCGTGGAAAAATTTTCAAACATGTGTTTGGAAGTTTTATACTTTTCGAGTTTCTAAAGCACAACAAACAATAGCTTAGCCTAGTTAAAGGCATTTGTTTGCTGAAAATAAACGTGAATGATTTACTTCCTTCAAAATTTCGGTAATTGGTTGTTTTTGAATACAATCAATTCGTAGTGACATTGTGTGACTCGAGTGAAGGAAGTAAAAGATAAAAAGTTTGATAATATTCACAAATTAAATTAGTTTGTTGACACGTAATAGTGGCAATTGTCTTGAAAATCTAAAATTTTATTTTCTGCTAATAATCGACGAATTTGATTTGGCTTTTAACTCTCTAAACTCTGTAATCGAATCGTGTAAGCTTTATGGTATCGATTTCACGACACTTTCTTTTTCCAGTAATTACTCTTTCGTCGAGTTGCATTATTGGAGCATGGCAAAATATTTTATCAAGTCCCAAAACGTTTTTAGTAAAAGTTAAACTTCCCCAAGTCCTGATCCATTTCGCTGACCTAGATTTTTCCTGCACGGCACTTGCATTCTGCATACAATCTATTGATTTACTCTACCGCTCCTTATTTGATGACGTTTTTTGTTACAACGATTGAATTACCTTTTTATTCATCTGTTGAAATGAACTAGAGCAAATTTTTAGTTTTAAAAATACGAAGAAAGGTCATTGTTAAAGAAAAAAATCGAGTTGTTGGTTACCTTAAAAACTGTCATTAATTACAAATGACGGGTTTTGTTAAGGACAAATTTATATAACTAGCTGAAGGTTGTTATTGGGGAGAATAGTTTGTTTTGCAAAAGAGGCATTGACCTGGCCAAAATCGATGTATCTACATCATTAAGCAAGGATCGATAATAATTATCCAAACACTGTTGTGTGTTTCAACTTTTACGAAAATAATTCACGAATTAATATTAAAACTTTTCAATTATTTCGCTCTAATTGTTTCGTTTTTAAAATTTAGACCTAGTTTTATTGTGGAACACCATTTGGAATTGAAATACGTTTTTTGGGTATGATTTTGCTTAACAATAATTAGATACCAACCAATCGGACAACAACCACGTAAGTATTTTTGCAAATCTTGAAAATCGTATTTCGTGGAATATTAAACCAAACAGATAAGATAATCATTGATTATGAATCATGGTTAGACTTAATGTCAAGAATGTGTTTTTGTAGCAACTACTTGTTTCAATTAAATCAAATGAATATCATTAAACTTCCCGAAACTGTGCACTAGATGTGTTTAAATTACGTTGAGTGAATATTATTTCCTGTTATTCGCAAGGACATTTACTATCGCTTGTTTATGATTTCAGGAACTGATGGTTTTCATGTACCTACCCAGCCTTATGTGCCACAACAACAGCCCAACCAGCCGGGTAATCAGGCTCAAACATTGAGGGGCATAGCACCGACAGGGCCTCCAAATCAAGCTTCGACTCCACCGAACAACGACATCAACAAGGTTCAATCGGTGCCGCCGCAACAGTCGATGAGTCACATGGTCAGTAAACATTCTTTGCATTTTCAAATCAGATTTCGAGTGTTGAATTGGGTGAAATGTAATAAAAATGTGTCTTATATAACGAGTTACAATGACTAAGAGTAAATATTTACGTTAAATATCGAATTGTTCGATTGATTTTGATTTAAAGCTCTGTAAAAACTGTAATTGTCTCCAATTATTAGTGTTTACCGGTCGCTAAATGTGCGACTTATCTTATCGATAAGTTTTGATAAGTAAGATATTTTTTCAGTACGTAACTCCACAGCAACCAGTGCGTGGAACCCAAGGGACTTATTACAGATCAGGACCTCCTAGTCAACAAGCAAGGATGCCCGCCCAGCACCGGGTAATATAATTCAAATGAGACATTTAACGATTTTAATTGTGTTTTTAGAATCAACAACAAATTTATCAAACTCCAGCAGCAACCCAATATGTGCCGATGCCTGTTCCTCCTGTGTATATAAATGCAATGCCATATTACAACGGTCAAAGGCCGCAAGCTTTTGTACCACAAACTCCTTTGCTTTATCAAGGAGGACAGCATTTGCCGTCTCAATTTACGTTTCAACCAAACCCAAATCAACCATCAGTACCTTGTAATTTTTTTTCATCTTGAAATGTATATGTTTTTTTTTAATTGATTTATTTTCAGTTCCTTTTTATTCCATACGACAGAATCATCCGTCACAAACAGCGACGGTTCCTCCGAATTCCAATCAACCTATTCAAACTATTAACATAACTCAAACGCAACCTACGTTTCAAACGCGGCAAAATAAACGTAGAGCTAAAGCAATACCTGTTATAGATCCAGATACTGGTAATTTGGCACAATATTAAAAGTTTTCATTTATAATTTTGTTTTTCGTGCAGGTGTTGATCGATTAGATGAAGTTTACGAACAAAATAACTCCCATCCTCCTTCCGGTGAGTCATCAGCGAGACAAACTCCACAACCTGTTAATAATGTCAATAAAGAAATTCAAGCCACTTTTGCGAAACAAGTATTGCAAGTGGCGAATAGTGAACCTAGTTTAGACGATCAAGAAATACACAGTAGCTCTTTAGATCACGAAACACTCTATCCCGGAACTGGTCAAACGTCGAAACTTGATCATCTCGTGCAATCGAGTAACTTAAAGGTGCGTGATGAATTTTTTTTTGGGGGAATTGTGTTTTATTGTTTTTGTGTTTAGGTGCAGGCCCCAGAATTCGTACTGAGTCCATCGAATACTGCCAAAGAAACACCGATAGTTTCCGCGATTTGTGACGCCGTCGAAGTCACATTACCCAATAAACAAATGAAGGATCGTGAAAGTCCAGCAAAAGGCCGTAAACAGAAAGAGCAACAGCAACACAAGGACTCCGTCAAAGACACTCCAATCAGGGAAAAAGTCAGTGATAAAGAATCTTCCAATGTTAATAAAAGCGATAATAAATCGAAAGAAACGTTATTACCTAGCGCGAGTATTGCACCAACAGTGAGTACTACTCCGGTAACGGTTACGAACAAAGACAATAAAGAGGTTGTGACGACGCTGCATCGTGACGATAAAAAAAATCAAAAGAAAGACACTAAAAATGATACAAACGTGCCTAACGTCGATGTTAATGAAAGTGCAAACGTTTCGACGAATCAACCAGCTCAACCCGCTCAAGATGTCTCAACAAGTGGTAAGATGACTTTTTTTTTACTACGTGTGACCGGCGAATGTAATAATGGCGGAAAAATTACAATAACAATACATTTTTGTTATCGCGATTACAATAAAAATGTATGGGTTTTAGCCTTATCTTTGGTTATTTTACAATTTAAAAATTATGTTAGCAACACTGAATTATTGGTGATGTCAAACTGTGTCAAGCCGGAAATGAATGACAGATGACTATAAAATTGTGACGTTTGAATTTAATAGTTAATATTGCCAACTTAATTTTCATTAGTGGCTACTTTGATCAGGTAGAGTGCAATAAAAGCCAAAAGTACACACCTGAGGGTGTGTGCCTCCTGGATGAGTATAATCTTAAGAATTGGGAGTTTTTTGAAGTAGACATAAAGCAGTGCAGTGTAGTTTTGATTTAGGACTATAAAAAGGAAACTAAAGCTTATTAGTTTTTTAATAGTTAAGTTTTATCGTTTTGATAGTTACTAATGTCGCTTTGATCTGATTGGTGTTTTCATGTCTTAACTGAGGCGTTTTGTTCTATAATTTTAAGAAATTTATTAGCAAAAAAAACATTTTTATTCTTGTAAGAAAAGTAAGGTTATGCTATTATGATTACATAAATTACACCGATTCAAGCTGAATTTAAAATAGATGAAATAAAACACAAAATTCCGTAATACTCACTGGTCGCAATCGTCAAAAGTGCTAGTTTAAAAAGTGTAATTAAAAAATTTCAACTGTAGAAACGTTTTATCATAAAGCTTCAATCGAAGCTTCAATTTAAATTAGTTCTGCACTTGTAACACTTTATAATTCACTTACGTTAGTTTGTGTTGTTTTCTTATGATTTTTAAGCAAAAGTTCCGAAGCTCTTAAATACGAAACAGTATGTTTTAACATGTGGTAAAGTAAGTCGGATTTTTGCTGTAAGCGGCTGTAAATGCAAAAGAAAAAAAAACTGTAAGTGGAAATAGTGCTACGGGCACCAATTTCATTTAGCAACATTACTTTATTTCGCCACTGCATTGTTTTCCCTCTTAAGTTTATACGCCATTATGTTCCTCCCAGATGTGTACTTTAGACTTTTACTCCACTCTATTTAATTGGAAGCGTTTTTTTGCTACGTGGTACCGTTAATTATCGGAAAAAATACAATAACAATGCATTTTTGTTGTCATGATTATAGTTGACTTGTCAAATTTATAGTTTTTAGTATTCTTTTTGATTATTTTTATTTATTTTTGATATTAAAGTGTGTCAGGTGACGGCCATGCCAGCGACCACCCGTCGGAAATAAATGACAGTTGACTATAAAATTGTGACGTTAAAGTTTATTAGTGAATGTTGCCAACATAATTTTATCATTTGCAACTTTGATCAGAGATTTAATTGAATATTTTCTACTTCTATTCAAAAGTTTCAATATTAAGAGAAAGTTTAGCTTCTTTGCTTTAAAACTTATAGGTTGGATAATGCTAAATCCAATAATGCTAAATTTCTGTTTGCATATAATAAACAAGAGTTTATCAAATTTTACCTGGAATTCAAACAGATTAGGTTATTTGTACGGTAGCTTAGTAACTTTTAATATCCTGAAAGGGGTTAAAAGCTGTTTCAGGTAGAAAATGAATGTTTCCAAGTATTATTAAGCTTTATGACGGTAATAATAATTAGTGATTTTCAGCCTTTTAAACGAATTGTTAAGTCAAGGCTATTATTTTTCGAAATTTTATAATTACACTGAAAAAAAATTAGGACAATCAGTGGATGATGATTCAATGTTGAAGTGAAATATTTTTGGTAAATAACAACTCATCCCCTGCTATAAATTAAACGGTGCGAAGGTGACAGTGAACATATCGGTTTATCAGCGACGAACACAAAAACTCTCGCAAAAAATTCCAATTTTTCGGAGTCGCATTAGAAGTTGAATCGCTGGTGCGTCGTGCAGGTGATTTGTTCAAAGACAATAAACTCTGATAATTTGTTTTCTTTAAAAATAGCTTTTTACGTACAATAAGTGAGAATAATAAAGAGTTTAGTGCCAAAAAATGGGTGGGAAAAAACGTAAACGTAAGTTTTAAATTTGGGGCTTTGATGCATGAAGAATTTAGAAAGTAATTTGCATTTTTCAAGTGGGGGTCCTTGTCTCTCTATGTTCCCGAATTTCGGGTCGCATGATGCATTCCTGTGTCCAAAAACTGCAATTCGTTAGATTCGGTTATCTTCGTTTTCGTGCGCAAACGACCGAAGATAATAACAAGATGGCAGACGACCTCTTATTGAGCGTCGACCGCATGGGTCGCACGCTACGTGGTTAAATTTCGTAAAAGTTTTAGTTTTTTAGTCACATTTATACTCTTACAATACTCTTTTATTTAGTTTCGTGTTAGTTTATTGCGTTTTAACCGGTAATTTTGTCGCATTGATATTAATTTTAATTTGACCTTGTGATTCTTGGCAATTTGCAAATTTACCGAAAAATCTCCTATTTGCTCAATTTTAATAATAGTTCAAGTGTGAACGTTGTTTTTTTGCAAGTGTGTGTTGTGTGGTGTTGGCCGTTTATGGGAATTGTCTGGAAAGCAGCACGACTCCCACTCATGCACCCCGGTCATAGTCTAAGAATAGCACAGTGACCCAGCACAATGGACACATGGCAAACAGTAAATAATAAGGGTAAATTTATCGAATAGACAATAGGATATTCCATATGGATCCCGATTTAGTATTATGTAATTCTAGCACAGATTCTTTTTAGAAAGTTGTTCATCCAGTTTTTGCACGGACTATTACGAAATGTCGCGGCCTTCTGGACGAAAACGATACCATTTTTTCATTCCATTAACGACCTAATTCAATAATTTGAACAAAATTTCAAGAAATAATGCGCATAATCTAAAATAAAATTCCATTTGGCTTCTGAAATCGGGCTAGCGTTGCAGAAAAACACCACGTGGTCGTTCACCACCTTTGCGCCATCAAATTCCCCTAAATGGACGCCGCTCAAATTTAAAATATTTTATCGATATTTTTACCAAAAGGATGGGTTTTATTCACATTTGTGGTCATAAATTATTTCCATAGGTCTACTAGTTTTCAAATAGGGATTTTTATGAATGAAAATAATGCTCTTGGTAACACTTGATTTATGTTTTATTAATAATTTTTACATTGACATGTAAAGTAGATCATTTGGTGTCGCTCTGATTTATTATCCTTTTGTGTAAAATAACTTGATGGAAATAAACTACATTTCGGTCATAAAACGATGTAAAAATGTTGCTGTTACATAAATTTACCGGTTTTTAGTATTAATTAAACTTGTGTAGTTTTACAATGATATTTTTTAATAATACGAACATCGTTTACAGTTAAAACATTTACGAAACTTGATTACCATATCGTGAAATGACCTTTGTTTAAAACAATTATAATTAATGCATTTGGTCTTTATTATTTTTTTAATAGAGTTATATGACAATTGAATTTTGCTGTAAGCGGTTATTTTCTCTGCAAAAGGTTATCAAGTTTGTTATTTCATTTCAGTAGGAGACAAATATTTTGAACATGATTATGAAAATGCAATAAATGACATTGAAGAGTGATTCTAATCACAGTTCCAGCTCCACTTGATGTGTCGTAGTCAAAGTGGCGTTTTATACTGTGAAGATAATTTTGCTGTGCTCGCTATATGCGCTAGTTTTTTGCTGGTGACATACACAGTGCCGCTACATTTTTTATTGTAATATGAATTAGTTTTTGATTTTGTTTGTCTTGTCTTTGCAGCTAAATCGAAGAATGCTTCACAGAGGACGAAAGATGGACAAAAGCAGCAACAGATCTCCGCGTCGAGTAACCAGAAACAAGCTGCTGCTGCTGCTGTTGCTGGGGCTGTCGTGCCTGCGCCCCAGCCCTCAAAACCGAACAGTAAATCAAGTAAAAAGAATGAACTCAATCAAAAAGGTGCAAATAAAGAAGGCACCGATATGGACGCATTCAACGATAACGTTCAGTTGGATGACGTCAACGCAAATGTTAGTATCAATAATGAAATCAATGCAAATTCAGTCGTAAATAATACGAATAATACGACGGTTCCTACAAGTGATGCTAATAAAAAGAATCATAATACTGAAACTTCAACGTTTAGGACTGAAACAAAGACTTTACCTAAGAGCAAAGTTGATATTACTGATATTGTTAAGGAAAAACCGAAACCAATCAAATCATTTCCACAACCAACTGAAACTCAAGACGAAATTGATCGAGCCACGCCGTTGAACAACGATAAGTTGGTACAAGCGAAAAATGAAGCAAATACCAAAGCCAGTTCGGAGAATAGTACAGGGACAATCATCGAACCGAAGCCCGCGCTACCCTACAGGGACGGTTAGTAATTATTTATTTCCCATGAAGAGTGCATAATGTTGTTTGATTTAGGTCAATGGGCCCCAGATAATTTAGATGGTAAGAAAGTCTACGATAAAGATTTCTTGATGGCTTTGAGACACGACCCTGCTAGCAGAAGAAAACCTGAAAATATTCCTGACGTTATAGTAGCAGATGAACGAGGGGTACGTCTCATATTATTTTGAATATGTTTTACTTTTATTTTTATTATAGCGTCTCAGTGATGGAAGATACTCAATAGGTGGCGGGCGGACTGATTTTGCCCCTTCGTTTAATTACGGTGGCAAATCTGGTTCGCAAAGAGGCGTAAGATAATACATTTTTTCAAGTTTTAGTACTCAAAGTGTGTTTTTAGCCGCCGCCTAAACGTAATAGCCAGTCTGGTAAAGTTGGTGGAGGAGGCGGCAAAGGCAGTAAATCTCAAATGATTAAAGTGTCGATTTCTGTTCGTGAAGACGTTAAATTGCACGAAGTAGAGAACGCATGGAAGCCAGCTCGATTCCATAAGAGCGAAAATATGTCTGACGAGGAGCGAAAAACTGAAGAATTGTATAGGAAAGTTCGTGGTGTGCTCAATAGATTAACGCCACAAAAATTCGATACGTTGGTCAGTCAAGTTCGACAATTGCAAATCGATACAGCTGAACGATTACAAGGTGTGATTGATTTAGTTTTTGAAAAGGCTGTTGATGAACCGAATTTTTCGGTTGCTTATGCACTTATGTGTCGGGAATTGGCTCTTATGCAAGTACCTGCTACGAATAGTTCTGACGATAAAAAAGAGTTTGTCAACTTTCGGAAATTGCTCGTTACTCGATGTCAGATTGAATTTGAAAAACAATCGCTCGATGAAAATGCTAGACCTCAAAAACTTAAGGAAATTGAGGATTGCACCGATCCGGTAAGTTATTGCCAAGTTTTTTTTTTTGTCATCAATTTACGTTTTATGTTTTCTAGGAAAAGAAAAAGGAGTTGACTTTTGATTTGGAAGAGTATGATCGACGGTTACGCATGAAATCAGTTGGAAATATTCGCTTCATAGGTGAGACAATTTTTAGTAAATTATAATTATAATTAGTAATAAATTAAACATGATGTTGTAAAATGAAAGTAGTGGACCGATTTAAATGAGGAAAACTTTTTTTCTGACTTTAGTTAATTTCGTTTTATTATAATTGTGTTAAATTAGCGAAACCACTTATTTGATTCATTTCCAGGTGAGTTATTTAAGCAGCAAATGCTGACTGTGAACATTATGCTGAGATGTTTGGACAATTTATTGGAAAATGGAGATGAAGAAAGCTTAGAGTGTTTGTGTAAATTATTGACAACAATCGGTAAAGAATTAGAGAGCAAAGAAATTGATTTAAATAAGATATTCAATGCCATGAAAGATATTGTTGATAAGAAGCAGGGAAAAGTTAGCAGTAGAGTTAGGTGAGTTTAATCACTTGTTTATTATTTATTATTGTTTTCTTAATTGTTTTTTTCAAAGGTTTATGCTACAAGACGTAATAGATCTTAGAAGAAGTAAGTGGATTCCTCGTCGACAAGATTCAAATCCGAAGACAATTGATCAAATCCAAAAAGAAGCCGAAAATGAACATTTAAATATTCAAGCCATGAATTCGGTTCCTGTAACACCAAGAAAAGACGATAGAGGCAGTAGCGCTGGCGCTAACACAGAAAGAAAAAGAAGAAATGTTTCCTCCGATGATGGTTGGCAAACAACTACCCGAAATCGGACACAATTTTCAGTCCAAAGTGATAAATTAAAAAATAAACCTGTAATACATAAATCATTTTTAAACCACCGTTTTTTTTAAAGCTTTTTTTGCAGCCTCAAACCGACGAACCGTTGGGAAGCCGACAAATGTTTGGTAATTGGAGTAAAGGCTCGAATATTAAAACCGAAACGTCAGCTACTACTAACACTGCCAATATGTATGCGGCACTCGAACATATCGATACAGAAAAACGTCCTTCAGGTAAAGACAATTGCAAGAAAATAAATTACCACAATCCCAGCTCCACATTATTGTATTTAATAATAGTGGCGTTTAGTATTGTGGAAATCAACGCAAAGTTCGCTATGTTCTGTAGTTTCTTATAGCTACAGCAATACAAAACTTTGCAACAGTTGAACTAAAATTTAGTTTTGAGTTTTGCGAATGTGTTTTTTTTTTTGCAGGATCGAGGTCGAAAGACCCTTACAGTTCCAAAGGGCCGAGCTTAGAACGCTATAATAAGTCATACAATGATGGAAGAGGATCCAGATCTGGTTCACAACATCGGTCAGCTGAGAGGGAGAGTTCCTTACCCCCAGCTCAGAAACTGCCTCAGACAACGATGCCAACTACACCAAAAGCAGCTGCACAGGTGCCTAACATGACAGAAGAACAATTAGAAAGACACATGAAGAATAATCTAGACGAATATCTAAACGATAGTTGTTCAATTGAGGAATACAGTCAGGATACTCAAGCTACTGTTCCCCAAGCATATTTCCCTAAACTGGTGACTGACGGGTAATTAATTAATTTGTTTTTTTCTTAATTTGCACGAAATTCTTGAATGATTATTTCTTACTCGATGAGAATTGATCGGGATTTTAGTGCAATATTATTAGGGAAGGATTCGCTAGCACCACAAGAATTTTTCGATGAGTGGGGTTTGATAGTGCCCTTCCCACATTACGTTTCTGTTGTGATGCCAATTAATTTTGATCATTTTTCAGGTATCAACACGTTTTAGAGAGATCATCGACTGCTCGATTAAGAACAGGCAAATTGTTTGCTGATTTAATTAATAGTGGAACTCTTCCGTTGGAGGATTATTGTAAAGGTTTAGAAAACTTGTTGAGTGAAGTGGATGATTTGACCATTGATATTCCAATGATTTGGAATTATTTGGGCGAGATTTTAGGTAAAAAATTCTCTGATCAAGTGATGAAATTGATGATTAAAAAATGTATTTTCAGTTCATTTGATTTGTGAAGAAGCTTTGTCTATAAATAGGCTACACAAGTCGTGTGAACTGATTATTGAACAGGGCCATGGAGCGAAATTATTAGGGGCATTATTTAAGTTAGTTGTAAGTGAAAAGGGACCGAATTTTCTTACTAGCTGTTGGCAAGCTTCAGGACTTAGTCTTGAAAGTTTTATGAACCAATCTCAGGTTGAATCTTTTATAAAAGATAATGTAAGTATTATTTCATATTTTATTCACAATCCCAGCTCCACATAATTGCTAAATCATCGATTATAGTGGCGTTTAGTATTGTGAAAATTAATGCTAGTTCGCTATGTTCAATAGTTTTGTAGCTATTGCAATACAAGACCTAGCAACACAGATCAATAAAATTAATTGTATAAATTACGAATGCAATTTTGTTGTAGAAGTTAGATTTTCTATGTGGCGGTGCACCGGCAACTGTCCAAAACCAATTAACCTACGAGCAGATTCATAATAAGTTAAGGGAATTTTATGCGAAGAAAATACCATTTGATGATATTGTTAATTGGATAACGGTGAGTTGATTAACAGTGATTGTTTTTTTTTCTAATGATTTGTTTTCAAGGCTAATGCGGGGGATAGAGTCAAGGACGGTAAATTTGTTAGGATATTGGCAACATCGATATTCGATCATGCGATAGTGCGTCATCGATTGGTTGTTGAAAACTTGAAAGCCAACTACAAGTTGTTGCAAAAATACGTTGATAATAAGCCAGAATATGAGTTGCAGTGTCTTTATGCGTTGCAAGCGTTGATTCAAAAGCTGGAACATCCAAAAGGTAAGTTTGAGGATTGTTGTATCACAGTCATGCAGCACTCAATAATTTTCAATATTATTGTTGTGAAGAAAGTACTGTGTACATAAATAAAGTGTTTCCTATTTTTGCTAGTCATTTGTTGGTTAGTGATTATCAAAACACTTTACATTATTTTTTGTTGATTTGGGCAGTTTTTAAAAATTTTGTTTTCTAGGTCTTCTCTTGACTATTTGTAACCAGTTGTACGAAGACGCCATTATTTCTCAAGACAGTTTTATTGCTTGGGAAGCTAGTACTGATCCTGCTGAGAAGGATGGCAAAGGTTTGTTTTTCTTCTTTTTGAGACATGTTTACAGTTTGTTTCTAGGTGTGGCACTAATGCAGTTGACTAGTTTCTTCACTCAGCTGAAGGAGAATGAAGAAGAGTCAGGTTCGTCGTCAGATGAGACCTAGCAGTTAGCAGTCCCTTTTGTGATGCTGGCGTCCTCTTAGACCTAATAAATTATTAAAAACATTTAAGTGAATTGCAGTGACTCTTAAAAAGCTAGTTAAAAAATTTTTACAATTGTTTATATTATACATAATATATATTATACATATTTCATAAATATATGTTGCGAAACGTGTGAAGCACAGACTAACAGTTAAAATTAAAGTGCGGGAATAAACGTTCAAGTTATCAAGTGCCCTCTAATCAATTGGAATAAAGACAAAAAAAATTTAAGTGATAAAAACGGACGAAACGTGAACAATAGTGGAAGAGCGTGGGCTCAGCTGGCCTCAGATCCTGTTTTATACTGTATATTTGTCTTTATTATTTATATATATTTTATATTGTTTATTTGGTAACATTTTATTGTTTATAGTGACGTCGTTATTTTATTAATTATGCGCATATGGAGTTGCTTGATTCATTTCGGCTGGGCCCGGTAATTATTAAATTACACGTCATTGTAAGCGATTGATCGTGATGTTTACTTTTGTTATAAATTAATTTGTTATATATCATGATTTCTTACTGTTAAGTTATATATACATATGATAGGTATAATTGTTCTGTATAATAAATATGCAGCTGCACACTCCAGTTTTAGATTTATTTTTAAAATAAATTTTTATTTTTTTCGTGTTACAACAAATCTGAAACTGCTTTGAGCGACTGTTACTAGTCAGAAAAGTTATTTTCTAAGAAATATTGTATATATTTTCCGACAAAACATATACAGTATTTTTCTGACTGATTGTGTACATAACTTCCTACGGTTGATTACCCAGTTATATTCAACCGAACTCTTTATTTTAGAAATAACTTCGTTTTCAAGCCACGACTTGCTTTCTGAAGCAACCTGGCTTGGAAATTCGAGACATCTTTTTTACTGCTGTGTAACCAGTAATTATTTTGTGAGCGAAATTGAGAGCTGGTTTCCTCAGTGAAGTTATCAACTATTAAACTTAGCGGTCAGGGATCGATGAGGAAATTGTTTAATTATGGTTGGTTTATGAAAAATATACATAAGTGTGTTAAATTATCAAGACAGACTCTGCCAAACTGTTAATAACATTTATAAAACGATGCTAAACCTAGGCAACTGACATAATAAATGAGCAAAATACCAACACACTACATTTTTTATTCACCCGCCTCAACTTCCTCATCCAATAATTTCAACGTTGTGATAAAATAAAAATTTATTTACAAATTCTCAGCCTCATCTACACTTTCAGGTAATTTATTTCCGAGAGTTTCAGGTAGCTTCAACGCGAGGACGCCCGCCGCCACAGCAACCCCCCCGAACAGCAGCATGGGCAATGGTTTGACGTAAATCCCCTAAAATTGACTCTTGTTCACCGGTTTCTAAGTTTGTTTACGCACCAGCATGGGCACAAAGGGGGCCAAAAGGGCCCCGAACCGCGCCATGGTCGACGCAGACCCCACGCCGCCGCTCCGCACCGCTGTGGGCAACATCTCGGCTGTGTGGACGTACACAACCCCGAAGGCGGCCGTGATCCCCAACTTCCCAATCAGAAACAGCAGAACAACAGCCCAAGTCATATCTACAAACCCACTTTGATTTGGTTTTCAACACGAATCGGGGAATTACCCGGAGGTACGAAGATGGTCAAGGTACAAGTCAAACCACACAAAAGCAAAGACCCAACAAGGGACAACCTCCGCCCAATTTTCTGGATGCTGACCCAGGCAATTGTGTATCCGGGGATTTCCACCAAACTAACTAAAGCGAAATTGATGTATTTATTCCCGCTCATGCTCGTCGAATTCACTGATAAGCCGTAGAAAACAAACGCGTTCACAGACCAAATGAAGTAAGTAATCAACATCCGAATTACGAGTTTACGCGATTTCAGGAGCGTTTTCAGCACGAATAAAATTTTCGTTCCCTCATCTTCGCTGCCACCGTCCTGAAAAACAATTTATATACACGGTGATTCAAAAAAAATGGACAATGGTGATAGAAAACGTTAGTAGAAGCTCAGATTTTCTTTTATTATTTTTCCAGGCGCGTGAAAATATGGATATTTAAGTAAAGAACACAGTCGTCGCCGATTTTTGTAAATTTAAGATGTTAGACACCGAGCAAAAATAATTGATATAATTTTTTTTTGATTTCCTAGAATTTTCTCTAGGTTTTTCTTCTAGATTTTTTTTAGATCCTTCTAGAATCCGGAGAAAGTCCACATGTTTTTCTAAATTATTCTAAAAATTTGGCTATGTTCTTGTTCAAAATTATTCTGTAAAAAAATTTTTCTTCAGATCCTTTAGATTTAATTTTAATTTTTTTCTTAACTTTTTTATGTTTTCGATTTCCTAGAATTTTCTCTAGGTTTTTCTTCTAGATTTTTTTTTAGATCCTTTTAGAATCCGGAGAAAGTCTGCATGTTTTTCTAAATTACATTCTTTTCTAAATTATTCTAAAAATTTGGCTCCGTTCTTGTTCAAAATTATTCTGTAAAAATTTTTCTCTTCAGATCCTTTAGATTTATTTTTCATTTTTTTCTTAACTTTTTTATGATTTCGATTTTCCTCTAGGATCTTTTTTAATAGTCAATGTTGCCAGGTTTCCGGTTTGTGGCATATTTGCTGACACTTTTTTTTGTTTTTTAGATTCCTCTTCAAATTCTTTTGAATCTTTTAGATTGTTCACCAGAGAAAGTAAAATTCTTTAAATTCTTTTCTAGATTTTTTTCTAAATTCTTTCTTCTTCATAACACGTATTTTAATTTTTTTATGTTTGTTGTAAAAACAAGGCTGTACAATTTAGTACAGACAGAATTAAAATTTTGGGCAGTATTTTTCTGTCACTTTAAAAAATTCATTGTAAACTACCCTTTTCTCTCATCATGACTGAGATTTGACAATTAATTAAACTTTTTTTTGTTGTTAAAATTGTTAATTAAACAATTTGTCTGTCTTAGGAAATTTATTAATTGAACTAAGTGTAATTAAATCATCGCTTTGATCTGCCGCCTACCCGTTATTATGCTATAAATCACTATTTTTGAAAGTAAATAAGTCAAAATGATATAAACATGACAAGAGTAAAAATTAGGTTATTAATGTAAAGGTTGTTTTAGAGTTTACATTATAAAAATGACAATACTGCCCGAAACTTTAATTCCGCAACTGTACTTCATAATAAGAAAAAATTTTGGCTCAAAAACAAACCAACATATGAAAACAATTTTCTTTTAAAATTATAAATACAAATAGGTACACTACGGAGGTAAATGAAATGTATTCTAAAAAATTTGTTATTAACAAATAATTTACAACATATTTGTTTGCAATTTTCGTAGTAATTTGATGGTTTTAAAACCGCGCGAATATGGTTTTTATGAATCACGATGTATACTGAGCTACTTACATTCGAGTCTGTTTTAAAGGAGGCTAGTAACGACTCGGATAAAGTAACATTATTTACTTTAGCCGCTTTGCAAACGATTCCTTTGGCTTTTTCGCGTTTTTCGTTGGCGAGAAGCCATCGAACGGACTCTGGTATAAACCTAAAAATCAACTTGTGCAATAGTAGATTACATGCGAGGTGGAAAATGACATTTCAAATGACTATTAGTATAGAGATTGTGAATAAAAATTAATACAATTGATAATTTACCAGTAATATATGAAAAATAAAATCGACGGACTAGACACAATGAGCTGTAACAAAACCCAGTCTTTGGTGTACCACGCGACAAGCGCGACCACAGCTTCACCCACAGCGTAAAAATAGTTTAACACAATTCCGGTGATTTCCCGCTTCCTTTTGCCCACCATTTCGACACCTGTTTGAATTCATGAAACTAAAATTATTGTAATTTGAATTAATTACCGATAATGAAAGCCAAGGGGTAGACTCCGGCCGTCCCCATTGCGTTGACAAACATTAAAACAACAAAAGTGATATATTCGGGGGAGACAACTTGGGCACATCCTGACACACTCATGATAAGAATACAAATAATAAAAATCCTCTTGCGTCCATACCTACGAGAATTTTTACTGATTTTTACAATAGTGGAAATTAGTCACCTATCGGCTAAAATCCCAAATAATCCCGATCCCACGATAATCCCGGCGAAGTGACTCGTCCCCACGAAGGAGAGCTTCCATTGGTTTTCCACACAAGTCAAGTTCCACTAAAAAAAAATTAAAAATATTTTAATCCTGAGAATGTAGGTAACGCCAGAGGCGACCGAAGAGCGCCGAGGGCATTTTCATTAATTGGGAGCAAAAATGCTTTGTTATTTTTACTCACATCGTTTACTATTGTCCGTTCCTCGGTGTCAAACACCCACTCGTTGCACGTTTCGGTCGCATTCGTGAACAACTCTCTCGAACAGTAAGTGTAATTCGCGATTGTTTTATTTATTGCGAATCTGTCACAGAGGTGCGATTTTGAGTCGAGTATTTCGCTGGAGTCGCCCCCAGGAATGGCAAAGTCGCGCCAAGGGACCTCGTAAGTGGCGTTTTCTGCATCTTCGCACTCGGGAATGAAGCATCTGAAACGGTGATTACCGCCATTGCAAGCAATTCAAAAATCAAACCTGTAATTTGGGATTCCCGCCGTGAACACGTAACTTAGACTATTCGCCGCAGCGAAGAATACTGGAAGACACACCAGGAGGTATGTCGTGATTTGGTATTTGCCCAACTCGCCCAACTCTTCCAACATATCGTCAAAGTCCATGGTAAATCTGCAAATCACACGATTTGAACAATGCAAGTGATAAGATTGTTTAAACTTTATAAACACAGATTTGAAACCTCTGTTTGACAATAATAGAAAATCTTATCAAGTTTTTTTTTTATTATTTGCAACACAATTGTTGAAAAAATAACTGTTATATAATTGGAAATATTTATGTAACGCTGCTGCAAGGCCAAACACTGAAAATAGCTAATTTGTGAAACGAAAATTACTTACTGCAACTTTATCTCGTAACACAAGAATGAAAACTATCAGTATTTGATTGCAAGTGTGTCATATAAGTAGACGGAATTTAGTTAACGATCTGTGATAAATCAGAGATGAATTCTTTCTTATATTAAATTTGTTTGGTTTTTCTTTTACGCGGGATTCAAAATGTGAGAGGGATTTCCACCCATTTGGTGGTAGGGAAATGACTAATTTGTAAACAGTGATGATTAGATGTTTTCATAATTTTTAAATCTGAGATAATTAAGTAATTACATACAAACACGCAAGAAAAATTCCTGCATCTGCAATTTTTTGATCATTTGATCTTTATTAACTTTTATTTTCTACTCAATGTTAAAGAGTGCTTGTACCAACTAATTTTAGTAGATAAAGTAGTCTTTTATCGTCTAGTGAAATAAAGTAATTTTTATCTACTGTTTATATTCAAAAAATTCTGGTAGGTGAGTACAAAATAAAACGAAATATTATACACGACGAAAGATTGTTTATCGTCTTGTGTAATAAATAACTATTCCTCCAGATAAAGTTCTAATTTCATGCCTCAGGAATAATAGTTGTTTATGTATCAAGGGAATAAATATAGGTAATACATTTTCATTCCCAACAGACTAAATTAATAATATCATAAAAAATGATACATTTGTCAATTGTAATTTTAAGAGTTAAAATTGGTATCAAGGAGTTTGTTTATGTCAAAAAACACTCAAAAGATTAAATATGCTTATATTTCCGGTTTTTAAGAGTAAAAATCGGTGTTTGGTTTATTTTATTCCCAAGGAATAAAGTACCAGATTATTAGTCAAAAGGGGCGCGTTATTCCCTGTTGGGAAGAAATAGTAGATTACATACCGAAATGGAAGGTGCGTCATTACCAAGCCGAAATCTGATCAAAGCGCGAAACGACCACCAAATTTTGTATACTATTTTATTCACAATTATCCTCTTTAAAAATGAGAAAGCCAATAAGAATTTATCAAATTTTGAGTTTGACAGTTCAGATTTTGAAGCAGTCACTTTCTTATCAATTTTCGGGTTTGAAAGTGGTCATTTCCCAACCTAAACTGTCATTATTACATATCAACTGATAAGAACGTAACCACTTTCCAAGAACTTTTACTCTTAAAATTGTAATTGAATGAATTGAATATTTTGACAAATTTACATTTTCTCATGTTGTTTTTAATTTAGACAGTTGGGAGGAATAACTTTAATTTTTATGTTTAAGAGATTTATTTATTATAGCAAATTGGAAAAAAAAGTGTATAATAAAGTCAATGCCTTTAATTTATTTTTTTTATGAATAATTTTAATATAAAGTCGCTATTTGGGGATCTGTCAGTAACAGTTGGTAATAAAAAATCTTTGTTAAATGACAATATTACTTACTTTTCTAATCTCCACTAACAATTATTAATTGATAAGTAGACAAAAAATTGCTAATAATAATGTTAGGTCCATAGTTCGTAGTATTATGATAATTACGAACTATGGGTAATAATAATCAATGCAATGTCAAGATCATGCATTTTTTAAAACCTAAATCGCAAACTCTAAGGTTATATCAACTTATTTTGGGATTTTGATGATTTTCAAATGATTGGGATAATGGACATTAAATCAGCTCTAGAACACGCAAAATTTTTATTAATAAAATAATGTTTTACCCACATTACAGAAGAGTCTGATAACAAATCAACTGCGTAGGTGGTAAACGTAGAGAAAGATTTACCGAGATAGAGGACAGAAAGAGAGACCGAATACGTATGTAAAGATTTATTAATGAAAAAATATAACAAAACAGGGATAAGGAATGAGAAACCTTCCACATTTTAGGACAACTCAAAACCGGTCTGTTGTTCGATCGCTTGCAGCAGTTTATTCCTCAAAACCTCCTCTTCTTTAATAATCGGGATTTTGAGTAAATTCAAACACGTGCTCGCAGTGGGCATCCGATCCTCACTCCCCGACGATTGAATACAAAACTGGGGATTGAGCTCTTTGAATCCCAAAAGTGGGGGCCGTGAACAACTTGTGACAAACTTGAGCAACATTTTCTTTTGAGTGTCGGTGAACGTATTTAGGATTTTCCAGAAGAGATTCACAGTCGGGTGATCCCCCGTGAATTCGCCCCCATATACAGTGTGAGCTTTCAAATCACTCAAATCAATTTCTTGCGTATCGCCACCTATAATCACTTGCAATTCGTTATGATTGAAGAGTTTTAACCACAGCAGAGGCACGACACTGTCCAGGCCCCCCCTGAACGCCATACATTGTTTCTTTAATTGAACGTTTAATTTTAAATCAGCCAGGCGTTGAATGTACTCGAGGCGATTCTCATTGGTTACTTGAATGTTGCTTCCGTGGGGCTTCAACTCCACCACCTGGAACGAAATGTAAAGAGAGGGTTTGGTGGTAAAAGTTTCTTACTCTAGTCTCTCCCAAGTCGTTATTAACAGTGGTAAAATCCAACCCTAGGTCACTAACATCCCCAGGGTAGTCTCTCAAGTACAAGAGATTTCGATACAAGACGGGGTCTAGGGATTTTAAATAATGAGCACTGGCCCTGTCGACTAACAATTTTGCTAGGAAAAATTCAGCTAAAGGGAGGTCCACTAGTATATTTTCGAAAATTGCCTACAATGCAATTTTATGAATTGTTGGAGGTTTTTTTATTGTTGAAATTACTTTTCCCACAAGTCTCCCGATGAAATAGTAATGTTCCATGAAGTTTTCTACAATCAGGTGTACATTTGGGTTGGGATAAAGTGTGTTATCGGCGGTTAAGAGGAAAAATCCCCGATTTGGATCAAAGGCAGTTTTTAAAACCTCGTTAATAAATTCCTTGAAAATCCCACCACCGTCAATCCCTGCCTCCTCCAATCCCACACTATTTATAAACTGAATTCGCACTTTGTGTCGCAAATCGGACTCTGAAACAGGACATGACAATAATGGCAATCTCGCGAGGGACCGTTAACTCTGCAATTTGTTGCAGAAACTTGGAATTTCAACGAAATTATTTGGATTTATTAAAATTATATTCGGATTGTTTGGAATTACTGAATCCTTTCCTTGGAATTGTTTCTAGAATTATTAGATAAAACTACAATGAATTTCTCAGGACTGGAATTTTAGGGGAGGGTCCTAGAATTACTGGAATTCTTTTTGGAATTGTCAAAGATAATTTTTGTTTTCAAAATTACGTTGGATTTTCAAAAACTGTTGGAATTAATTTGGAATTACGAAAATTAAGTTGGAACTACGAAATTAATTTGGAATTAATCTGAAAACTGTGAATTTACAGTGGAATTTTTTTGGAATTAACTGAAATTCTTTTAAAATTTATCAGAAATAATCTCTTATGAAAATTACGTTGAACTTCTTAGAATTATCGGAATTAATTTGCAATTACAGGAATTTTTTCGGAATTACGAAAATTTAAGTTGGTTATTAATTAAGTTGAAATTAGGAATTAATTTAGAATTATAAGAATTAATCTTGAAAACAATAGAATTACGATGGGTTACTGGAATTACTAATTATTTGTGAATTACTAGATTTTTTTTTAAATTACTGGAGTTCTTTTATAAATGAATTACCAGAGATAATTTCTTCTGAAAAATGTGTTGAATTTCTTAAAACTATCGGAATTAGTTTTGAATTACAAAAATTAAATTAGAATCACTGGAACTAAAGTGGAATTATAGGAATTAATCTTGAAAACAATGGAATAAGGATGGATTATTGGAATTACTGAAATTATTTGTAAATTCCTGGATTTTTTCTGGAATTACTGGAATTCTTCTAGAATTACTGAAATTCTTTTTAGAATTGTCAGAAATAATTTCTTTTCAAAATTACATTGGATTTATAAAAACTATCGGAAATTATTTGGAACTACTGAAATTAATTTGGAATTATAGGAATTAATCTGAAAATTATGAAATTACAGGACAATTGGAATTAATGGAATTTTGGTGGACTTTTCCTGAAATTATGTACTGGATTTTTTTGGAATTAACGAAATTCTTTTAAAATTTATTAGGAATAATCTCTTGTGAAAATTACGTTGAATTTCTTAGAATTATCGGAATTAATTTGAAATCACAGGAAATTTGTTGGAATTACGAAAATTAAGTTGGTTATTAATTAAGTTCGAATTAAGTTGAAATTAGGATTCAATTTGGAATTATAAGAATTAAGCTTGAAAACAATAGATTTACGATAGATTACTGGAATTACTAATTATTTGTGAATTACTAGGTTGAATTTCTTAAAACTTTGTACAAAAATTAAGTTAGAATTACTGGAACCAAAGTGGAATTATAGGAATTAATCTTGAAAACAATGGAATAAGGATGGATTATTGGAAAAACTGAAATTTTTGTGAATTCGTATTTTTTTTCTAAAATTCTTCTAGAATTACTGAATTTTTTTTTGGAATTATAAGAGATAATTATTTCATTTTAAATTTACGTTGAATTTCTTAGAACTATCGGAATTAATTAGGAATTACAAGGATTTTTTTTAATTGCACAAATTAAGTTGGAGTTTCAGGAATTATAGAAATTAATCTTGGAAAACAACGGATAATTGGAATTATTACTGGAATTTCGGTGGATTTTTTTTTGGAATTAGTTTTTTTCAGGTTAACAGCCCCTCGAAATTTCGATAATCACCATTTTTGACCGACAATTTCTCGAACGCGTCTTCATACAAATGCGTCCGTCTTATCACGACGAGATTATCATTAAGAAACTCATTATGTAACCGTTGGTAGTCATTTTCCCCCAAACTGTTCCTACACCAATCCCTCAACAGCAACACCCTCGTGTTGAACCCGATCAAAAAGGGCAATTCCTGCAGTATTGCCAACGACCGTTGCTCGATTGTTGACAATGGGGGCAAATGCTCCTCATCGTCCATCTCACTAACCAACCCATAAAATGGCCTAATCGTCTTCGAGAGGTAATTCCTCCGGGACAAATCCTGCGAAATATGGATTTTCTTCGCCGTCCAAAAACCATGCGGGCAAAACTGCTTCCGGATATCTAACATATACAACATTTTAACACAGTTGAGACACGAACTGTACAAATGCAAAATCTCCGGAGTTGCCGGAATCGTGCTTGATCGACACATCGGAAACCCCAACTCGACTAAATCCACAGCGACATTCTTCAACAATTTCGACATCGAGGAGAGATCATTCTGCGTGAAAGTCTCACTAGTGTCGGAGTTTTCTACAAACTAGTGCTAGTTTTTGCCTTTAACAAGACTTTAAAACAAACCTCGATCGGTTAAAGTCTCCGTATAGAAAGTAAAAGTGTCGCAAAACACCGAAAGTGTGGTGTGACACTCTTTCCACGAGAGGAGACACGACCCTCGGAGCTCCCCCTCGAGGGACCTTTTCCGATTCAACATATGCCATAATTTGTTAAGAAAAGTGCCATTCAACCCCAATTTGTACAACAATAGAAACTTCCTGATCGAATCCCGATACACGAGCAAGAGATTATGACAAAATTTCGTGAGCGACATTAAAACATCTTCATTATTGCTATGTTGTTCGAAAAAGTGTAACCATTTCCGCACTCTTTCGGGTTTATTCATGATATGTAAGTAGTCAGAGAGGAGTAATTCTTCTTCCGAGACTTGGACTTCGCTCTCATCATCACTATCGTCGCTTATTAAATACACTGGGGGCTTCAATTGGTGGATGTCCACACTGAGGGTGGACAAGACTTGAATACTGTCACTTGTGGGTTCTAAAATTTCAATTACGACACTTGGGGGTGAATAACACACTTACCGTAATCGTCGGGCTCAAGTGCAAGGATGCAATAAAACAAACTGTTGCTGATTTGGAAATGGTAGCCACTATTTAGGTACCTTATGATTTTTTCGTAGGGGAAATCGCGTTTGTTTTTTAGGTACGGTATGAGGACTGTTTTTACGTTATTTGTGAATGTTGGTTTGAGGAAATTGCTGCAGAATTCGGATAAAATAATGTCTTGGGAGCTTTGAGTCACACGGAGGGATTGAAAGGGGCGATAAATCAGACTTAGGATTTGTTGTAGCAACTCTTTCGAGTCATTGTCTAAAAGAGTACGTAAGTACACGTAGTAACCCTTTCGTGTGAGGTATTCAATCGTTTGTGTGTTGGAAACAAACGCGTCGAGGCAATTCAACATGAGGGGGGTCATATCGGGGTGGTAGGAGCTTTTTAAGCACAAAACTAGCCACCATTTGATGAGCCACGAGAGGGCTGCGTCTGAGCTCAAAGCTTGACTAATTTGCACATTTTGCTGGAGCAAACGTTCGGATATTTGGTACTACAAACCCAATGATTATTTATCAAACATTTCTGTTTTTTTACAATTTACCAATCTCATGTTGTCCTTAGCAGGGTCGTAAAAGAACAAAAGTCGTGATAACAACACTTGCAATGGTACTGTCTCAAAATTGGTATCAAAATACGCCCTTTCAGTCTCCTTGTTGTGCTTCCGCACTAAATAACTCCTAATGTGTGATTGCAAAAGTTGCGCACTTTGTAACTTCAGACGTTGTTCCTGAAATGACACGTGGAGTGGAGTTTTTCAGGAGGGGGCTTACCTGGCGTTTACGTCTCTCTTCGTGGGTTTTTTGGAGTAAAACATCTCGGGAAATTTTCTTACTAGCCCCTGACAAGTTTTGCTCGGGTCTTGGCCTGTAATTGCCCTCAAAACTGTATGACATTTTGAACGCTGAAATTCATTTCATTATTTGAGTTTGGGGGCAAGGAAGGGTTACGTACCCATTTTGCAAAACTTTAACTTCTTTCTACAAAAATAAATTACAAAATAATGAGAATGGTGTTTTCACAATTTGTGAATGTCATTTTTGACATTGACAGGCAGGGTATACAACATCACATAAAAAATCCACTAATTAAATAATTTTATTTTCTATTGTATTTTAATTAAAATTAACACTCAGCAGTTTAACGAGCGCTTTTCCAATTTCAACAGCGGTAGAAATTTCAGCTCGGGTTGGGGCCCGAAATTTCCCACATTTATTTGTAAACATTTTGACAGACAGACAAGGTCTACAACCTCACATAAATAATTCCACTACATAAATTTAATTTTCCAGTTTTTATTATAATTAAAATTAACAATCTAGCTTTTCACAAGTTAGCATTTACTCGGCCGCTTTAACGAGCGCTTCTCCAACCTCGATAGCGATGGAAGCTTCGGCTCGGGCCTGAAATTCGCACATAAAAACTACTCACTGATTAATTTTCATTACCTGTTCTGTTGTCGCGGACGAGAGTTCTCCTTGGGCCTTGCTAAGGATGTCTCTAGCAGCTGCGGCATCAATCCTCTCAACGGGGGCAGCTTCCTCCGCTAAAACCTGCACCAGACATGTAAATTCAAGCTTGTTAAAAAATAAAACAACAACCTGAACTGAGGAGTCTTCATTGATGGTGACTGTGCCACTTGACACAAAAATCTTCTTAACGTTGCCATCATTCTCAAAAACGGTGACAACCCCCGGTTTCAGGACAGCCAATGTGGGGACATGTTTAGGTAAAATACCGAATGAACCGGAGAAAGAGGGGACGTCCACTTGTCTCACCGATTGGGCGTCGTAAAAGACCTAAAATTGAGTGTGAAACTATTGCAATAAAAAATTTAAACTCTACTTGATTTCCTGCAGCAAATGTGAAGCTCATTTCATCGGCGTAGCCTCTTTTAGTGACTGTGTTGAGGGCGCGGCGGGTCAGAAGGCGTGAGACTCCACGTAATGCAGCCATTTCGAGTCAAAATCTGCAAGAAAAACAAACATTACTGATAATTTTTTTATGACATAACCTTCAACATTACATAATAGTGTAAGACGAGCAACGTCTGAATTACACCAAAGTGATTGAAATTTTTAATGTATTTGGTTAATAGAACTTACAATGTAGTGTTTAGTTATGTGAAAATGAACTGATTTTCTTTCTCAAGGAAACAGCACCCAGAGAAAATTTCAGAAAATCCAAGAATGAAGGATGACAGCTCTGACTAGGGAATTTGGTGTTTTACTATTATTTACAAAAAATGCAAATTGTAACTGGTTGTTTAAATTTTTTTATTATGAACATATTTTAAATATAATTTCTTTCCAAAAATGTTTTTAAAGGGTAAAAAAAGCAAAAATGAAAACAGTTTTTTGTTGTCGATGAAAATGGTTGGCAATGGTGCATAAGAACTACTAAACATAGCGGACCAAAAACCCCCAAGAATGAGGTTATAAAATTTCAACAAAAAAAATGTTTTTACTATCTAAAAATAGCTCTACCACCAAATGATGAGTTTTATTATTAACGTAATAAAGGATTTATTGCATAGAATGTTACAATTTTTGTCGTTTAGTAAAAAAACGTTGAGTAACACACTGAGTATTTACATAAAAACCAACACCGGGAATACACTTTCAGTGGATTTGGACCCCACTTGGGACATAAAAGACGTGAAAGAGTTGGTTGCGCCCCAATTGGGGCTGCAGCCCGGTGAGGTTAAAATTATTTTCGCTGGAAAGGAACTAGGAGACAACATCAGCATTGCCGTGAGTTTTTTCACTAAAACCCCCCAAGAAACCCCAAAGGATGATTGTAGGAGTGTGATTTGGGGCAACAAAGCACCCTCCACGCCATCAAAATCACCAAAAAGTCCCACCCCCCAAGTTTAGACACTTCCGTAATTGAGGAAAGCGACGAGGGAAAACCCCTATGTGAGACTTTGTCCGACTTGAGTTTCTCAAATGATTCGGAGGAGGCCCCCAGTGAGCAACACAAAGTCCACTTTTTCGTCTATTGCCCCACGTGTAAAAGCCTCAAGAAGGGCAAATTACGCGTCCGGTGTCACTTCTGCAAATCGGGGGCTTTCACAGTGCACTCCGATCCCCAAAACTGGAACGACGTGTTGCAACCACGGCAGATAACCGGTCTTTGCGAGAATAACCCCGAAGTGTGCGCCCATGTAAGCCTCAAATGCCCCAAACCCCGGTTCTGAACAACCAATTCCAGATTTTGAACAACCAAGAACCGACTTTCGCCGAATTTTATTTCAAATGTTCGGAACACACGTCTCTCGGGGAGGCCGACGAGGCAGTGCCCCTCTACCTTATTCGGCCGAATTTAAAAGAAGTGCCTTGTCTAGCGTGCGCTGACACCAAGTATTACAATAGAAAAAAACTAGCGTGAAAATAACCGTTGCTTTTAGCGAAATTGTGTTTGTCTTTCCTTGCAAAGAGGGGCACGTGACTTGTCTCGACTGCTTCCGGCAGTATTGCACGACGCGACTGCGGGAACGCCAATTCTGGCAACACCCCGAATTTGGGTACACGCTAGCGTGTCCCGCGGGATGCCCCGACTCCTTCATCCAGGAAATCCACCACTTTCGCCTCCTCTCGGAGAGTCAAGTGAGCCCCAAAACCCGCTTTTCCCACACTGAGGTGTTTTTGTAGTACACACAATATCAGCGTTTCGCGACTGAAGAGTACGTCTTGCGGTCCGGCGGGGTGCTCTGCCCCCAGCCGGGCTGCGGCATGGGTATTTTAGCCGAGCCAGAGTGCACCAAAATCACGTGTATCAACGGCTGTGGGTACGTTTTCTGCCGGTTGTGCCTCCAGGGGTACCACATCGGGGAGTGCGAAGCACCCGAGGGAGACAGTGGGAGTCCTGGCGACTGCTCATACAACGTCGACCCCACTAGGGCTGCCGAAGCCCGATGGGATGAAGCTTCCAAAGTCGCGATTAAAGTCTTGACGAAACCTTGTCCCAAGTGTCGCACCCCCACCGAACGGGATGGTAAAAAATCGAGGTTTTCGGTGAAAAACACACTCAAAGGGGGTTTCAGGGGGCTGCATGCACATGATTTGTACAAGAGCCGGCTGTGAGTACCACTGGTGTTGGGTGTGCCAAACCGCGTGGACTAGGGAATGCATGGGGAGTCACTGGTTTGGGTAATTTACTGAAAAATCAAGTTGTAAACAATTGTTAAAAATATAATTGCTATGGAGATGATATTGTTGTTATTTTCATTGAATAATAGCGTCAACAAACGTAATTGAAGCCAAAAATCGGTCATTTTCCCAGTTGTGTGTAAAAAAGAATGAACTATTGCATAAAAAGAGGTGAGTGAAGCAAGGCAAAAAAATATAAAAACGACACAATCCCCCAGAGCTGTTCGACGACAAAGACAAGCCAAAAATCCCCAGGCCCCCCAACGCCTTCATGTTGTATGCGAACGAGAACAGAAAGAAAATGTCGCAATTGTACCCCACGGAATCCAACAAAGACATAAGCAAACGTCTTGGAAGCGGCTGGAAGTCCCTAAACGAGGACGACAGAAAAAAATTCTTCGATCGGGCTAAAGCAATCGGATTGCAACACAAAAAAGAGTTCCCAGGTACCCCAATATGCTTTGATTAAATTATCGCCCAGTCGGAGAGAATCCAACCGGGCCCCAAAAAATTACCATAGACTCATTTGTATTGTTCCCCTCCACGGAAATCTTTAGTAAAAGGCGAAAGATTTATTCGCTTTGAAGGGAAACCAGAGTAACTACCACAACTTCAGGTAGGAATTTATCACGAGAGGGGCGACTGACACAAGCGAATCGCGACAACTTTCGCCCTCTATGAACATTTTTCGTACTACAGAATCAAAGTACTCGTAATATTCATTTGCTAGGTGACCAAAAATCATTTTTTAAGTTACCGTAGCAACAGATTCGTACAAGTTGCGGTTACCTAGCAACTGGATGACTTGTACGAATTTGTTGCTACGGTAACGAAATAACAGTTTGTTGCTACGTGAAGAAAGTCGTTGCTAGGGTAGCTGTGATTTTTCGCCGCCGCCTGGATTGAAGTTAAATCGAATTTTTTCCTTTTAAAATCGGGGCAAAAAGGTGGCGTTTCGCTCAATTCCGCCTCTCACACGTGATTAATGTTCGCTTCCTTCCCGCCCCCGTTCGCAAATTGATGCAAATCAATTGAAGCCTTCGAAGCGTCGTCGTCGTCGGCGGCGCCGCGGCGCAGGTCCGATGGGAAATTCTAGAAGCCTCGTCTCAAATCCGATTATACGAGGTGATCGTTATGTCGCCTCGTTGTTTTTTTCCTTCGTCGTATAATCAAGCAACAAACCGGACTAATTTCCTGGCGCCGCCCTTCATCGCTGAATTAATAAATACAAGGGTTTCAGCGCGACGAAATCACTTCACAAAGCAAAGGGGAAAATTACAAGGGTCGCTCACGATGCAAGGTTTCCGCTCCGGGCTTGTAGCATTGCCCGGAGTCGATCTATTTTTAAGGAAAGATTTATTTATTTTAAAGGGGGTGTACATTAAATAAAAATTTTAAGCGAAAATTTCATCACTATCAGCTTTGTTTTTGTGTAATTTTTTTCTCGTGAGAATCCCAGACGGTGTAATTGTGAAATCGCTACGTTACTAACTCCGGATCCGGAGTTTTGTTTACCAACTCCTCTGCCTCCTCTAGGTCGTATGTTATGTTTCATTCATAGATTTCTGTGCGCAGAGTACGTAGAGGGGGTGTTTTCTCTCCGATTCCGGCCGGCAACATGTTGCTCCTCACCCCGAATTATACAGGCTGTCCCACGTAAGACTTTCGGTTCTGATAAAGTCCAATTTTTTATTATTTGCTGGTGGGGGAAGTATGAATCAAGACACGACATGACCAGCGTCTGTTTTTGACATTTGAGAGCTTCTGACATTATGGTAATGAAGTCAAAAATTAAATTGACCTTATAGGTTTTTATAGGGCTTGAATTACGATTACTATGATGATATAGAGGATATAAATACAGTTGGAGACAAAATACTTTGGTCGTCACTTTTCTGACACATTGTGACAATTTCAAATTAATGACAGCTATTCTACAGAGTGGTTATAAATGATTTTCATCTAGCCAGCTGTGAATTTTCCATGTAAAATATAAAATGCCGCTTTACGAAAATAGGGGTACCTAGTTGTTGTAACTCAAAATTAAAAAATCGCCGTTTACTAAGCGTCCACTTCGAAAATAGACTTCAATTATAAACTTGTTTTCTTCCAAAGTATTATAAACTTGTTTTCTTTCAAAGTATACATACATTATTATCAATTATTATTGTAAATTAGTTGAAACAATAAAAATTTAATTAACAATTTATTATTAATTAATAAATGACACTAATGACAGAACTAGAGCTTTCAAAAAAGTAGAGCGGCACAAATAAAGTTACATGCAAAAAAATTCCAAAGCTGGCTAGATGAAAATCATTTATAACCACTTTGTATTTTCCTATCAAAAATACGTACAACTTGTCAACTATGATTGACAGTAGCTAAAAATAAGGTTAACAGTCCTAAAGCATGCTTTACAATTTAATGTCACTCAAGTGACATTGACGACCAAAGTATTTTGTCTCCAACTGTACTAGCCTCAAAACAGTTTTCCCAATTAAAAATGAAATTACAAATGATCAATTTAACAACAATATTTTGCATTTTTTAAAAGTATGTTAAAATCACATTTTAAGGAGTAGGATTGTTTTAGTAACCTACTAAATACTCTAATTTTAAGTTTAGTTAGAATCCGTTAGCAAATAACAGAGATGTTAGATCCGAAAGTCTTAGATGGGACACCCTGTATTACAACTCGATACGTTGGCCGGAAAAAATCTATTCCGGATTCAACTTTGACCTTTGAACGTTCCCGGAAAAATCGGGGAAAAAACACTCCGGGACTCTTGAAGTGCCTTTATCGACTTTCCGGCCGGGAGTTTGATCGGGACGGAATATCCCAAAAAAATTGAAAAAATCTGAGTTGTTGTTTTTGACTGTGTGACACTAAGAGTAATACAGGGTGATACTGTCTTTATTGTTGTCATTTTTTGGTTCTAATAGAGAGATAAGATTTTGTGGTGGAGAAGACTTCTCCAGCAAATGACCCAGTTGTCCGTCGGAGGCGCGGCCGCGAGGTGAGGCGTCGCGGCGCGTCCACGTATTGATTGCGGCGTTCGTTCAGTCGGCGACGGCGTCCGGCGTCGCAAGTGCGCGTCTCCGGCGTCGTAGGTGGCTCAGTACGTGTCGATTTTGGCGCGAAACCAGAAGCTCGCCCGCGATGGCTCTCACCTAGTGCCAAAATCGATAAAATACCAAAACATTGAGAGTATGGATTGCTGCAATTACATGCAGTACAGACACCACCAGCCGTACTACGGGTCGCACTACTACGAACCCATGCCCTACCATGGGGACTTCTACGGACAGCAAGTCTACCAAGACTACTACGGCACGACCCCCTATTACCACCAGCAATGGCCATGTGCCTCCTCCTCCTTCCCAGGTACTGCCACAATGCGATTTTTCTCTCGCGTGCTACGCCCCCTTTCAAAACTTTCACAATGTTGCCATCTGATCATTTTTTTACCGATCGATTTCGAGGCTAATTAATTATTATGACGAGACGATTTCCTACCGGAGTGATAACTTTTTTTATTACCTAGTCGATTGATAAAATTCAATAGAGGAAAAGCGATTTTTCTCTCCTTCGGTTTTTCGCTCATCAAATATTCGTGGCGAGTGGAGAAATCCGCCTGCCAAGATTTCTTTCCGTTTTCTACAAAGGAATTCCGGGCTTCCGCTTCAAGAAAAACTTGAAAGGTTGCGTATACGAGGGGGATCATAAATTTTTATCACGTGATAAGTGAGTAAACAGAAAGTAAACGCTTAATTTCCAAGACATTGCTAAGCCTTGGCCCGATTTTACGTATATCACATGCAAAAAAATAAAAAAAAGTATTTAGTTAAATTTATACAGGGTGCGTCAAAACTCGCTCCCCAGAGAAAAAATGCTATAAGGTAAGCTACCAGGAACATGGAAAAAATGTTAAAAAAATTTATTTATAAAAATTTCGAAGTTATGAGAGTTTAAATTTTGCACTTTGCCTCTACTTATTTCTGTTGGAAAAATAATTTTCTAAGTTTTTTTGCTACAGGCTATTAGAAGAGGAAACAAGGAAGCTATATTCTAAATTTTAACTCCATTCAATATTATTTGTGATTTTTATTGTCAAAATTTTTGTACCTTTACTAAATAATTGTAAAAAAATATATACAGGCTCATCAGTATCATTAAAATGACATAAAAAAGGCAAATGTCAAAATTTTTTGACAGATAAAATTTTTAAACATTTTTTTCCATGTTCCTGGTATCTTATCTTACTTGAAATTTTTCTCTGGGGCGCGAGTTCTGGTGCACTCTGTATACAGAGTGATTTTCTGTAGAATTTTGATTTATAAAAAGAAATAATAAAAAATAAGTTAAATGGCTTTTAATATAGTATAAACTGACAATTTTACAATTTCTATAACAAATCAGAAAAACATCTAATTTAGTGTTATTAATTTATTTTATTATTTATTTATTTTACTTGTTTTTGTTTACTTTTAATAAGTCATTTTCAGTAAAAGTAGCACATATTGTACATGCCTGTACTAAAAAATCGATAACTTTCAAATTATGAAAAAAAAATCAGGTCTTAATTTAAAATAAAAAAGTTGAATATAGTTTAAAATTTACGATACAATTCATACAACACAAATTCTAAAAATGCCAATTTATAATACATTAAAAACCATTTAATTTTTTTTTTAATTTTTGAAATCGGTCCATAAATAAAAATTCTACGCCTGCTGTTTTTTAAAAATCACAGTGAATAAAGAATTCGAAAAATACATTGAATTTAATGAAAAACCTTAATTTTATGTTAACACAAATTACTAGGTAAATATTAATAATAATTTTAGTATGTAAAAAAATAATCTAGTTTTTCTGATAACAGAAAATTTCATTTTTAATTTTTTTTTTCGCAAAATTGAAAATCAATTTTAGTGCTTTGGTAAACACAAACGTATATTTTTTTAATAGTTAACGATGAACAAATTATTTGTGAAGAATAAAAAAATGTTAAAAACATTTTATATTTAGAGAGACAACTTTGTGAAATCAGATAATAAAAAATGTTTTAAATTGTTATGGCGACTTTGAATACCCATAACATTTTGAAACGATTTTTACGTGAAAGTATAGTTTTAATTAAATTTAGTTTTTTTGTATTAAATTGCGACTCAGTGCGTCCCCCAATGACTTTATTGCTCACTTATTAATGATCCCGATACAATTATAAGTGAAGTGTCCTTTATTACCGGCAATTATGAGTTGATTAAAATAGAGTGGCTCAAAGTTTAATTAATACGAACTTTTCGCAATAAATCAATCTCCACTCCTTTTCCCTTTGTGTGCAATATATTTTTTTTTTCAGATTACGTTTACAACCCCAAGGAGGCGAGAATACGCAAAGCAATGCGCGATGCAAGTCGTGAACGTTCGATCGCCGGGACTTCCCCCATGCTGGCGAGACCCAACGCGCGCAGAGCGCCTTCGCACGGCTGGGGGCCACCTTCGCACGACGACCACCTCATGATGGTACGTCGTTTTTCCACTCGCAATCGATAATTTCTTATTTTTTTTCGACACCCTGTGTGATGTGCGAATTTTTTCTTGGGTTTTTTCCCCGTTCCGTGCGTCGCTTTGCCATGGCAACGGAGATTGTCGACGCCTACCGGTTGCCAAGCGACCCACGAGAGCGTCGCGGCGCCGATTGCGTAACCGGAGTCGATACAGAACCGGGCTCGATAGTGAGGCGCGAGGGACTATTTGCATTATGCCGCCACCGCCGCCGCCGCCGCCCCCCGAAAATAGACACATGCTCGTGTGGAGGGAAAAAAGGGGGCGGCGGCAGCAGCAGGAAAAAAGCCGTCAGGATTAAGTCTTCAATCCCTCCGGCCGTCCCCGAGGATCGATAATTGCCTTGACATCGCGGCGGCGGTGGCGGTGGCGGCGGCAACTGAGGGAATATCGACAACCACCGTTCGAGAATCGTGTCAGGAGGTCATGCAGATGTCGCTAGGATTAAATTATGGGCGGTTATAACCGGCGCGAATTTTCTCTTTTCCATTCATGTTTGTGCGAATTAAACGCGACATTGGGGTAGGTCGCAAAGTTGGGATAACTTTCAAAAGTTTCGTGAGAGGATCACTGGGTGGCTTGATTTTTAAATTTTTAATAAGACAGATCGAATTGTTGTTATATTACAAGGTTTCAAATTTAACGCAGTGTTGCCAGCCCAAAAAATAAAAATCACTAGCTCGGGGCTGAAAAAGTTGTCTATTTTCGCCTACATTGGCGGACACGGAGTTTTTTTTTCGGTTTTTGAAATTTTTGTCCTGATAGCTGGAGAAAAAATGACAACAAATCAAAATAATTTATTGAACTTATATAAAAGCACGTATAGCTGGCATTATTGTTTCAGAAAATCGACGCCAAAAATAAATTTCAACTAAAAATTCGTCAATTATAATGACATTAAAGCGTAACTTACATTGACATTTTTTGAACTGACATAAATTTGATGTCCAAAATTCCGTGTCCGCCAGTGTATTATTTTATTATGATTTAAATCTCAACAGTGTCGAAAGTTTTTTTTAGATAATCTAAGTGGTTAAAACTTAAGAGTTAGGTAAAAATAACTACAATATAATTTTTTTATAACGGTTTGATAATTTTTGAGTTGGTATAGTAAAATTAGCAGTTTTCAGGTGAAAAATCTGCTTAAACGCTCGAAAAGGCAAAAATAATATGATTTTAGACTTAAATTTTTGATTTTTGCGTTCATTTTTAATTTAATTTTGTTCACAAAGCAATTTTATTTTTTTTTTGTAATTTTTAGGCGTGTTTGGACACAATTTTGCAAAATAAATTAATCTTTGGTACGAAAACGGACTAAAAAATATCAATTCAAAAAAATATCAACCTGTTTAAAAAAAATGGAATTTTTTTTAGTCTCAAAAACGTGCTTACACACTGAAAAGGTAAAAAACATCATTTTTGGCCAAATTTGTTGACTTTTTAGCTTGTTTTTAACTAAATTTCGCCAAATAATTACGTTTTTAGCTGAAAAATTAAATAAGACGCTCGAAAAATGCAAAAAACAATTTTCGACTTAATTTATTAATTTTTTGGTTTGTTTTAGCGAGATCTTGTAAAGAAACTGAGATTTTAGTAGAAAAATGCGCCTAAAAGCATTTTCAACCAAATTTCTTCGGCTTATTTTTGGCTTAATTTTGCTCAAAGATCAGTTAAATCGAGCGAAATAAACAAAATTGTATTTCGTGTTCGCAGAAGATTTTGCAAAATAAAGTAATTTCTGTTTCGAAAACGGCCCAAATTTACCGAAACAAACTCAAAAATAATATCTATTTTAATTTAATTTAGTAACTTTTTAGCCTGTTTAAGCAAAATTTTTAATTTTTGGTTTACTTTCCAACACGTGCAACCCGGAAAAGATAAAAAACAACATTTTTAATAATCGGTTTTTAGTTGAAAAAAAAACATTCGAAAAAAGCAATAAAGGAATAAATTGTCATTTTCGAACCTGTTTAGTAAAACCTCGTTAAAAAAACAAATAAAACTATGTATTTTTAATTATTTTATTTTGTACTCAACGTTAAAGAGTGCTTTTATCAACTAATTTCAGTAGATAAAGTAGTCTTTTATCGTCTTGTGAAATAAAGTAATTTTTATCTAATTCAAGAAATTCTGGTAGGTGAGTACAAAATAAAATGAAATATTATACACGACGATAAAGATTCGTGACTCGTGAAAAAAGTCCATTCGTGACTTCGTCACTCCTAAACTTAAAACCTTTTCACTCATAGATAAACAATTTCTTTATCGTCTTGTATAATAAGTAACTATTCGTGGTTTTTCGATTTATTTTTTAAATAAGCAAGTTTCTGGTAAAAAAAACGTGCAAAATGCTGAAAAACAGTGACATTTATGTTTGACCTAATTTACAATACCAATAATAGAAAAATTGAGTGAATTGAGTCTTTTGTTGTAACAGTTACAACAGTTTTCTTCATTTTCAAAAAAATCACCAGATATTACATTTTTACAAAACTTTCCACCAAATCACCTGACTATTTTAGCATGAAAATAACCAGATCTGGTTAAATTTCACCAGGCCAGTCAACACTGATTTGACTTTTGAATTCGACAGTCAGTGTTGCCACCCTAATTTTGGTCAGTGGAATTTTTTGTTGGTATTTTGAAAATGTGGACGAGAATTTTGGTGTTGCAGTCGCCTCTGGGAGGGATGCAGCCGCCGTCTTGCAGTTTTGCGATGTCGGGAGGCGGCGATCAGTTCATGGGAGGCGGCATGAGCGCCTATAGCAAACTGGAAGCGGCGGCGGCGCCGCCACCACCGCCGCCGTCGACCGGTTCGGTGCACACGAACTACCTGCAGGTGCGACACTATTGATTGATTAGAAAATAGCTCGTTGAAAACCGTAATTTCCCGCATATATGCGAGAGAGCGAAAAAAAAATTGTTCGCCGTATCGATTGGCCAAAATAAACAATGGTCGGTGAGCGAAATTACGATAAGAAAATCGACTTTCTGGCATATTATTGCGGCTAAAAGCGCAACAGGTGGTCGAAATATGTTTAATTGAAACATATTACAGTCGAATCCGTTGGCACAACTGCAACAGCATGCTGAGATGTGGCCGGAGTCGTATCACACGATGCGAAGGACGTCAGGTAATAAAAAAAGTGAAAAAACCCCCGGAAAAGAACTCTTTGCAGGCGAATCAGCGTTTATGATGGGTGATGTCGCGCCGTATTCCGGGCAAACTCCGGAGATGCAGCCGACGCCTGCGACGTCCCCGGAGAAGGAGCCGGACCAGGAGCAATTCCTTCCGGTGTTTGAGCAACCGGAAGAGACCAAGGTCAAAAATAAGGTAAAACCATATCGAATTTTTTCGGGGGGCGGTTTACGATATTTGTGCAGGCGTCGTCGGCCAGTAAACCTCTGCCGGACTTCAACGAAGCGTTCGGATCGACCGAAAGGGGGCGCTTTCAGAGTCCGCCCGATCCGCGGCTGGCGCCCAACAAGGGGTATATCGATTATTTCTTCGACAGCGACCTGATCAAATTCGACGATTATCAAATTTAAAAATTGTTTCGGCTCAATTTTAGAAAATTTTGGAATTGTGCCTTTTTGTTTCGGTTTTTTCGTTGGGACCAAGAAACTTTATTCCGGTTGTAGGCGAATGTTCTGCACTATATTCTAGTCAAATGTATATATAAAAAGTTAGCTGTTAATATGTCATGTAACCCATTTAAACTAATCCGTGTTAAAGAGAAGTCGGAGGATTATTGATTGTTACGTTTGGTGGAGGAGAGGTTTCGATCGGATCGTGTAATATCAATGTACAGAATTGTAAATGTATTTAGTGTTAAAATAAGGTCGTGCCTTAGTAGATAATTCAAAATTCAACTAAAAAACATCAACAATTAGAGCTTCCCGTCGTGTATTTGGGAAAGTTTGTAAATAAAAACTTGAATCCAAAGAATATGCTTCCCAAAGGTTTTTTTGAGAATAGCGACAATTCTAAATCTTCCTTTAGTCTTCAAAATCAAACAACAGAATCAGACCAGAGTTCTCAAACGAATTGATCAAATCGTTTTGTACTAGATTAATGTGGTCCATTCTTATATCTATCCTTGTGATCGTCATAGATAGAGTAATAATCAAACCAAAAATCCAAAAAAAAAAAAATGAACAACACCAGATTACATTGTACAAATATATAAAAGTTGAATATTGGCGGCCGAGGAATCGCAAACAACTTCAAACACCGACTTGCAAGAATCCGTCTCATCATCCATGCAGTACAACCAACCCAAAAAATGTTGTTTTCGGTCCCGCGCCGCCCTGTATTGTATGTTGTCTTAGGATTATTTCTAGGGGAGTCCCCGCTTCCATTATTGTGTTAAATCCATATCAAGTGATATCGTTCAATTACAAAATATATTATTTAGAGCTGACTTTGTTTTTTAGTCCCTTTCCGGTGAAATCCTTCTTCCTCTATCCTCGCAAAAACTGCGAGCTTCACCGAGTCTCTTCAGCAACGATCTCGAATATCAAAGCAATTACATCCTAGAGTACTTCCAAAGTATGCCGTCGATGACTCTAATGAACATCACGACTCCCAACGGAACCACTTTCCCCTATGCTACCTACACCCCGAACGATTTAAGCGAAAGTATCAACAACGAAGCGCAAGTTTTCGAAAACGTCACCGAACCGAGCTTTTTTCACACGGATGTGGGCTTTGTACCCCTGTCTTCTGTCTAGTTAAATTTTCTGAATTGTTGAATTGTTTAAATAAAAAAAATTAAAATCGATTGATTAGTGGCTTTTTTTCATAAACGAACGCAGCGACATCTGAACGGCCAAACCACATCTGAAACAGGAAACTGTAAACTTCTACAATTTCCTACTTCACGTGAGATGAGCTCAAAATACTTGATACAATTATTTTTAAATTAAAACGTGAATATCTAGAAAACTATAAGTCGCCCTTAAAAACGACCAACGACAAAAAAGATTGGTTTTGTTATGGGCGATGAACGTGTTTATGTTGATGTAATGTTAAGTGGCAAGTTTTGGGATTTTCTCCGGAGTGGCGCCACCGTCTACTAGAATCGATGGTTAATCGTGCGGTGTGATGATAAATAGGTGTTTGGGAGGGTTCATCGGTATCGCTTCTCGGCCTTATGGCTAAGATCAAAGTGTAGTATCTGTTCTTATCAGCTTAATATCTGATACGCCCCGCATGCGGGGCCAGTATATTAAACTGATTTTTGGAAATTGACGGAGGCTAGGGGCTTGCTCCACCTCCGTCGCGGGTTGGCCCGGCATTGCAGTACAGTCGGGATCGGCCCACCTAATATAATTTAAACAAATAACCCCCATAGGCTGGAAATTCTTGTTGTACTTAAAACATTTCAAACCATCGTAGTCACCATAGAAATATAAAATCCTTTTCTCGCCTGGGGATTTTTTGAGTTCAACTTCCCGTTGGCATTTTAATCTGGGGAAATTTTTTGATACATCCAGTTTTTTTAGCTTAGGGGTTCAACCTCAAAATATCAATTCTCCCTGGCGTATGTAATTTTATTGTTTCCTTCCTACCCAGCAATATTAACTGGGTTATTTGTCGTTAATAATTAAAAATCATTCAGTTTTTCGTTAGTACTACTAACTAAGAAAAAATCGGAATCACTGCGCCAATGAATTTTTTACGAAATGCCCAGGCGGGATATTGATACATTTCATTAAGGAGGCAGTGGTTTAATCATTTCAGACTATTCAATTCACCTATTTTTTTAAATATCAACCAATAAAATAGAAAATTTACTTAATTATTCTAGCAACAGCAAATTCCAGAAAATAATTTCACTCGTGGTAAAATAAAACTGGATATTTCAACTTTGCTATGACAAGGAAATCATGTTGTGTAAGAAGGCAAATTTGCCATTTGGTTCATTGAATAGTCTGTTGAATTCCATTCGTAGTCAAAGATTGTAGAATATTTTTATTCATCGTCATTACGCATGGTCATTCATAAGCGAATGACCATATAAAAATATTCGACAATTTTTGACTACTCGTGGTATTATAACTGAATATTTCAGGTCCTTTAAAAGTTTGGCGTCGAATGATCATCAATGATGTCAAAAATTATCATAATGACTTCACTCTAGGGTCTCTTGTCACTATAATACATTTGGACTTTTGTTTAATTGTAAAAACAAGTATATAGCAGTAACCATAATTGTTTGTGACAAAAAAATCTATTGGCAATGTTGTCAATTAGATTTTATTTGCCAACTTGAGTTAAAAATCCCAATCAAATACAATCACCCGGTAGATTAATAAAAGTTCAATGGTTTTATTTCACTTCTTTAGTTTTTCACAAATAATTTTCAACACAAGCCGCTGAAGAAATCCGCGGCGTTTTGAACCTTGGAGGATGGTAAATTATTTTGCATTTCCTTCTTCTTTTCATGTTTTCTATGTTTATGACTGACTTTTTCAAAATCTTCGAAATACTTGATGTTCCAAAACTTAATGTCATTATTGTGACTACTGGAGGCAATAAACTGTCCATTGTTACAAATATCTAGTTTTTCGACGGATAAGTCGTGTTGTCCCACAATTCCTAGATGTCTATGAGGAAACAAATGCGTCGCTCTTAAAACCCCGTCTTCGCACGCAGTCACAACAATATTTTCCGTGATTGGAACTAAATCATTGATTGCAGACTTAGTCCCTGGAAAAATATCGCTATGTAACCCGAATTCGTTCCAATTGTACAAAAATAGTCGGCCTTTGGAGGACCCCGCCAATAGTTTACTCTCCGACCGGAAAAGCCCCAAGCAAGTGAGTTCCTCGTCGTATTCTTCAGACTGCATGTGAATCTTGCGATTGTTCAAATCGATTGTTGTAAGCGAACCATCGCCGCTTGAACACAGTAGAAGACTTTTAGCCTCATTCGTCACCAAATCGCTGATATAATCCTCGTTTTTCTTCGTTCTATAGACCGGATTTGGGGAATTTTGCCTCAAATCCCACAATTTCACGCATCCCTCGTCGTCCCCAGTCGCAAACAAATTCTCATCGACCACCAAAAGACAATAAATAGGCGCTTCGTGGGCCTTGTCGTAAAACCGAGACAATTTCCCACTCTCGACATCACTTATCATAACTGTCTTATCTTTAGCAGCGGAAAATAAACTCTTGCCGTCTTCGCTAAACTCGATATCTCGACAAGCTTTCGTGTGCACTTCCAAAGTGCGAACAATCGAATTTTCCTCGTTTGAGTACTTGTAGAAAATAACATCGCCGACGATACTCGCAACGGCTAGTAAGTCTTCATGGGGGTGAAACGAAATGTCCGTTATGAAGTCCTCGCAGTGGATAACAGGGGGGTGGTCACGTTTCTTCTCCGCAGCGCTCCGAATCGCTTTTATCACCTCGTCTTCCTCCTCTTCCGACTCCTCGTTTTCATCATCCGAAGACTCAATTTCTTGCCCGTTTTCATCAGAATCCGACATGCTAACATCGGAATCGTCCGAATCTGAGTCCATTTCCTCTTCTTTAACGTTTTTTGCACTTTTGTTGCACATTTTTCACGTTAGAGTTTTTGAGGTTATGTTAGATGTTCCTGATTCGTAACCGATTGTGTATAAAACCGAAAAAATCAAAATGTTAAAAAGTCCGGTAATCATTACAATCGCACCGGAGTTACACACTAGTGCACACCAATAAGAAATTTTTTTGGTAAAACTACTACAAATAATTAAAATAAATCGGATCTTTTCACAATGCAGTGCTGCAGTGTCGCAAAAACAGTTCCCTGTACCATCTTTGACAGATGACAGTTTAGAAAAATATTTACCTTGTTCCTTGAAATTTTTTCGTTATCTTATCAGTTGGGCCCCTGCAAACAAGGTATTTTTCGTCACACCACCCACCCCCAAGCGTGAAATATGACAATGGGCGATGAAACACCGATCACATCGTTGGTACTTCCCGTGCTGATACGCCCCATCCTGTCTCAGGTAACCGCGAAAAGACCATTTAAAACCTACAATTTGAACGATTCCAGCTTGAAAAACAGGACATATCGGCATCCCAGACCCTCCGCTCTGCCCTCACCAAAGCCGAAGCCTCCTGTCCCGGCCTGACCCATGACCTTGTCGTGGGTATCATGCGGAAAGGGGACCTCACGGTCAACTTGAACGAGAGTATCCTGCGTTTGCAAGGCGCTGCCACGGAATCGGATGGTACTGGGGGCGAATTTCGCCGGTTTTGTGCTAATTTTGAGCAGTTGTAGAGTACAGATTAAACAGGTCTGAAGACGCCTTCCAGGAACTCAATCGCAAATCGGCGGCGCTTAAACGCATCCTCAGTAGAATCCCCGACGAGATCAACGATAGAAAAACGTTTCTCGAAACGATCAAGTACGTTTGTTAATGGAAATGTTATTGTTTCAATTAATATGGTTTTTTTTAGGGAAATTGCAAGTGCCATTAAAAGGTTACTAGACGCTGTAAATGAAGTCAATGGGTTCATTCCCGGTACTACGGGAAAACAAGCGCTAGAACAGCGCAAAAGAGAGTTTGTCAAGTATTCCAAACGCTTCAGCAACACGCTTAAAGAATATTTTAAACAAGGACTGTAAGTGAACATTCTTGCATCGTTGCGTTTTTCTTATGTTGTTTTTTGCAGTGCCGACGCTGTTTTTATTAGCGCACTCTACCTCATACACCAAACTAATATGATTATTGCCACTGTTAAACAAAAGTGTGAATAATTTGTGATTTTTTTTAATTAATTTATTAGACAAGAGTATTGTTATGAATGGGTTCAAGGCGGAGTTTCACAACTTGCTGTTGTTTTTTTTTTAATTTAATACATACTTATTTTCCACCAACTGTTGAGAGTATTCCTGTATAGAAACTATTTTAGTGAAAAGTGCAAATTGTCAGATATATTAAATTTAGATAGCATTATGTAATGAAACATATTATTAAACGACTATTTTAAGAATTTTTTTTTAATTAACACTTGTCCTGTGTTACACATTTTTTATCTAATAGTCATATGAGAATAACAGCCGTCGTTAAAAAAAGATAAGAAAAAATACAACACTGATTGAACGTCACTCGTAATTATTATGACGGTAGGTAGTAATTTGATATCCCAAAAATATCACAGTTACATGAGGGTCTAAATAAAATGTAACGAGAAATATAAGCTCTCTTATATTATTTCAGGACCGTACTACTATACAGGATGATTTCTAAAAAAACTGGCGTGTAGAATTTTTATTTATGGCCCAATTTTAAAAATTAAAATGACTTAATATAGAACGCCATTAAAAAGTCTGTCTATCAAGCAAGCCATGAAATTTAAAACGTGTGTCTGCGGCAGATAGATAAAATGTCACAATGACAAGTAAAAAATGTCAAAATAATTTTTATGTAAACTGTTCATGACGAACGATTTGTATGAATAATTATTACTGTTATTTCTTATTACAAATTTGAAAAAATATTGACACTATTTTCTTTCATTTGCTGCTTTTTGACAATACAATAATGGCATTGCCTTATTTGAGACCACGCAACTAGATTTTATTAAAACTAATAACTAATACCTTCCAAATTATAAAAAAAATATAGGTTCCAGTTTAAAATTTGAAACATTGCCCAAAATATATTATAAGATTTAGAAGAATTCTAAAATTGTCAGCTTAGACTATAGTATGTATTAAAAGCCATTTAATTTGGTTTTTCAACTTTTGAAATCGGGCCATAAATAAAAATTATACAGGGTGTTGACTAAAAGTGTGCTATTTTCGGAGGGTTGTAGCTGTGCTTTTTTTATGAACCATCCGCAGTTCTGGAGGCGCTTGCGCCGCCCCCGACATGAGTCCACCTCGCACATGTTTCCAAATCGTCAAATCGACTTTTATTAAACGTCTCCGATCCATTGCGTTATTAACGTAAAACGAGACACGTTGTCGTCTCACGTGCGTCCAGATGTTCGTCAATCGCAACATCGGTTTTGATCCTTCTGTTCTAATCAGTCTTGAACATGGATCATCTCATACGTTCATTGTTTCGTGTCGGTTTTAATTTTATTAATTTACAAGACTTTTTTACGTTATTTAGGTGTAATACATCGTAAATACCATAAAATCAAATACTGAGAAATTTTTTTAGTTCTTGGGTAAGTTTGATGGTATTGATATACAGGTGTTTTAAAATTCGCGGCCCAGAGAAAAATGCCAAGTAAGTTAAATTTGTTTTTTTTTTTGTAATAACTTCGGAACCATTTAACCAAATATTATAAAATTTGGAAAGATTACTTGCGAGAACATACCTTTTTAAACCAGTAATTACATATATACATCTACTCAATTTCCGATTCCAGCAATTGCAGGTCAAAGTAAAGTGGACCGTTTTAAAGATATTTTAATTTAAAGTGAGAACTACACAACACAAAGTAAAAAGCATGAATTTTGAATGAGTGATATCCTCGGCAACAAATAACCATGGTCACATATTTCGCTGTCAGGCATCTGTCAATTTGAGTTTGGACGATTATTAGACGATTAATCGAAAATATTTAATAAAAGAGTTTACCTCAGACTCCAAACATAAATCCAAATGGATCTCGTCACAAAAATTTATCACAGATGCCTGACAGGGATTTATGTATGTGACCATGGTCATTGGTAGCCGTGGATACCACTTATTCAAAATTCATGTTTTTCATTTTCAGCGTGCAGTCCTCACTTTAAATTAAAATATCTTTAAAACGGTCCATTTTAGTAGTATAAAAAGTAATGCGTTTTTTAATCTAAATTGATTACTCTTTAGATTTAAGCAATAAAAAATTAGTGTTAAGAGGCCAAAAAAACAGAAAAACACAGAAAATGTGAACTGCAACTGCTGAAACCGGAAATTGAGTAAATGTATCCGGTTTTCGTAATTACCAGCCTAAAGGGTATGTTCTCGCAAGTAACTATTCCAAATTTTATAATATGTGGTCAAATAGTTCCAAAGTTATTACAAAAAAATCAAATTTCCATACCCACATTCCGAGGGCTGTAAAATTCTTATCAGTAGAGATAGGACACGAGTTATTATTTAAATTAACATCATTTTATAGGTCATTTTTGAGGTTCAAATATTGCTTCATATTTATGTATAAATTTCGAAATTATGGAGGTTTAAAATTTTCACTTTGTTTTCTGTTGGAAAAACAATTTTACGGTTTTTTGTAGGCTGTTAGGAAACAATGAAACTGTATCCACAATTGTAATTAATTAAGTTTAACATTATTTATGGCTTCTATTGGCAAATTTTTTGTACTTTTATGAAATAATTATGACAAAAAAAGAGCAAATGTCAAAAAACAAATGTAAAAATAGATAATTTCCATGTTCCTGGAATTTTATATTACTTAACTCAATTTTTTTTATAAAACTCGATTTGATCGCACGTGTCGTTCTGTCGTTTGAAATTAGATTTGCATTTGTGACGTCGAAAAAGCCATAGAGCGTCAGATGCTCGTTAAATTTTATGTAATAATTGTTATGTATTGCATTTTGCTAAAGAATATTTTCAATTTCCTTTTTCGTCTTATTCTGGTCACGGGCTTTGCCACGAGATTAATAAAATCCGATACTTTCAATACCACAAGGAAATCAACCAAACAACTTAATCAGAAACTAAGACAAGTTGTGGGCTTTTTGTTTGTTTGTTTTTTTTTTAAATTGCGAGTCATTTGCTTGTGATGAAATTAAATCGTATTAAAATGAGATTAAACTACTCCGAAAATACCGTCGACGGTATTGACAGATATATCACCTGTATTGGCATTTCTCTAAATCTGGTGTAGAATAGCAATTAATAAACTTCATTACAAATATTGAAAACAATATCGATTTTCGAAGCATGTTACAATTTCCTACCAAACAATCTACTCACTGTAAACGTGCCTTAATATAACATTTGACGTTAACATGCATTCACTTTATTAGAAAATAATAATTTATTTGTTTAATTTGTTTCTCTCCAAATACAGTTTTAATGATTCTCAATTAAATTTCCGCTAAATCGCCACGTGAAACATTTTACATAAACGTTTATTACACTAGCCAACAAGCATTTTGTGACTAAAACACACTACAAAAGAAAGTCAGCTTTTGCAAAAAACTCAACTCTACAACAGATTTATGTTGGAATCTTATACATTTTTCAACATTGTTCTTCATTGTTCATTGTTTAGTGAATAAATTAATTTCTTTCGTCGTCTATTTAATTAATTTCTATTTGAAATGAACAATTTTTACGATAAAATTTGAGAAAATTATTTTCCTGTACGTGATGGAGAATTTTTCTTATCAAATTCGTAATTAGGGATGTTAATGTACCCTGATATACGTGTCAATAGATCAATCACAAAAGAAAATTGTTGGGTAGTATTATTTTTTTATTAGTATGTACTAATACTTTTATATTTAGAAGTATTCTTTCCATGGTGACAATAGTAAAACATTTTTTTTTCTTATTACATAATACTATTGTCACCATGGAAAGAATACTTCTAAATATAAAAGAAAGAACGTTTTAGCTCTCGTTACAAATAGTAATATCAAAATCGTTACTTAACGAGAATACTATACAGTATGTTCCAGACTGAGTTTATAAAAGAGAGAAAAAAATGTCTTTGATTTTTCGCCAAAATAACATTTTTTGCTTAATCTACAACGAGCAAATCTGTAATTAAAACTATATTTTGAGAAGTTTCCATTGATCTTGGACTAGTAATAAATAACTTTTCCCATCACATTGGTGGTTTTATTTATTTGACAATTATTTAATTAAATAATGTTCTTGTTAAAAATGGCTTTTTTGTCTTTAGCGTTTTTTGAGTTGCCATTTATTAAACTTATGTTTTCTACAAACATTTTTGTTATGTATTAATTCTTTCGTCAAAGTGGCATAATTGTCAATAAAATAAAACCACCAATGTGATGGGATTTAAAAAGGCAAAGAAAAATAATTATAAGTCAAAGTCATAAAGTTTTAATTCCAAATTTGCTCGTTTCAGGTGAAGCAAAAAATGTTTTTCCTTTGTATTAACGAGCCAAAGGCGAGTGTATAATTCTTCCGAATGAATTATAGCCGTTATATGCGAGTCAAATACGATGTTTTATCTACGATCGTTTTTAATAAAACACTTTCTATTTACAAAATTTATATTTATTATAATGACAAATCTGTGGTTTATGATAAGTCAGTAGTGACTTATAAAAAGTCACGGGTAAATAACAAACGTATTATTTACTGGTCGTAGATAATTTTTTTATTCAAAATCATTAAGCAATAATCAAAAGTTGGAAGGTATGACATTCAACTTCATTTAACAATTGATAAGAAATATCAGGTTCGGGTTGGGAGGTGGCCACTTACTTACTAGTTGAAATGTAATATGACATTTCAAGTTGGGAAATAGCCACTTCCCAACCCGAAAACTGATAAGAAAGTGACCACTTCCCAAGCTGAACTGTCAAATGTCATGTTTTCGCGTTTGTAATGAAGCAACTTCCCACCTCGGTATTAAACAGTTTTTCAATTGTAAACCCAATCCGGGGACATACCTATAATTGAGAAATCAAAAAAATTATAGATATATCAATTAACAGAACGAGGGAAATAATAAGTAATTATCTATCGAGCGTTTTCTCGTGTTTCCGCGTAAAAAACCATTATGTTTTAATTGTAGTTTCTGGTGTGGGTTTTGAACAAGGCTTTCTTTGTCTGTAAAATTTCCCAAAGTGGATCAAGGGTACGCAACCAAACCCCCTTGACCAAGACCCATTCATAACAAAGGTGTGGCTCAACACCGTTAATCTAACTGTAAATGTTATCACAAACTAACGGTTCTCATGCAATAAGAAAGTACCCCCAAGGCCAGATTCCAGATGCAGTACCGCATGCAGAAAATGCACAGAAACGTGTACGGTACTAGTCACGTTTTATAGAAAGTGAACGTTTAATACAGTTTGTTAATGTATAGCTACAAGTCGATTATTTTTTCCAGTGTTGATGTTCGGTGTGAATCCCACAAATGGCCCATATTCACAACATGTTTGCTTCAATCTGTGTCCGAAATGGGGACACATTGACAATAAACGACAACTGTTACGGTATTTTCCCCCCAAAGAAAAAACAACTAAAATTTAAGAACGAAAATTTTCAGAAATTTTACAAGAAATCCTGAGGGAGCTTTTAACCGAAGACAGTACGTTGCGGACGTACAGAAGAGCAATCGGTTTTGGTCAAAACATCAAAAAGGACCTAATCCCACTCCTGACTCACTTGAAAGACGATGCGAAAGAATCGACGAAAATTATCGATACCATTATCAAAATTTTGGTTAATTTGACAATTCCCATCGAGTATTTACTGCCACTAGAAGCCATGTCGCAAACCGATGTCGGAAGACACACCATTTTTGAATTAAACAAACTACTGACTAGCAGTAAAGAAGCTTTTACTGATAGCAGAAGCACAAAAATGATAATGGATCACGTGAAATTCATCGTGGAAAGTGATCTAGAGATGAATTTGGAATATTGCGATAGCATCAATAACTGTCTTCTCCTCCTTCGCAACATCCTCCACATACCCGAAGTCAGAAGCGTCCAAAACAACACTTCCAGTATGCAAAACCAAATAATTTGGAATTTATTCACGCAAAGCATCGACAAAGTCATCATTTACCTAATTTCCTGTCCACAAAAAGTGAGTAAAACTGTTGTTTGTCTCAAGTTTGTGTAAAAAATCGATTTAGGTGTACTGGGGGGTAACCATGGTCCAGCTCATTGCCCTTTTATACAAAGACCAACACGTGGGGACCCTCCAGAAGCTGCTCAACCTGTGGCTGGAAGCCTCCCTCAGCGAAAGCTCCGAAGACAACGAGAGCAACACTTCGCCCCCCGAGCAAGGCAGCGACGACTCCTCCCCCATCATCACCTCGGACCCCACGTCCGACTCGAGTGACGGCGGCGGGGGCAACAGGAACAAAACCCTTCAATCGACCAAGAAAACCCTGATGATGCGAGGCAAGTCCACCGAAACGGAGACGAGTACAAGTAGCGGCGTCTCGACGGCGCATAACAGCATCGAGTTAGATATTCCCAAGGGTGATAAAGCCCCCTTGAATTACAAAAGGGAGTGTGTGTCGTCGCAAAGCGAGGATTTTGGGTATGTGACCCAAGTGGAGAACCAGGAGTCCATCTCCACGTCGAGCAATGAGGAGGATCAGCCGCAACAGAAACCGGTACATCAGAAGCCCCACACGTTTCAAAAAAGTCGGTACAACACGGGGAAGAGTCGGGCGGCCACGGCGCTGGATAAGAAGGAGTTGCGAAGGAAGAAGTTGGTCAAGAGGAGCAAAACTAACACGTGAGTGGCGAAAAAGGCAAAAATTACTCACCTGGAGGGGTTTTCACGGGAAAACTGGTTACGGTAAATTCGAATTTTCAAACTGTCAATTGGACTCGAGATGCCAACCAAACAGAACAAATGTGACCAAATTGATAAATTAATTTGGTCAACAGCAAATAACCGACTAAATTTTTGTTTTTTTTTTTTGAGATATCAGGTTTTTGTAAATCAATCAGTAATTGTAATCAATTTTTTATTTGAAAACTGGACGTATTTACGTTTTTTCACGAGATTCGAGGTGCCAACCGGACGGAATAAATACCCCCAAATCAACAAATTGAGTAAAATTATCACATTTTTGCCAATTTCACGTCTTTGTAAAGTACAGATCACAAAATATTTATATAAAATACTAATCAGCGTTAAAACAATTAATAGTAATTATTATTGATAATAAACATTTCATCTGAAAAGTATGTGGATTTAAACTTTCAACGATCAACCGATAAACATGTAAGTAATTAAAAATTACTCACCCTTTAGCCAATTTAAGCAAATGTTCACTTTTTATTACCTCAAAAAACACGTTATTTTCACACTTAAAAGTGTACTGTAGGCACCAACCAAACGAAACGAATGTCACTAAATCAACAAATAAATCAAACAAATATCAAACAACGAATTGTCACCGCATTTTGCTAATATCACGTCTTTGTAAAACAATAATTATAGTTAAACTTCCCTTTGAAAACTTGTCGGATTAGAATTTCAAGTGCCAACCCTCGAATGCCAAATCCACCAACTATTTGGGGAAGTACACTGCATTGTTTCAGGATCAACATGAAGGGTCTTTTGCATCACCTGCCCACCGACGAGGACATCGCTAACATCCTCAAAGAGTTCACTGTGGATTTCCTCCTCAAAGGCTACGGTACCTTGGTGCAGGACCTCCATTCCCAATTCCTCACCAATATTCACCTCCAAATCGACACTTCCCACTTTTTTTGGCTGGTAACTTACTTCCTGAAGTTTGCTACTCAACTGGAATTGGATCTGGAACACGTCAGTCCCGTTTTATCCCACGAGATTCTCTCCTATCTGGTCTTTCAAGGCGTCTGGATTTACGAAGAGCTGGAAATGAGCGGAAAAATCCCCGATTTTGATCTGAAACCGTGTTTGAGAAGACTGCATTTGGTATGAATCGCGAGTTGGTTGTCTGGGTTGTCCTGAATGTGGTTTTTCAGGTGGTGACCGCAATCCGGGAGTTCCTCCAAGCGGTGGAGACGTACCAAAAAATGATCCATTTGAGTGAGGAGGATCGCCTAGCGCTCGTGCAGCTTCAAAATCAGATCACCGAAATGGAAGATTTGAGGTCACTGTTTTTGTTGTTGTTGAGACAGTACAACCCCAATATTCAAAGCAGACAGTACCTCCAAGATCTGATTTTGACAAATCACAACTATTTGTTGTTTTTGGATTCAGCGACCAAAGAGCGACGGTCTTTTAATATGATGGAACACCTCAAACAGTAAGGTTTTGCTTATTTTTTTTCAATGTAAATGCGGCGACTGAGCAAAATTATGTAGGTAAAGTAGTGCACTTCATACATGATTTTCTCTATAACCTTGTTAAGGATTGTCTCAAGGATGCGCTGATGCAAATTTCAGGTTCGCGACGGTCGAAATTATGAAACAATACGGACTGTTGCTCGAGAGTTTCAAAGAAAACGGCGAATTTGTCAATAATTGCATTTTTACGATGATGCACCACATTGGGGGCGACCTCGAACACGTCGCCACCCTTTTCCAACCAAGTATCCTCAAAACGTTCTCTCTGATTTGGGAAACCGACTACGAAATTTGTGATGTAAGTAGTGATTTTCATTTTTTGATGTTACCCAACGTGGCATGTTCCAGGACTGGTCCGATTTAATCGAATACATTATTCACAAGTTTATTAATTCACCACGCTCAAACTCCGATTTAAATTCATCGGAAACTTGCCATAATCTCGTGGTGGATGAAGCCGAATGGACTGAAGAGGAAAAACACAATTTGTTAGGTTATTACAACCAAAGTCAATTCTCGAACGACACGATTGCCAACATAACGAAAAAATACGAGAAATGCGGAGTGCGTCGAAAGTCACAATTGTCAATAATCAAGCAATTGTTGGAGCAAAATATCATCAACGAGAGTCAATATAACGATTTCATCAAAGTGAAACAACAACCTGACCATTTGAAAGAAACCAAAAACATTACCACCAACCAAATTGATTTCGAAGAAAAAACCCCAATTGATGAAGGAATCCGACTATTGCGCGAATATTTGTGCAAAGACAACAAAACAAAATTCGTCTTATGGCTCCAAAAAGTCCTAATCAACACTTGTTACGTCAAATTAGCCCTGGCAAATCCCGGGGAATTCAACAACGACAAAGCTTTAGCCCAACCTGTCATCTACTACTTTGCTCGTACGTACGACCAAACCCGATCAATTCCGATCTAAATTTCAACTTTTCCAGTACTGAATCTACCAATCCCGGTGGTTCCCTGGACTGTCGATCAAACCGCCATTTTGAAATATCAGTCATTCGTCTTGCTTTTACACAAACTAGGTTTTTATTTACCGATCGACACGGGAAAAATCTTTGTAACAATCCCCACTTTCTGGAACGCCGAATATGTCTTCTCCATGGTACAGCAATTAGGGCCTATCGATCCAGGTTTGCCAACACACTAAGATCCCCCAGGAAATAACCAAGTTTTTCAGCGAAACTCAATTTCGACGTCGCCATTTTTAAAGGGAGGAATCGACGCGAATTCTTCAAACAGGAAACTACAGATTGTGTGAATTTCATTCACACGAGGAAATTCTCCCTGAGCGACGCGAAAGAAACACCAACGATGGTTAGATATACGCCCTTGTAAGTAATTTGTACGGTTTTGGGAATTTTGAACGGTTTTTTGAAAATTCTGGTGGTGTTTTAGACCGAATTCAACTGAATGGTTTCAAAATTGCCAGTCGAGGGTACTTCCCGATTTTGAAGTACCGATCAATAGGTAATTTCACACGTAGTAAAGCATGCTTCTTTTCGAATAGTAGTTTTTCTTTTTTATTATTGACATTTAAGCTGGCCATTGACGTGGTTACCAACCTTGTAAAATAAATAATATTACCTATTTCCACGTCATTTTCTCACCATTTTTCTTGTTTTCTATTGTTGAAGCACCGCCTCCTTAATCAAATGTATCAATATCCCGCCTGGGCATTTCGTAAAAAATGCATTGGAGCAGTGATTCCGATTTTTTCTTAGTTACGGGGGTTACTAAGGAAAAACTGAATAATTTTTAATTATTAACGAAAAATAACGCAATTAATAAATGCTGGGAAGGAAGGATACAATACAACAAAACTAGATACGCCAGGGAGAATTGATATTATGAGATTGAACCCTTTAAGCTAAAAAACTGGATTTGTCAAAAAATTTTCCCCAGATTTAAAGCGCCAACGGGAATCACTTGAACTCAAAAAATGCCCAGGCGAGAAAAAGATTATTTCTATGGAGACGGCGATGGTTGAAGTTATGTTTCACATACCAAAATCATAAAATTACGTTTTATTTCAACTTGAGTCTCTGACACCGCTTATTGACGTTTCCCTTTGGGTGTGTTACCGCCTAGTGTATTTTAGTTTGTGATATTGGTTATTTTTGATTTTTAGTGGGCATCCCCTGTCAATAGCGATTCCGGGCCTCGAAGAGCTCACTTGTATCAGCCCCCCTCCCGAACTAAGTATAGTAGACAATCATGTGATCAACGGAAATATGGAGTGTTCCCCCATCCACAGCGCCTGTGAGACCGCTTCGATCGCTTCCGACTTGACTCGAATGTGTGTCAGTGACGAAGAAGACAAAACAATTTTGGTTATTGAACAAAAATAATTTGAGTGTGTTTGAGTTGTTTTAAATGTTTTTGTGTTCACTTTTGTATGTGACTATTTATTCCTCAATGTAAATAAAAATTATTTTCGGACTAACTGTTGTCGTTTTATTTATTCAAGACAAACGTGATATGTAACATATTGCACAGGAAACGTGTACCTAACACAAAAAGTAAGTACATTCGGATTATTTAATTTCCTCAGTATACAAAATTGTACAACAATTACATGCACAGTAACGTCCTTTAAACTTTTTACTTATTATACAACCGGTCCTTGGACCGGCCCCATCTACTAAAAAACAAAAAATTACGCAAATTTATACATATCTCGACTTGCATTACGTCAAAATCGAATATCATAGAAAAGCAATCAATAATAATGAAAAATCTCTAGCTTGTACAACACTTAATGAATATTATTCTTCTTCTCATAATCTTGCACATCTTCAAAATTCAAAATATCAAACTCTGTTATTTTATTACCGGAGAACTGAGCAAACTTGGCTTGAACATGCAAATCGGCTGATCGCTTAACAACTAGAAAAAAAAATTAATTTGAGAAAAACTAAAGTCAGACCTCACCTCCTCCTACGTATTTTTCAAGCTTGTAAACCGGTCTATTCTCACACTCCTTCGCAATATAACTCCCAACGCCCTTCAAATCCTTCAAAGGTGGGGTCACCACCCTCATGGTCTCCCTCACGACTTGCGTATCGACTTTATAATACCCATCCCACATTTTATTAACCAAGTCAAAGAGCGACCTCGGGGGCAAAACATGCCCCCGATTCAGGGGCATCACAAAACATCGATTCCCCGTGATATCAATAATCCCCGTCGTGTTGGTATTGAAATCGTGGATGAACCTCCCGCTTCGCCCATCCCTGAAATCAGGAACGTCGATTTTCTCGTACTTTTCCCCATCGAGATCGATCTCGAAGTCCTCTCGGAAGTAGTTGCGCATGATGTTATCGAAGTCGTCTTTGACGTTATTGTCGTCGTCATCGTCGTCGCCCCCCGAGAGGGCTTTCAGGAGGGCTGAGTCGGGCATGGGGTTACGTTCGCGGAAGTAGAGGGTCTCGACGTCCTCGGAGGGCATGGGGATTTGGGCATAGCCGGTGAAACGGCGCATTTGGGCGCTGATGTACTGGTTGTAGAGAGATTTGCCTACGAAGATGCCGATGCTGACGACGATGAGGGAGGTGAGGATCAGGCAAAGGGTTGTTGCGGTGGAGACGCGACGGGCGCGGGCTTTGAGGAACACCACGTCGGAGGGCTGGCCTTCCAAGTCCTCGCTTGGAGGCTGAAAACAAGAAAAAATCGAAAACACTATCGAAATTTTTTTAAATTAATCAAGAAGAAAACAATTCTATACACACTTTTTTACTATTAAAAGTAATCAAATTCAATGAAGCAAAGTAAAATTTTGAATTCACTTTTTGCAGTTTAAAATAATAAAAAAATTAAAAAATTAATTCAACAAAAAATACGCTAAACTAGGCAAAATAATCAAAATACATACCACCCTACTTCCAAATACTGATCAAAATGGGCTGTGATTTTGAAATTATGTTGACAACACTGAATTATCAGTGACAACATTTTGTCGGGTGACGGCTATACGAGCGGCCGCCCTTCAAAAATGAATGACAATTAACTATAAAAATGTGACGTTTCAATTTGATAGTTAATGTTGCCAACTTCAATTTTAAAATCATAAGACACTTTGATCGGAAATTTATTCGAAAGTATGGTAATTTTAAAGTATGTTTTATGCAACATTTATTAATGGAAAAAACAAATCGAAATAATGCGATTTTTGCTTTGATTATAGAGGGTGCGCCAGAACTCGCGCCCCAGAGAAAAATGCCATATAAGGTAAGATACCAGGAACATGGGAAAAATGTTAAAAAAATTTTATCTATAAAAATTTCGAAGTTATGAGGGTTTAAAGTTTGCACTTTGACTCTATTTATTTCTGTTGGAAAAATAATTTTCCAAGTTTTTTTGCTATAGGCTATTAAAAGAGGAAACAAGGAAGCTATATCCTAAATTGTAACTCTGTTCAATGTTATTTGTGGCTTTTATTGGCAAAATTTTTGTCCCTTTACGTAATAATTGTAAAAAAACATATACAAGATTATGGGTATCATTAAATAGATATAAAAAAATGTCAAATGTCAAAAAATAAATGTCAAATTTTTTTGACAGATACAATTTTTTAAACATTTTTTTCATGTTCCTGGTATCTTACCTGACTTGAAAATTTTCTCTGAGTCGCGAGTTCTGGCGCACCCTGTATAAATGATAAACCAAAATAGCACATTCAAAGTCAGTTTTGGCAATTTTTGCCTCAATTTAATATATTTGCTTAAAAGATCGTCAATTTTTGTTAAAAAAAATGATCCAAATTTAACGAAATAAGCCAATAAGTTTAAAAGCGTTATTTCACAAGTTTCTGCATTTTTTTTGTAAAATTGCTTTCCAAATTAAACAAAACACAAAAAAACTCGAACAAAGCCCCGTTTTTTTGTAAAAAAAATTATTCGAATTAATTAACTTTCTACACTATATTTCTCTGGATAGTAGAATTCTCAAGGTCATAATTTACGAGTGTACTCAACTTTTATGCACAACGAAGTAACCTTGACAAATACACTGATCACTTTTGACAGCATTTTGACATTTATTGACAATCCACGAACAGCTGGTGTTTTTTAGTAAATCTTGAGTTTATTTATTTAAATTGATTTTAATGTGCTCGTTAACGGAAACCGAAGGGACTACAATACATACTATTTGATTTGGATATTTAAAATAACCCAAAACATGAGTGTTTGAATAGTATTTGAACGAGTTTTATTGAGCTCCAATTTTGGTTAAATCACTCAAAGGTATATGAAAAATACTTTTATTTTCAATTTACTCATAAAAGGTAATTGCAAATCTATCAGATATAATCAACTCAGATAGAAGCATCTGAAGGCAAAGTCAGTAGAATCTGGAAATTTTATCCAACAATATTCGTTCTTGCTCAAAACCAAAGAAAGGATCAACTTGGGTTTGCTTCCCCCTAGATAGGCCTGCTTGTGACCTTATTCATAGGAGCAAAAATTTCTTTTCTAAATGATTTGATGAACTGCAGAACTATCGTCACAATAAAGAATTATGCTAATCCTCCAACATACCAACACCAAAACACGTTGTATCACAAACTCCTATCACTGAAGCACAAAACTAAATTTGTGATGGTTAACTATTAGTCCTTAACAAACCTTTGAAATTTACCAAAAGGTAATAAAACAATCTTGTTATCCAGTATAAGTCAAATATCTACGAAATATTTGGAGGGTTTTCCGATTTTTAGTTAATCAACTAAACCACTGCACCACTAAAAGTTTCCTTGAGGCAACTGCGTTTCAGTTGGGAACAATAAGTTGTGAGGCACATTACCCTTGTACAAGGTGCAAGGTATGTTTCATAACAATTTTGTTAATTAAAACTATGTGTAGCTAAAATGTTTGTTATTATCAATAACGATCTTTGATTTATTAAGAAGAACCAACCTTTTGTGCAACATTCAAAAGTTTTATTTGTAAATTGATAACTGCCACAAACACCATGGACATGATTAACAGATTCTAGCAAGAAGATGCTTTTCTTCTTACAAATCTTTCATATCAGAGGTTCGATCAACGTTTTGAACAAAATTCTTGGACTTGGGTTTGGTGTTCCAACTTTTAATTTGATCGACACTTTTTTATCGGAGGTAATCGGAGTTATTCACTGATGTTTCATCCAAAAACAAGCTTCGGCTGTTGAATGTTCTGAATAAAGCACGCGACTGTACCTTAAAATTTTATTAAACCCCAAAACCATCGTACATAACCTTTAATTTCAATGTGACAGAAAAAAACATCATTGCCACCTTTAAAAAATAAAATCGAAAATCATGGCTACGAGAGTCAACACAACTTTGGTAAAACCGCTAAAAACCCTGTTTATCAAATTCTACTATCAACAGAAATAGATAGTACATCAGCTTACCAAAATCTCAAAAAAAAAAAATATTTTCATTAAAAATGAGACGAACGATTAAAAAAATAACAGTTTTTTTTCATTAATTTAACAAAATCATTTAAAAAATAAGCTAAACAGGGTGAAATATTACTAGAGAAGCCTATTATTTTGCAATTCCATGCAAATAATTAAAAAAAAATGTGTTAAAAGAAAACAGAAATAGCCAATTTCTTGCACTAAGTTAACTAAACGAGAAATTTTTATTATAAAACTATTAAAACAAACAAATTAAAAGAAACAAACCGAAATAATTTTTTTCACCTGATTGTTTATATAATAAAAAAAACTTGAGAAAATTGCTGAATTGATCGAAACAACCAAAATAATATAAGGTGACTGTAAATGATTGTGATTTTTATCTTCAATTTGGGGTCAAATTAAAGCCCCAGTGTGACAACCTTGACTCTCAAACTTTTATAAACAATTGCTATAGAAGAATTCAGTGTTGGCAATACATTTAGGCCACAAACATTTACGGCCACCCTCTACTTTTAAAATGTTTTTGGAATTTAAAATAAAGGAAAAAAGCCGAAATTAGACATTTAGACGCAATTTCTTTCATTATTTCAAAAATAAAAGAAACAATCATTTATGAGTGGTAATTGATAAATAAAACATTTTTCTGATTAAAAAATTCCGCTAATGTTATTGGTCATACCATTGAAATGTTACATGTATTTTGTCCTTGATTGTACAATTTGAAAAACAATTACACAAATAAAAACATTTTTAAGACGTTCAACTTTACGATCTCTAAACTTTAATATTGTTATTTTTACATGTTTTGCTCTAATTACCGTCCTTGAGATGTTATCACTTCAAGGCATTTTTTCAGTTTTTCAGGCAATGCTTCTCTGGTTATGCAATAAATAAACATTAAGACCGGTGACCTATATTAAATACAAGCTGACAAGGCGGCTATGTCAATCTAAACTCAGCCGCCTAAACCGAGCCTAATCATATTAGGTTTTATTGTTATCAATTGTTTATGATGCAACTTAATTGCAGCATTTCCTGGGCGCGTTAATATTGTTTGTTGCATTTTGAAGGTCAATGTTAATTATCATTGTTAGCAACATTTAAGAAGTTAACAAAGTTGGCCATTTTACCGAAACGTCTTTTGAGGAAAAAATGGGCTACTTACCGCTGTTGCCAATTGGTCATTCTGGACAAGCGGGGCGAGTTTGTCCTTCTTTTCCCCGGAGATGGGCTTGGTCAAAATGGTCATTACGACGGAAAAATTACACCCGATTTTGAGAAAATGCGTAATTGATCGATTTGCTTTTCTCCTCGCCAAAACAAATAGCCACAATAACTGCGCCTGTCACTTGTCACAATCTCCACCAATGAAAACGCGACAAATTTGACGTTTCAACTAACCTCACTATTTTTTCAAAACAAATCAGCGATTTTTTAAATGGGCAAATATTCGAGCGATTCGGATAGCGAAAAGCGGAAAAGCTACAAAAGTAGATCAAAGCGCAGGTGAGCCCCACGTGCCTCCTTTTTTCACTTCCATGATTTTCTAGATCGAGCTCGTCGAGTTCGTCCGAGTCCAGAAGCCGCAAACGGCGCCACAACAGAAGCCGCAGCCGCGACAGGTACTCCAAATCTAGGTGCGTATCAAGTATTAGCCCCTTCGTTTTTTAAATGAAAGTTAGGAGGTCCTCCAAGTCGCGGAGACGGTCCCGATCGCGGCACAGAGACCGCCACAGGAGGCACCGGAGGTCGAGGTCATACATCAAGGAGTATACGAGCAAGCCACGGCGACGCTCAACCTCCTCCTCGAGCGACTCTGAACCCAAAAACGAGGAAATCCCCAAAAATGAAGCGAGGAAGTCACCGGAAGTGTCAAAGGTCGACGTGAAAGTCGTCAACGCCATCAACGAGGAGGGCTTCACCCCCAAAAGCTACACAAGCAAGTCAAAAATGATGGAAAATATCGTCATTGATTTGAAGAAACAGACGATCAAAGTGCCGGAGGTTGAACCAGTGGAGCCCGATAGTATTTTCCATCATAATGTAGGTTTTTTGCAAAAAAAAACAGGGACTATTACTGAAATTTCAGCTTTTTTTGAACGAGGAAGCAAGGATGGAGAAGTGGATTAAGGAATTGTATGGCTACAGGCAAAGGGCGCTCCAACAGGGGCTCAAGACTGTAGAGAAATAATTGTCACCTTAAAATAAACAAGTTTAAAATTATGTCTTTTATTTTTGTAATAACAAACTTTTTTTATAAATTTGGGATCAATTAAGTTGATGACATCGAATTTATTGACGGCCAAATCAGCAACTGCCCGTCGCAAATGAATGGCAGTTGACTATAAAAATGTGACATTTCAGTTTGATAATTTACGTTACCAACTTAATTTCAAAGTCTTAGCACACTTCAATCAGAAATTTATTTGAAAGCATGGTTGTTTCTTCCAATTTGGCTTTTTTTAAAAGAATTGCTTAAAAATATATTTTTTTAAATATTGAAGAAAATCACTTTTATTCTAGATATTTTTTGAGCAGAAACATAAAAGTAAAATTCGAATTTAAAAACATAAAACAATGCCATATAAATTTAAATTTATTGTTGACTTGTTACCTGGCAACCCTATGATGGCGCGGGAATTTGATGATTTTTTTGGCATTTTTTGACAAAATATTGAAAAATAAGTAAGTTCTTTGTACTAAAAAGGTGCTCAAGCTCTCGAAATGTCTCAAAATAATGTTAATTATTTAAAATTTATTAGAATTTGACAATTTTAAGACTTTTGACAAATATTTACTACATTGGGGAATAAATATTAATAATTAATAAGATAGTTTTTTTGAAAAGTAACATTTTCGAAGAACCTGATTTTAAGAAATAAAATTTGATTTCGGCTAGAAAAATTCAACTTCCTAGTTAGGGGTGGACTTCTGTTGGGATTATTGCAACGCGAAAAGCTTAGTTAACGAGGTACAAAAAGATAAAAATGGCGAGATTCAAGTATAGAGAAAGTCGAGGTCAATTCATAGTGGCTTTTTAATTTATGGCCAAGTTGGCAGCAGAAGTAACTAAATTATGTCAACAGTTGTGACAGGCGCAGTAAATTTTTCGTTTATGTTAACCTTAGCAATACCAACCTAATAAATGTCCCTATATCTAGATTTGACTGCAAAGTAAAAAGGATGATAACCGGGAAATAGCTAGGTGTTTCGCGGCGGAGACAACGATAGGGAAGAGGTAAATGAAAATTCCTACCTTTGAGTGCTCCCACGTAGAATCCAACCAAAAGGATGAGGTAGGAAAATAGGAAAGGAAGGGAAAGAGGTTGGGATGATAGGAATCTTCACTAATTCTTTAAAATCTGCGGTTCTGCTGAGCAATTTCCAATATTATCACTTTCTAGTTTCAAGACGAGTGATTCCAACAAATACAAATAATTCACACGAAAAAACCAAACATAAACCGAAACCTTGTTTTTTAACATAAAACATTTTGTTTTTCTTAACAACCGAAACTAGGGCCGAATGTCAACGCTCTCTTTAAATTAACTAAATACAAATTATAAATTATTATGAGAAAATAAGGACGCGACACTAGGTATCTAAAAGTTATGAGTACAAAAAAAAAGGGAACTTTTTGTCGTAAATCCTATAATCTTAAGAAGGCGATGATTTAAGGCACAGTTGCCATATTTAGTTGGGCTTTATTTAAATTTTTTGTCGCCAAATGTCATAATGACTGTCAATTTTTCGATCAATGTGCTTTTGGCTCTCCTGCTAACCAGCGCAGGTAATTCCCCCTCTGCTAACTCTCTTAAATCCTCCCAGCTAGCAGTGACGTCAGAGTCCGGCGCCACCGACTCGAAGACCACGAAAAACACTTCGAGAACCCCAACTTCGCCCTGCGAAAGTGCATCAAATGCAATAGTTTCAAGAACTGCGTCGATGACAATTGGACAATAATGCCGTGCGCCAAAGAAGCCATCGCCAACCTGCCCTTCGGCGAAATCGAACGAAAAGTCTTCGAAAAACTTAATCACACCGATCTTAACAACACGGACAAAGCGACGCACTGCGCAATCGTGCAGTGGAAACGTGAGTGAGACGTCCACCCGAGGCGCAAACTAATTTTTTTCTAGAGTCCGAGATACGAGCCTGCGTACCGGAAACGCTCAACGAAAAGGCGTTTTGCACCTATTTCAAGGAGAAAACGGAAGTAAAGCTGACAATGTGCGAGATGTGTCCGGCGGATGTCAAACCCTGCAACGATGCGGAACCGCCCAGGGAGGACGGGGCGGAGCTTACGGCCACACACAACCTGGCTTTTTCATGCCTGTGCATGGCCCTTATTGCGATTTTAATAAGATAAAAATAATCTCATTGCATTTTATTCAAACAAAGCGTAAATATTAACCTCGATATTAACTAAAAATCACCAAAAACAGTCAAACTTACACAAAAATGGCTACTTATACAGGGTGTTTCACATAATTTTACGAGGCCTACGCCTTTAAGATCCAATCAATAATACATATTCCGATACGAACTCGATCACAAATTTTGAAAAAGTGGATAATCTTCTCTAGTTTGTTCACCCTTTCAAAAATTACAACGTTTTTAGTTAGTGATTAAGGTAGATAAACTAGCATCATATTCATACCGTCTCTTGATAGAACAAATGATAATTGTTTCTGAAAAACTGCAGTTTATGACTACTCCTGTAATAGTAATATGACTATTAATGAAACAACGATTAGTTTGACAACTACTGTCATGGGTTTCCAAAAATTAAATAATTAAATGTGTATTTTTTGTATCCAGTGTTTTGTGACTTTTGTATATTTGGGTGCGTACATTAGGCGCAAGCCTCGTAAAGTTGTGTGAAATACCCTGTATATATGCGTTGCCTAGGTAACGACGCGTTACCACGCAACTAGACTAGTTGAACTGTGAAAAATTTTACAGTTGCTTAGCTAGAGAGTTTGACTGTCCATAGAAATTTGAAACAAATACTATATAACATACATAAATGTCAGGCTGATAATATTTATTCAATTTTTTGATTTTATTCATCAATGTCATTGTCGATGGTGTCTTGTCTGAACATTTCCACGTCCGCTTGACTGTCAGCGTGAATGACTTTGGGTTTGTTATCCGGCTGTCAAAAAAATTAGTATTTTGGCGGGAAATTTGAATTCCTTACCTTTGGGTGCATTAGAATGAAGGGCAATTCGGCGGCCAATTCGCCCCCCAAAGCCCCCAAATACAGTTTAACTTTGACAGCGTACGAAACAATAATGCCAAAGGCGTCTTTCTGGTCAGGTGAGGCCAGTCTGGAAGAGAAAATAAAAAAAAAATAAATAAAATTTGAAATTTACAAAGTCGTGGAGGCTAGATTCGTTTCTTGTCGTTTCAATTGGCCATCAAGGGCGATCCCCCTCCTGTCCTTGTTGACCGAGAGTAAGGGTAGCAAATAGACGACTTTTTGCAGACTCGAGCCTGGCTGAATCGGACACCCCTCCCTTAAAAACCCGTGTTACATACTGAATTTTTTCTACGACTGTGATTTACTGTGTTTCGATGCTAGCAACAGTGGAACGGTATTGTCCGTTTTGGAAGAGCACCACGTCCACCCCTTGCTGTACCATGACCTTGATTTTCTTCACGATTTTATTGCTGTTGTTCCTGATGCAGATATTAGTGGCGATTTTCTCGCCATGGTGGTACAACTGCTTATCCAAGGTCACCTCCAGTTCCAGCTCTCCAGGACTCAGCATGAAGTCCTTGCGGACCACCGTGCAGGGTTGGCGGCCCTGCTTCGAGGGGGCGTACTGCACCTTGCGAATGGCCATCGAGACGGTGCTCCGCTTATGCGAGCGATCCGTTTCGGTCTCCCCCACGAAGAGCTTAACATAGTAGTGGACCCCGCAAGGCTGGCCCTCGTCCTCGGGCCCGGGCTGGAGGGTGACGGAGGCGGGGGCGTTGGGCGGGAGAGTGAAGGTGAAGGGGAAGCAATTCGGGCCGAGTTTTTTCACAAGTCGGTCCTGGAGCTTGGAGGGGTTGGGCTTGTCGCTGGGGGGGTAGATTTGCTCAGTGGCCAAGTGGAGGTCCTTCTGGAAGTTGAGACCCATGACTTCGTCCTCTTCACGGCCGTAGCGGAAGCTGCAGATTATTTGGCCGAAGATCTTGCGGTCTTTGTAGTCGTTGTCGACCACCACGACCCCATCTAAGGCAAAAATTCACCCATGGCGTTGGTTTGGGAAACTCACCGATGGGCTCCACCCCCGAGATGTGGTCGACGAAGTCGCGTTTGCCCAAATACAGCGTGAGTTTGCCATTTGGGGACTGCTTTTTGTACACGCGGAAGTTGAAAACCATGCTGGTGTTTGGCGGTTTTCGGATCTGGGAGATTTTTATAAGGGGAGTTTGGGGCTTCCTAATGCGATTAGAGTTAATTGGATTGGTGATGGTTCACTCACAATATGAAACATCGACTAGTAACAATCGTTGTAATGTAATATTATCTTAATGGTTGTAAAACATGCTAATTTTGAGGCAAACAAATAACACACAGAGCCGGATTCAGCTCTAAGCATGAGAAACTTTTTTTATTGTTATTTATTTTGCTTTGTTTAGGTTATTTTTGGAATTATTACTTATTACAAGAATTCGATAATAATCAAAAATACATTCAATGAGAATTGGAATTAAAAACTGTTTCAGATGAATTATTTCCATGCTACCTACATACAGAAAACGAAATCAATTCCCCAGCAGCGGAAAAATGTTTCAAATTATACAGGGTGCACCCCAGAGAAAAATGCCATATAAGGTAAGATACTAGGAACATGGAAAAAATGTTCTGGTGCACCCTGTATAAAGTTTTGTTTCTTTATCGGCACGTTTCAAAACGAATTATGTTTATGTTATTCACTTATTTTTGGCAACATCTTTTTGTGCTAATGCTAATTTGTCATTAAACACATCCGTTATAAAGACATTTATGGCTCCAGACCCCCTGAAAGCTGGCGTATACCTATTACATGTAAATTTATTTCATTGTTTTTAGCCGCAAATTTAGACTTGAAGAGTTACTTGATGTTTGTAGTGTTTCTTTAAAGGTAAATGGAGACCAGGGAAATATTCCCGCTTTAAATAAGTTAATAGATATTTTTTTATTGAATAAAATGTGAAAATTTTAATTATTAAGATTTTTTTGATAACGGTATACCGTATTGAATTAAAAAAAAAAACAGTTAATAGGTAATTTAAAAATACAGTGCCCTGATATAATGCGAATTTAATAACTGTTCTTGATTCTTTGATATAAAGCAAAAATTAAATTGAAAATAGGCAACCAATAATACACGATCTTCTGTACCTGGAGCATAATTTATGACAAGCCGGGCCGCACCGCAGAGTGTAACCCACAACATGATGGTTTTATTGCGTTTGTTCAAAGCAAAGATATGCATTTGCACCCCTCAATAAGAGAATTGTTAGTTCATTTCAAAACTTCAATTTTTATTATTCATCTATTCAAAAATAAATTAAAAAAAGATATAGGTTTAATATAAAGGCACTAAGACCAATATGTAAACCTAAAAAATAAAAAATTAAAATATAATATTTATATTAATTTTACTGAGGACGGTTTTTGCTTAGGGATTATTATATGAGTTGGTCTTTACGGACAGCTCTAATTAGACAAATTAATTTTGTGTTAAAAACGATTCTAGGTATTTGTGGTGAGACACATATTATGTTTATTGTTATTGTGTTATGTGTATTATTTCGTTCTATGGCAGTTTTAATATCGGTGTTTCTCGCGCTAAATGGACATTTAATTTCAACAATAGCATTTTAACCGACTAATCCATCTGGTGTTGCACCTAAAAATGTTTTTTCTTCATCAACAAAAAAGCCGCATGAGTCCACCTTGAAACCTGTGATTTGCTCAAACTTTTCCTTTGCTTTTTCTTCATTATCAATACCCCATTGTAGAGGTTCAGGCAATTTTTTAAATTTAGATACACCTACACTAAATAAGATATTTTTTACAGTATTTGCTGTATTGGTTTTACATTTCATATTTATAATTCTTCCAAAATTACTAGCTGTTAATCTGTTATTTCTTTCTTTATCCCACTGCTCATTATTACGTTGACCAATTGTTTCAATAGGGATTTTTAAAATATTGCAAGCAGCCAAATCATTCAAAAACTCACTTTTTATTTTTTCATATGTTTCCATTGGCATATCTATTATGTCATCCATCAATCGCACCATAATCGGAATCTGCACTTTGAATACGAAAAGGGACCAGGCACCAGGTAGAGATTGACAGCTGCCACAGAATAAAAGTCTAAATAGAGTATGCAACTTACAGTACACCAAATCTGAACAGTTCATTCGGTACCCTAGAGCCTTAAGCACATACTACATCGTCTTTTTTACTTTCCTTATCATATGAGGAAAGTATTGTAATCGGCTGAAATTTGACCTACCCAGATTTTAACATTTCTGTGTTTGGGCCATTGGGTCGTGTGTGTGTGTGTTTGTGTCTGTCTGTAAACAGCATATCTAGAAACTTTAAATTTGGTATAAAAGTTACTTGTAGCAAGGGGACGTAGCACGAAACAATTGGTAAAAATCGGTTGCTCCGTTCGGCCGCAAAGACCAAAAGTGGCCGCAAAATTATACGTTTGAAGATAGAATAAATTCATGGGGATACAAATTATTTAGAATCATGAAATATACCTAATTAAACAGTAAAATGTGGTAAAACAATAATAATAATATTGAGTACCAAAGTAAAAAAAAAACGCGACAACTACGATCTATTTCGCGTGTAATTCGGCAGGTGGCACTAACGCAAGTTAGGTTTGCTACTGGGATTTCCAACACTAAATTATTGTCGTTAGGATGTTTTCCAAATGAGGAAAGTCGTGTGTTGTTCACACCAGATTTTTTTTAATTGACTTTTAAATGAAATTTAAATAATAGACGATTTTTGAAAATTGTGTTATGTAAAATTTGCTGCTGAATCCGGCACGGCGCGTACTAAATTTTATTAAAATGATTTTTGAATCAAAAACTTATTTATCAGCTTAATTTCATCTCGATTATGTCTATCTCGTAAAATAAAAAAAATTCTCGCATCTTTTTTTTAATTTTTAATAAGGATTCAGAATATGCCATAAAAAAATATGTGCAGCGACCCAATTGTTGAATGGACAATAAGGGAAAAAAACTGTGAATACGTTCCTTTATAGAGCGATATTTGTGTTAGTGTGAAAAATAATCTGCCCTGGAATGGTTTGTATAAGTATATTGAGAAATGTCCAATACTCGTTTGACATACAGGCTCATGTTTATTTACATAATACACAATTATTTTAAAGACAAAAGTTGTCACAAAGCTTAAACTATGTATTCACTAACCGTCTAATGTGGCCGAGTATGGAGTGTCCAACTCCAGGATTAACATTATCCTAATTACGTCATACTGAGTAAATAAATGGTCCTAAGAGCCTTCGTTATAAAAAAATTACAATAAGGTACGCAAAGACTGGCAAACTACCTAGGCGCAGCAATTTGATTTATGATATGATTTTTTTACAATTTTTAATTATTAATATAAAAAGTAGAAAAACTTTTACACTCTCAAACTTTGTAATAATTTCAACAGTCGATTAATTTCATTATTTTCAACAACTCTAACGGGTGTGTAATGACTTCCTGTAAATAATCAAAAGATCAGACCATATATTTATTATTAAATAATTCAAACTCACAAAAACTCTCACATCAATTACCTATAATTACGTTTATGTATAATAAATACAGTGGAAAGAAAGTCAAAACTCGTTTACAAAAAATATTATTCCGCCCTTAAACTATCCGTTTTGGCTTTTATCATCGCAATTTCCGGAAGCAACCAATCCTTACATCTACATTATGAGTATTGACGATATAAAAGCTGCATTTACAAAGTTTTTCTTCCAACACTGAGACCTAGTTGTGCTTGTGACTACTGGTATTTGAGATACTCACGAAATAAAAAAATATACACAAAAAATGACCAGATTTTTCGTTTTTTTAACGTCACTCTTGAGACACAAAAAGAGAGAATTAACTGTTTTTTTATCCGTTGGTTGGTTTGGGTAATGGACGTACGAGGTACAGTTTTTCGCCTTGTTTGTTCGTATAAATCGGCGCCCTCTGGTAATGGTCGACGAGTTGGTCTAACGTGTGGAATTTTCGTTGTCCAATGCAGTACAGCGCCCCCTCGACATGAACACGGAAATGCTTGTTGCGGCCGGGGGCTTTCAGCGACACCGAATAATCTCCAACCTGAAATAATTTCATAAAACACTGAAAACAACGCGAAATAACTCACATTCGTCTCACTATCCCTGATGAGAAAATCCCCATCGTGTCCCCTCTGATTCAGAAGATTATCACACATATACCTGGTGATGCTCCCATAGTACCAGGGCTTGTCCACCAGATGGGGTTTATCCCCCATCGCGACCTGTGACCGCTCCATGGGCTCCTGTTTCCTATCCAGGAACGGCTGAGTCAAATACTCGGACAACTCCTGGAGGTAGTTCCTCGGCACCAACCCCACCTGTCCTTGCGCATTTCTCGCTTTGTACCATTCGGGGTCGCTCGGGGGCCGATCTAGAATCTCTAACCGGTCCCCTTTCTCAAAAGACAACTCCTGGTCGTTCGTCGACGAGAAGGAGTACAATGCCACGACGATATCCAGCACGTTCTCCGCCATCGCGTACGTGTGGAGAGTATCATCGGCGTCGCCCTCCTCCTGAGTGTAGTTCGAGGGGAACCATCCGGCGACGTTGCCACTCTGGCCTCGCCACCATCCGTCATTACTCTTCTCAAGAATCAGAATTCGGGAACCTTTGACGAGGGAAAGCTCATCGGGCTGCTGGGCTTGGTAGTTGTACTTGACGACGGCGGTGCCGATAGCTTCGGAGGGATCAGCGGCTTGACGACGCGCCATACTGGGGGACTCCACCGTCCGGGAGGGGGAGTTGTTCGAAGGGAGGGTCTTTGAGCCGGCGCCCTTTTTTACCTGACAACGGAAACTAATTTATTCCAACGGAAGGAAACGCAAAATTGAAGAAATTACTTTAGAAAAATTACTTATCAAAATGACTTTCTTGAGCTTTCGGAAGTTGTAAGAAAAAATAGCAAAAACGCTTGAAATTGTTTTCTAGAAGTAAAATCACGATGCAACACGTTAAAATGCTCTACGATCATTAGTTTTTGAGATATTGAATAATACATAATTATTATTTATGTATCAAGGCACCAAAATCACTACGAATGTGTGTCCAATTGCCGAGGCAAATTGAAATTGGTTTTGATTTGGTACTAATATCACTCGCCATCGCTCGTCCGTGTTTTAAAAAATTAATAAAACGCAATTATTTCGCAAAAATAAACAAAAGAAAACATTAAATTAGTCAACATGGTGTTATTTTTTGTGTTCATTAAGCGTTTTAAGCTATAATCTCCGGTTTTCGCAAAATTTCACTAAATCGGGCCCTAAAAATACCAAATTGAGTAGAAAATGACAATCTTTGTCTTGTTCGAGTGTTTTCCAACAATAAATGCAATTATTATTTCAAAAAATTTCGCAAAAGTAAGCCACCAAATTGTGTCGAAAATGGTGTAATTTTTGGCTTTTTTAAGCGTTGAAGTACATTTTTGAAACTGAAAACTTAATTTTTACATAACTTCGCTAACTCGAATAAAAAAGCACAAAATTAGGTCATTATTTGTGTCTTTTTGAGCCTTTTATCAAAATTTTTCAGCCACCAGAAACGCATTATTTCGAAAAATCAAAAAATCGTATTGATAAATGCGTCATCTTTGCCTTTTCTAAGCATTTTAGCACGCTTTTAAGCTCTGAGACCACTTTTTTTGATCAAAAATTACCAAATTAGGTCTTTTCCGAGCTTTTTTCGTTGGAAATGCAGTAATTTCGCAAAATTTCATCAAAAATAAGCCACAAAATCGATATTATTATTTCTTTTTGAGGGTATTAAGAAAACTTAAAGGAGCTAAAGCAGAAAGCTTTGTGGATTCGTAATCAACGCGTCATAATCCATAATAAAAGATAAGCCATTTTTATACGAGGGATGTTCAAAAATTTTCACTTTTATTTTTTTTTAATATTAAAAACTCCAAAATTGAACCAAAAACACACCTAAGCGTCCAAGAGACTTAAAACATAACATAATAAATAAAAATCATTAAAATATATAATTAAATAAATTGTTTTATAAAATATGACATGTTATAATCCATTTCATTGAAATTGGCATAACAGTAGGCTATGATTGTGTAAATCCCGCTTTAAATGTGAAAGAGGCTTTTCTACATATTATGGAATTAAATTTGTCACTAAAAAAAGTGAGTTTAAGATATTTAAAATTTTATTTTTAAAGAACCGAGTTTTTCCCATAAGAAGTTTAACACCCTGTTTCTTTGTAGCTATAGTTTTAACACCAAAAACATACACTATTTGCTTTGGAGAAAATAATTTGGATTTATTCAAACTGGTTAATTATAATTTGAAAAAATACTGGGAATAACGAACAAGCAACAAAAACAGTGAAAAAACGAATACAAATCTCAGTCATGTCACTTTAACAAACCATGTAGGTAAGTAATCAAAGAAAAACAAGAACTCTATTCAATTTCAATGAATTCTACTATAGTTATTCGTTGCCTAGCAAGGAAAATTATATCAAGCCATTTTGTAACGGATATTAATTATCAATATATCAAATATTAACAGTCAATTGAAAATAAAACATTATAAATGTTTAATTATCTTTTTATAGCTTTATGTTTACGCCTGATTATGCTTCCGTTTTAGAAAAAAATCTCTAGAGATGATGCATAGTTATCTCGCTTGTCCTTGAGCAATTTACATTTTGCCAACATAAAAAGTTAATTATTTTCACGCCTAATGTTGTTTCTTCCTGTCAAATGCGCCATATTTGTCCTTGAACAAGTTAAGTGCCGTCTTGATTAAAAAAGTTTTAGCTGTTTTTGACCCAGTTCGTTGTTTGTTTTTTCTCGCAATAATCTTCTTAAAACAAGAGCTTGGAAAATAATCAAAATTAAAGATTGGCGATTGTAATAAATTTCGTTGGGTAAACAGTGTGAAGCGTAAAAATTTAAGAGCCCCATTAACCCGCCATAAAGCCCCACACATACCGTTACCTTTTTCTTGATACTATCAAAAAGCGAAGGTTTCTCTTTCTTAACATAGTTGCTTGGCACATAACCGGCTTGATTTCTCGAATTCTGCACTTTCCACCAATGTTTGGAGTCGTCGAGGAGCAAATACCGCTCGTTCTTCCTGAGGTCGAGCTCCTGGGGCCCCTGCGCGGCGTAGTCATACTTGGCCACAACATGGCAAATGTCATCTTGCCCAGTTTTGCCTAGAAAACACTAAAATCACCCAAAAAGCCAGCACGCAACCCGGGGGGCTACCATGTCGTATGTTTGGTGCAGCCATCGCATGGGGGGTCGATCTAGCGCCGAAATTACTCTTAGACTGCCAAGAGGGCTCTGGCATTCCACGAACAGATCTGGTCTCCAACATGACCACAAGCACAACTATCTGAGCTAGCCGACATTCATGCTTCTACTCTACAACAATAAGAAACGGTCACATGCCGGGGGCCCGGGACGAAGCTACAGGGGGTGGGACCCAAACAAGAAACCTCAGTTTGGGAACCAAATAAACACTCACCGATTTTCAAACTGGACATAGTACTTTATTACTCATCAGTGGTCGGGTTGAAGCACCATTCACAAGAGTTTCACACGAATCACATAGAAAATTCAAGCTCCCACCCTCCGAAGGATTTTCAGAAGACATCACAATCAGGGGAGCTGTTGCGGGAAATGACGCCAGGCGGCGACACAAACGCGACCTTGAACCGAAGCGCCAAATTCAAACATATAAGGGATTTTCACCAGTTTTGCTCTGTTTATCGAGATAATTTGTTGCTTATCTTATTTTCTCCTAACTTGAACCAACTGTGTTGTAAATTTACACTGTTACTAAATAAGCAACTTTATAGAAAAAAATTAAGTGCAGTAAATAAACTGTATTGTGCTAAATGGGTAAAAAAATAATTAAATTGTTACACTAAACTGAAATTTTAAATTCAAAACAAAACACAAATAATTGATTTGATAAAATTAAGTGAGCCCTAAAGTCGAGAACATCGAAATATGCCAAGCAAAGTTTTGTCAAAATTACAATTACCTTTATTGTGCATTTACCTAAAAATTATGAAATGCAAAACATTTTTTGTGGTATAGTTTTGTAGTTTTAATAATAGTGGATTTATTAATTTTGCAAATTAGATCTTCATTAATTTTCGGCGTTTTACCTATTCGAGCGCGGATTTGGCCTCCCGCTGTCAATCGATGCCACGGCTGTCAGAGTCAGTTTGAATTGTCAGCGAGTCTCTTGTTCGTCGATTTTCGCTGAAAATGGTGAGTTTTCGCTGAAAAAACAAAAGAAGGCCCCCTCGAGTGTGAAATTTCAGTCGTTTCAGGATAAGCTCGCGTCGATCATGGCCCGTCCTGGGCAGGATCCCGTCGCCAAAGACGACGTCCCCTGGTGGATGAAATACCTGGGAAGAGGGGTAGGAACAGTGGGCAGTGTTAGTAAGTAGCAGTTAAATTGTCTCAATTGCATAATGACAAACTTGTTTTAGTTGCAATTTTATTGGGTGTGTGGAATTGTGTGGGAATTTTAATAGGGAATGTGCCCAGTTTGATCAGTGGCATGTGGCAAGTGGTGGCGGCTTTTATGGTGATTTGCTGCGAGGCCCCCTGCTGTTGCATGTTTGTGGATCACGTCCAGAGGTTCAGCGATTGGGTGGAGAGAAGGCCCTATTGGAATCGCGCTTTGGGATATGTGATGTGCGTTGTTATCTTATCAAGTGTTTGATTTTTTTTCATATCTATTGTTCCAGACTCTCTATTCCGCCGGTTATCTTGTGTCCGGGGCTGTCGTCGATCTTTGGCAGCGGCCTAATTTTTACCACGGGAGTTATTTACGGGATGATGGCTTTGGGCAGGAAGTGAGTATTTTTTATCAAGGGTTTTTGCGTTATTGTGTCTCAGATTAACACTTGCCGATATTTACACAACTAATAGCACATTCAAATGCGATAATTTTTAATTTATTGTTTTTAAACAACTAATTCCAAGGCAAATAAAAAACACAAACAGATTAGCACGTAAGAGAGAGAAAAATAACCAAGAAAAGCGTTAAGGGTGCTTTGAAAATTTGAAAAAGTGAGGTTAGGACTTATTTTTGAACAAAATTTTTTTTTTTAATTTCTTTTAGCGGTATCTACGTGAATCCTATTTATAGGTAATATTTTTAGTGTTGTTTCTACTTACTTTCATGCGTTTTTGTTGTTAAACATGTTTTTTTTTTTAAATTTAAATTTAAAGAATGAAGGGCAGTAACGTCAGTCGAATAAAATTAAATTCACCAGATCCTAATTGAAAAGGTTGCTAGATTTACACCTATTTTTACCAGATTACATTTTTTTTACACAAACTGCGTGGTTAAAGCCTAATAAGAGTTGGGTTGAAATTCCTGTACCAAATATATTTTTTTGTAACAAATTGAATGGTAATTCGTATAGTAATAAAATCTCGCGAAAAGACGGAGTCTTCATCTGAAAAATTTGCTTAAACGCTCGAAAAAAGTTATTTTCGGCCCAATTATGTGATTTTTCAGCTTGTTTTTAACGAAATTTTGCGACAAAATTACGTTTTTTAGCTGAAAAACGTACAAACGCTCGAAAAATGCAGAAGTTGTTTTATGAAAATCTCGCAAAAACGTGAAATTTTGTCATAAAAACGTGCCTAAAAGCATTTTAGACCAAATTTTGTATGTTCTCGGCTTATTTTATTCAATTTTGTTCTATTTAAATTGAGTAAAATAAGCAAATTAAGATTAATTTTAATTTATTTTTGTGATTTTTAGACATCTTTGAATAAGATTTTGCAAAATAAATTAGTCTCTAATTTTTTAGCTGTTTAAACAATTTTTTTCAAAAAGTTTTGGTTTTATTTCAAAAGCGGACTTAAACACAACAAATTTGTTTTCTACTTGTTTTTAACGAAATTTGCGAAATAATTGCGTTTTTAGCTGAAAAATATTACTAGCAAATCATTCGAAAAAGTATATAAATTGTCATTTTCGTACCTCTCGTAAAAAAATAAATTATTTTTTTTTTGGTTGTTTTTCGATTTATTTTTGGAAAAATTTGGCGAAATAATTGTAATAATACCTTTCACATACCAAAATACAAAAAGACAATAATAATAATGTTGATTGAAAAACGTGCAAAATGCAAAAATATAGTGATATATATTTTTCACCAATAATCGAAGAATTAGTGTATTAAGTTTTTGTTATAACCGTAGTTACGTTTTTTTTTTCATTTTCAAAAAAAACATCAGATTGGATTTTTCCAAAAGTTTTCACCAAATCTAGCATGAAAATGACCAGGTTTGGTGAAATTTCACTAGACCTGGCTGGCAACACTGATGACGGCCTGTTAATTAACAAATTATTTACGAAAGTGCGCAAGTACGAAAAACAAAAAGTATATTAATTTTGTTAGCTGGCCAAAAACGAGTTTAAACTTATTCGTTGCATTAAAATAAAGTGCGTTGGGAGTTTTTTTTTCCTGTTTTTCAAGTTTTCGGTCTGACAACCTAAAGAAAAAACAAATTTTTTGTTTGCCTTGGAATTGGCTTTTGGTTGAAAACCGTCGTGTTCTAACCTAATGTGGCAGAGCCTCTAGACAGGACATGGCGGCGGCGGCTTCGCCCCAAATGGCGACCTCTCCCACTGGGCTTGGTGGGCAGAGCGACCATCATACGACTCTGATGGAAGATCCGGATGTTTGGCGTCCTACATAAGTGCCCCAGCTTTACTAAAAAAGTAATCTTGTAGCATTTGAGTGCTTGAATCCTGTTTTGTTTCTTTTCACCAAAAAAAAAAAAAAAATGCATGGGTTTTTATTTTTAGCGTCCAGGACCTTGTAGTGCATGATAATCATGTAAATTGGTATTTGATTGTTTGCTTAAGTTTTTTGTTTTGTTTAGGGCAACTGCAGAGGAGATGCGTCAAGCAGCCGCCGCAGACGCCGTCCCCCCATCTGGTACAAATAGGCCCAATTCAATGCACGCAAATTTGGTTGCAAACGCTCAACCCATCAGTCTTACAGGCGCTCCAGTGTACGATAGTAATGTTTGATTGGATTTTTTTATTAGTCTAAGTGTCCTCCAAGAGATTTTTATCAGTGTACCTATGTAATATTAAAATATGTAAAGTTAAGATTGATATTTCAGAGTTGTCATTCTCCATAAATTTATTTATAACAGCGGTTGATTGTTAGATATGTGCATATATCACATAGTCAGTTTAAGTGGTTATTTATTAGGTAATTCGATGACGTCAATTGAGCGGAAATGCCTAATTATATTATGTAGCTGATTAGACCCAACTGCCAAAATTTTTTTCACTTCATTTCATCAACTTAGGTAGCTTCCACTGATTTCTGCAAAGACTGTTTATTATTTAAGTTTTGGTCTAATTTTATTTTGCTCAATGGTCAAAACGTGCATTCCATTTATTTACCAACAAAATTTGACCACATATCAACGAACGTTTTATGGGTGAATGATTTTGTTGCTAGTCACGATAGTTTTTATTCCAGTAGCTTCTTCCATGGAGATTTTTTCGGTATGTCTTTATTTGTGATGTTTGTACATTAATTTTTATCTCTATATACACCCTAAGTAAGACTTAAATTTAAAGACCCGATGTTAGACTAACGTATTGTTACAATATTGTAATATGTATGTAAATGGATGTATTATTGTAGCAATAAAATATCTTATACAATAGTAGTAAGTGGGCCCCTTCAGCACACAGCACTTTTAAGGTAAAACACCCCGATTTTCAAGGGGTAAACAGAAAAGCAGAAAAAATCGTGAAATACTGATTTTTAAGGTATATTTTAAAATTAACATTTTTCAAAGATTTTACTCTGTTATAGTAATAATAGAGGACTAGGATAATTATATAACTACTTATGTCAAAAATAGATAAAGAAGATAAATTTTCTTTAAAAGAATTAGGTATGTGAATTGGAAAATTTGGTATTGGGCCACTTCAGCACACGTATGAATACGATTTCGGCCAAACAAATTCGGGCAAGGTGAGCGAAGCAAATTCACAATTCACTGTTTTTAAGTTTACACAAAAAGTTATGACTTTATATTATTTATTAGAATAGATACTCGTAATACAAAACATTAAAGCAAAATTAAATAAAAACTTTTAATCACATACTTCTCGCTCAGGACTTGGAGTCCACTCACCGAATCTATAACAAAAAATCGGTAAAATTAAAACTACAGTATCATGAAAAAAAAGGCGCCCGTGTTAACCCACACGTTATAAGTGATCTTTTATTAAAGACGAATTCGAAGACCAAAATTGGATTTGTGCTCTTATCAGTAAGATAAAGACTTTCCTTTTTAGAAAAGAGAAATCTATATAATTAACAGTTTTAAAATAATTTCATTGTTAAAGTCTAGATTTTGATACTGTTGACGGTGTTCTTAAAAAAAATGTGTAAAAAGTCTATTGAAATAAACTTTATTGAAGATGTTTGGATACCATTTCTTGGCTCCAAAGAAAATTTATCAATGTTGCAACATTGCAAATATCCTAGGATACAGAAAATGTCCAAGTAATATTCAATTATTGGAAACGGTAGCAACAAAAAAATCAATTTTCAATGTTGTTTGTTCTGTGAAATTTGAACGATTAAAGTCAAAAAGGTTTCCTAGATACGAAAAATACCTGAGTGAAATAGTTTTTTAGTAAAAGAAAATTGTGCAATATTGCCGCTTTGTGCTGTTAGACAAACTGTTTACATTTTAAAAAGAATCTATTTAGACTATTTTTGGAATGATGGTCACAATGTTTCAATAAAAAAGGACGCGCCTGTTTCAATCGTGGGCGCCTTTTTTTCATCACCCTGTATAATGTTATTATCCATATGTTGATTGTTTTTACTAACATATCCCGCTTAAACGCCCGTTTTTCTTCCTCCGATTCAAATTTCACTGTGATTTCACACACTCCCCTAACCACCAAGGAAACACTAAGAGAACTTCTATCTACATAATCTTGTCTTCGCACTGAGAACGGAGTAAACGGGGGAATAGACACAACATTTTCCCCTGTATATATTTGAACCTGGGTCTGCGTCCCAGCATTTGAGGTTAGATCGACTATGTAAAACTTTCTTCTTTAACATTGACTGAAAAATTCTTAGCTCGTTCAAGAGGCTTATCTTCACACCGAAACGTTTTTGTTCCATTTTTGTGCTGTCTGTAAATGATAAAGATATACAAAAAAGTTGGCTATTATCACAAACCATCAAACTATAATAAGACTGCTAAGCCACAGATTAGGGTGTCAACCATTTAGGTTGACACCTTATCTTCTTCTGATTTTTCACTCAACTGATTGAGATAAATCTTATCTTCTTTATCTATTTTTGACATAAGTAGTTATATAATTATCCTAATCCTCTATTATTACTATAACAGAGTAAAATCTTTGAAAAATGTTAATTTTAAAATATACCTTAAAAATCAGTGTTTCACGATTTTTTTTGCTTTTCTGTTTACCCCTTGAAAATCGGGGTGTTTTACCTTAAAAAGTGCTGTGTGCTGAAGGGGCCCACTTACTACTTACAATAGCAGCCGATTTTTGTTACATTTTTTGTTCACACCCTCGAGCACTCGACGCCACTGGAATTAACGTCATTCTTACCTTGTACGTAAAAAACCTCAAGTGATTATTTTTATGGATTATAGCGCTAATTTAGTAGTATTAGATAAAAAATACTTTATCACACGTAAAACACCCAATTTTGATTATTTTTGCAACAATTAGACGCAATTTGGTAGCGCTGGTTCGAACTTAGGTTGGTAGCATTGCCGCGTCATGCGCTTCTTTTGTGAATTTTAACAAGTTTTTCATCTAATTAAACTGAGAATTGGTGTTTCTAAAACAGAGCAAAATAATGGAAACAATTATTCTGGTGGTCTTTTAAGTACGTATTAAACTTTAGAATTTTGACAGATCTGAGCCCACCAGTGGCGTATCAGTTAGTGGGGACACCAATAGTAATAATGTAAGTAAGCCCCTTGTAGCCTTTTTTTTGTACAAACACCAATTAATTACAAAGAAAACAGATTTGGAACAATACCAATTTACGTCTTTTTTCAATTATGCGTTACAAAAAATTGGGGTTAGATTTTGATTATTGTCTTACCGTAAATATAGTTTATTCTGCATAATTACATAAAATTGTGTATAAAATATTAAATACATGTTCAGTTCATGACTGAGGCTTAAGCTCGCTAAAATACATATGTTACAATCCTTTAAAACCGACTTTTTTCAAAGCCGGCAAAAAGACCATCTAGAACATCCCAAAATCTGTGTGAACCACATCACAATTGTTCTGTTTATCCAAATTGGCCGTCATATTCAGCTCCACTAGAGTGTCAACACTGTTCAGGCCCACCCCTTTCAGGATTTTCTGTGCCGCTAAACTGGTAAAATTGAAGGATAGGTCATTAAGACTGGGAAATTGCTGGTCCCGATTATCTTTATAACTGATGTTGGGTTCCGAACCCAACATATTTTTCTCAAGTTTCTTGCACGAGTCGAAACTGGCCAATGAGCCCATTTCGTTCTTGGTGTAAATGTTCCCGATGGAGGACATGGAGAGGGCATCGGAGCTCTTCGTGGGACTGGGCGGAGTGCTGTTGTAGCCCCCTTTAGGCGCTTCGTGTCCGATGATGGGCGAGTCGGGGTTGGAATTCGAGACGAATTTGTGCGTCGCGACGTTTTTTATAAGGTTGTTGGGGAGTTGGAGGGACAGTTTGCGGCTGTTGTTCTTCTGCTCGAGACTCTCCCCGTTGGGGAGGAGGTCTCGCGAGTTGTTCAAAGTGGTTTCTTTGGACTGGTTGGTATTTTTCGTGGGGATTTGTTCCCGAGGCTCGGTGTCGTTGATGATGACCAAGTTGGGGTTCCTGTCCTCGCACTGGCCATTCTCGAAGGTTATAACCGACCTAACCGGCGAATTCTGGACGAAAATCTTCGTACTGCTGCCACCCTCGCCGTTGATGGTCGTTGTTGTGGTCGCATTGGGCTTATTATTCAACTTTCCGCCTTGATTTGTGGTTACTTGCAACGTAAACGAGTTACTTTGAGGAATTGAGGGGCGATTATTAGTCTTTTTTGCTTTTTCTTTTGTGTTGATGACGGTTTTGTGTGACTCTAGACTCGAGGGTCCGCTGTTGAACGAACTCTCTGTTTTGCTACTACTTTTATGCGACTCTATACTCGAGGGTCCGCTGGTGTCTGGGGGTTCCAGTTTTTGACTAGTTTTCGAATCACATCTTTCGGGTTTTTCCTCGGTTTGTCGAGAACTACTCCGACTTGTTTTCCGGGAGGAGTCGCGACTTTTCTGCTTGTTGCGGGGGAGGGTGCAAGGCATGTAGGGGTTTTTCCGGGTGACGGGCGAGTTTTCACGCGAAATGGGGTACGGGGGGTAGGGTAAGTCGGGGTATTGGCGGCAACGACGCCGGGGGAGGGTCGCCGAACGCGTCGGCTTGATCTCGCAGTTCTCCAAGTAGGATGTGATGGAGGCGACCTCCTGAAATTATTGTCAAAATTATAAAACAAAAAATTGTTGGAATTACTTTGTCTGTGGTCGAGGTTTGGGTTCCTATGCTGTGCAAATGGACGGCTTTGGAGTTGAACCACTCAGTTGGCGGGAATTGGGCACTGAAGGAGCTGATTTGGCACTGGGAGCGTTTGGTTTTCTTGAAGAGGCGCGTCAAGAGCGACTCTTTTTCTACAAAAACAAGCTTTTTTAGTACCGGACATTCTAATTTCGGATCAAAGTGGTCGTGACTTGGAATTAAAGTGGTAATAGTTTCAAGGTTGTGAAATTTTTGCACCACCAAAAACTAAAGACGAGTTTACCTCCAAGTATTTTTTAAGCGTTTTTACGACAAAAAGTTGATTGACCATTTTACGATGCAACTTTGGAAAACTCAAAAAATCGTTTTTTTAGCTTTTCAATTCGGGTGCTGAAATAGACTAGTACAATTTACTTTCTAGAGGTTGGTGATGGTAATTTTCAGCGGCGTTTTGAGCGATATTTCTTATTTCAGGTGGGGAAATATTTGCTAATTCAACAAAATTTTGAAAAATATTCGAAACTTGACACTTCGAAAATCGAATTTTTCAAATTTTGTGACAACCACCACTTGATTAGGGCAAAAGTACCTAAATTTTAAAAAATTGACTTTTACGTTAAAAAAGTAGGTAAAGTCCATTTTTTTAAAAACAATTGTCAGTGTCAAAATTCCCTCAAAGACTACTACCCTAAAACCTTTTTTTCGGAAAATCTACCTAGATTAGGTTTGAGGTTGTGTTAGTAATTTTCAAATGTCAGAAAAGTTTCAAGTGGAAGCAAATTTTTTACCAAAAGACAAGAAATAAAGACGGTAAGGACACGGAAAAATGCAACTCCTAACCGGGAAAAAATTATTTAATGGGTAATTTAATTTTTTACTCATTTTCAGAATCTGATTCAAAATTTTTAATGGTCTTTAGAATCTTATTCTGGAAAAAGTTGAATCATTTATTGGAGGAGTATAATAAAATACTGGATTATTAGTCATGCAGTTTATTGTATGCCGTTCTTTTTTAGGAGTTTTTACACAACCAAAATTGTCAAATTCATGAAGAATTTTAACATGGTTGGTTTTTTGTCTGCATATATTCACAAAATCTAATTATAGCTATTTTTCTTGTTATGTTAGGGTCCAGATCCTTACTTTCGGAAACTCATTTTTGTAAACGACTTTTCACAATAATTTATTCGATCAATTATTATAATTTAATTAACTCGTACGAGAGCTAGGCTAATTAGACTGACTCGTTAACGTATTAATTTCCTCAAAACCGGCAAGATTCACAAAAAAAAAAAACCCTTTCGTAATAGTTCCGTTCTAAAAGGCCTCTGTTCGGGGCAGCGTAGGTATTCCTGCTATCCGCAACGTCACAGAAATAATTCTAATACCAACCAATTCCATCTTCAATATTTTCTGTGCCCTTTACGTTGCACATTCAATTTTAAATTTAAATGTAATTCGGCTTCAGTAGCGCCATATACAGGATGTTCCGTTTTTATTGTTACAAATTTAAACAGGTGATAGGAATTCTAAGACAAAAGTTTCGTATAAACATGTATCTAAAAATGCTTGGTAAGGGAGTTACACCCCCTGAAAGGGGGCTAATAGGTTTTTGCTAATATTTCAGAAACCATTTAAGATAAAATTACAAAATTTGGTACAGATGATAATCTTTATACACCTAAACGAATTCAAACATTAAATGTCGAAATTTCTAATCAGGGGCGTCCGAAACTGGTGGGGTTTAGGGTAAAAAAATACCGTATCTATTTTGGCTCTAGTTTCTTTAGTTATGCATTGACCAAAGTGGTGGTCACTTTGAACAACTCCTTTAGATTTAGGCAAATTCATTTAATTAATGTTATTATTGTTACTGTAATGTAATGTTAATTAGTTGAGGTTGATTAAAAAATATGAATTTCTTGCTTTTATTATTCTGTAAATTCTGATTTATTTGAATGTTGTATTGGTGTGTAACATAAATTTTAAATTAATTTTATTCAAAAACATTAAGTCATATCGACACAAGAGAGACTTTTCTGTGATAAACTATCGAACTTAAGATTTTGTTGCTGAAAGTACCGAGAAACTAAAGCCAAAATAAATAGGGTATTTTTTTACCTTAAACTCCTCGAGTTTCGTACGCCCCTGATTAAAAATTTCGACATTTGATGTTTGAATTCGTTTAGGTGTATAAAGGTTATCATCTGTACCAAATTTTGTAATTTTATCTTAAACGGTTTCTGAAATATTAGCAAAAACATATTAGCCCCCTTCCAGGGGGTGTAGCTCCCTTACCAAGCATTTTTCGATACATGTTTATAGGAAACTTTTGTCTTAGAATTGAATATCCTATCACCTTTTTAAATTTGTAACAATAAAAACGGAACACCCTGTATATAATACTCCTATATTGCGAGTTGTGTTAAAATCATACAGAACTAGTTTTCACGGAGAAAGGGAGATAGAAGATGCTATGTTTTATCTCTGTTGGCATGAAACGTAACTGCGCCGGTCAAGAAGTTCTTGTAGAAAGCGCGAAATTATTTCGATTCAAATAAAATTAAGCTTCGATTCAGTTTACGTCATCAAAATAGTACAATTTAACATATCTTACAACTGACTCAATGGAGATAGAATTTAATAAAAAAATAAGACGAGAAAAAAGTATTTCAAAAATAAACGAAAACGTCAATTTTACAATATTTTTTATTATTCATGATTAAATAACACCAGTTTTGTAAATTTGTGCCTAACATATTCTCTCTTAGCCGAATATAATTTTGACTCATGGAAAAGTCTTGTATCGACATATAATYCAATAATYAATTTAACAAGCTGAAAACGATGATTATCTAAATAATCTTGTGTTTTTACGTGCACTTCCATCTCTTCGTTTTTAAACATGAGGCCAACAGATTGGGCAATTTTGTTRCAAATTTCCTTTTTTAAATTTGGTTTGTTACAATGTTTATATTGTCGAACAATTTTTTCAGCCACGAGACATAAAGAAATAGTATCTGCAGAGGGTGCTAAATATGACCCCCAGTCCTTTATCTTACTAAGTAAAGGCATATTTTTTTTCCAATCAATTGTTTTTTTCATGTAACACAATTCATGATAGAAATTATTTTGCTAGTTACAAATCTCGCAATGTATTTTGTAACCTCCTCAACAAAAGGCGATAATTGCCAAAAGGTTTTTATATAATCATGGGCAAAATCCATTTCCACATTTTCGAGAAGTTCGTAATTAATTATAGGGTTTGTAAGTCTTTCCTTTTTTGAGGAAACATGCAAAATTTCGGTATTATCTAATAGGCAATTTCCATTCTCAATTTCTTTTATTTCATGCCTAATGAGAAGGCGTTTGTATGCTGATTTGAACAGAATTACATTAGGATTATTATTAAACCCACCACGGCTACGGATGACACTGAAAAAGGTTTCCAAGTAGTCCTGTGACAATTTGTAGGTCAAAGATACGATTGGTTCAATTTGATTAATTAATCATATAATTCAAACATATTTCGTAGACCAACAATTAACCCCAAAAATCCAGTTTTCCGCATTGTTTTTAAAATAGGAATATTATCTACATCTCGCAAAGAAGCAATATATTTTTCAAAAGCAATAGCAGACTTTTTTAAAGAAGCATATGTTTCCCGGTTTAAAGGTAGATTTGAATTTTCATATTTTCAACCAATAATTATTATATATATGAGTATATATAAGTATTATATACAGGGTGTTCCGTCTAAATTCCACTTTAGAAGTATTGGGAGTTGCAATAATCGTATTTATTTGAAAATTGGTACATAGCCATAAACCATTAAGTCCTCCTAAACGAAAATATTTTCAAGATGGCGGCACTTCCGCTTATACCGGAAGTCGGTCTCAACATTCTTATTTTAAATGGAAAGGTATATTTTTTACTGCGTTTTTGGATTAATCGGGTTATTTTAAGGGAATTTTCATCAGCTTTCTCTATAACTAAATTTAGCCGTTTTTGAAATATTTGGAGTTTTTCAAAAATTTTTGGATTTGCACCTTCCACTTTAAAAACCGGTAACTCTGCTATTTTTTAAAATTTTGAATTCGTTTTTTTGGCGTTTGAAAGAGAAAGCTTAGATCTTTCTTTCGGTGTTTTCAAATTTTGAAAAAAAAAAATAAACCATAAAATTTTAAGGTTACTTTTGTAATAATTCAAATACCCATAACTCAATTTTTTCAAATGAAATATCCCAATTTTTATTATACTAAATGGAGGAGAATTTAATTCTGCATCGATCTGTATTAACATTCCCTATACCTAAATTTAATAATTTTTAAGTTATGGTGACTTTTTGTTGAGACTGCCGAAAATCTGTTACTAGCCACATTCGTTTTCGTATAGTTTGCTATGGAAATAAAAAATGTCAAAATTGTTTGTTTCTCAATAAATGTCGACAGTGACTTATTATTTGACAAATAGTGCCAAAATATGGAGAGTCAAAGCTACTCAAACTTAGATTTAATTAATTTATTTTGTATTTATGGAGAGTGTAACAAAATTATGATATCGTTCATTAAACAAAAATAAACTTTTCTCACTTGTTAGCTTTAAATAATGATTGTATGGTAGAACCTATCAATAATAATTAAGTTTGCATAACTTTGATTCTCCATATTTTGGCACTATTTGGCAAATAATAAGTCACTGTCGACGTTTACTGAGAAACAATTTTGACATTTTTGATTTCCATAGCAAACTATGTGAAAACGGGTATGGCTAGTAATAAATTTTCTGTAGTATTAAAAAAAGTCCATAACTTGAAAATTATTAAATTTAGGTATAGGGAATGTTAATACAGATCAATGCACAATTAAATTCTCTTCTATTTAGTAAAATAAAAATTGGAGTATTTCATTTGAAAAAATTGAGTTATGAGTATTTGAATTATTACAAAAGTAACCTTAAAATTTTGGGATGTTTTTTTTTTCAAAATTTGAAAACATCAAAAAAAGGATCTAAGCTTTCTCTTTCAAACGCCAAAAAAACGAATTTAAAATCTTAAAAAATGGCACAGTTACCGGTTTTTAAAGTGGAAGGTGCAAATCCAAAATTTTTTGAAAAACTCCAAATATTTCAAAAACGGCTAAATTTAGGTATAGGGAAAGCTGATGAAAACTCCCTTAAAATGACCCGATTAATCCAAAAACGCAGTAAAAAATATTCCTTTCCATTTAAAATAAGAAAGTTGAGACCGACTTCCGGTATAACCTGAAGTGCCACCATCTTGAAAATATTTTCATTTAGGAGGACTTAATGGTTTATGGCTATGTACCAATTTTCAAATAAATACAATTATTCCAACTCCCAATACTTCTAAAGTGGGGTTTAGACGGAACAGCCTGTATATGAGTAGCGCAAGCACCTTCGTAACAAAACGGCTGACAGTCAATTGACATTTTAAGTTGCCAACGTTGTTAACTAAATAACTAGTGGCTGGTACCAACATGACAACACTTTGACAATTGTTTAAAAAAAAAATGGACTTTAAAACGCGCAAAATAGAAACAATTGCATAAAAAACTTGTCCATAAGTTATTTGTGGGATTTTTTTTAACTCTACACAATAAAGTTTTGAATTTTTCGATTTTCGTCACCACCACCTTTATCGGATATTTATCATATTGGTACCGAAATTCTTACTGGGGCTGGGGGTAGAAGGCGCCGAATTTTCCGTACTGCTGCTGCTGTTGTCCACGTAGTGTTTGGCTATGGTCCTCGTGGAGGCCGACCTCCTGAGCCTCCGACTGGACCTCCACAGCCTGAAGGACCCTCTCCGATCGGGACTCCTGGAGTAAGCTCTCTGTTTGGTACTCCTCGGGTAAAGAATCTTGTCGCTCGAGTTCCCTCCACATATAACATCCGCCAAGTTGGTTTGGATGAGTTGGTGCGTAACATCGCCGTCTCGTATAGTGGCCATGTCTCCATGAACCATAACAAGCGCTTCTTCGGTACTCATGAGCATGGTTTTACCGGAAAGTGGTTCGTGGTCGTGATCCTCGACTCGCTTCCGGCCACGTGACGCACTCCGAGACCTTCTTCGTCTAAACACACCATCAAAACTCTTCAATTCTGGAAATACTTACTCTGGGGTGACGATGAAGTACCCGTTGGAGGTGTGGTACAGTTTTCTTTCGGTGGTCAATTGCACTAGAGTGTCGTATAAGGCTTGCTCACTGGGGGGTGAGACGTGGGGGAAGGCCATGATGAGGGCCTCTCTGATGGTGGAGATTCCTGCAGGTCGGCCTTGACGCGATAGTCGCAGGATGACGGCACAAACGGCCTCGGGAAGGGGGGTCCATTGGGTTTGGGCAACTGGGGTACCACCACACTCGATATCCTCCAAAGCCACGATTTGGTACCCTGGAGGGGGCTGGAGGACGCGTCTAGCCCAGGCGTTTTTCACTATATCGATAGCACAGGGCTCAGAGCCGACTAGGATAGCCCCAGGGCTGATGTAACCGTGGAAGGTTAGAGTCTTTGTGGCTCCGTTCAGACCGGTGTTCCACCAGCAAAGACTGTTCGAGGATAGTAAACCCTGAAATTGATTTTGAGTTCAATGTACCACACTTTCATGCAAATCTTTAAAGAGTTTCAAGTGTCGTACCATTATGAAAATTATAGCTGTTATTGCAACTGCGGTTTTCACTAGATTGTTGACAGTTAGCTATTGTATATTTTCTAGATTGTATACAGTCGCGTGTTTACTCCGGTTTTACGGCTTTTCAAGCTTTATTCTAGTTGAAAAGTGACACGGAGAGTGAATAAGAGGAATGGAAAAAATGAGATTTGGATCATCGCGGGTTATGTAGCTTGACGCTGAAATGGATCTCTTCATTTTATCCACGAAATTGTCCCATTCAAGGAAATACAGGATGTTTTCTTAATATACAGAGTGTTTCACATAACTTTACGAGGCCTGCGCCTGTAAGATGCAATCAATAATACATATTCGGATACGAACTCGATTACAAATTTTGAAAAATTGTATAATCTTCTCGAGTTTGTTCACCTTTTAAAAAATGACAACATTTTTAGTTAGTGATTAATATAGATAAACTAGAATCATTTTCATGCCGTCTCTAATTGTATCTGAAAAACTGCAGTTTATGACTATTAATGAAACAGTGATTAGCTTGACAACTACTGTCATGGGTTTCCAAAAATTAAATAATTAAATGTGTATTTTTTGTATCTAGTGTTTTGTGAATTTTGTATATTTGGGTGCGTACATTAGAGCAAACCTCGTAAAGTTATGTGAAACACCCTGTATTGCAAAATATCCAGTGGCGTGCGTACGTAAAATAATTGCCGGAAAATAAGCACGTTCAACGCCTCACAACACAAAGCCTGTTTTTATGAAAATAACTCAACTGGTTTGACAGAAACTAATAGATTTTAATTTTGATCATAAAACTTTATCACCCTGTATAACGGTAACAAAGGTTTATAGGGCTATCGTTTATTTGACAAATTAGTGTTATTTTTCGATGTAGAATATGTGGTTGCAATTTTTCGCAACATTAAGAAAACACTCTGTATCACATACTAATATAACACTTATACAGGGTGCGCCAGAACTCGCGCCCCAGAGAAAAATTTCAAGCAAGATAAGATACCAGGAACATGAAAAAAATGTTTAAAAAATTCTATCTGTCAAAAATTTTTGACATATATTTTTTGACATTTGACATTTTTTTATGTCTATTTAATGATACTGATGATCTTGTATATGTTTTTTTACAATTATTTAATAAAGGTACAAAAATTTTCCCAATAAAAGCCACAAATAACATTGAACAGAGTTACAATTTAAGATACAGCTTCGTTGTTTCCTCTTCTAATGGCCTGTAGCAAAAAAACTTGGAAAATAATTTTTTCAACAGAAATAAATAGAGTCAAAGTGCAAAATTTAAACTCTTATAACTTCGAAATTTTTATAGATAAATTTTTTTTAACATTTTTTCCATGTATCTCTCTTATAACTTCTTTACCTATACCTATGATTTTTTTAGGGCCTATATTAGAAACTTTTTAACTTCTAATGCAGATAGGAATTTGAAATTTTGTACATAACCCAATTCGACCAGTCTAAGTTCAATTAAATTATTCTCAAAATGGCTGAACTTCCGGAACTACGAGAAATTTTAAAAGGTAACCACTTATTTTTATTGCATTTTTGAATTCTCCTCTCTAAAGTGAGTAAAATGTACTTAGTTGTTAGTACTTATCTATCATAGTTTTTGTCAATTTTTTGGTCAAAATTCATTTGGTCAAGGTTCATTTAAAACATCACATCATATTAATTATGGCATATCTTTATTGTATTTTTCCAAAGCCTACGCGATTAAATATAAAAATAAAAAACAAAAACATGTTTTACGTGATTATTTCAAAAACTGTAAGAGATAGGTACTTATAGGACATGTTGATAAAAGTGCTTCTACAAATTTATGTACTTTTGATTGCCGTTGAAAAAATAAAGTCATTTCATTTGAAAAAACTGAGTTGTCAATTATCATTTTCAAAAAATTATACTATCCCTGCAATTTGACAGTTGACAATTTTGAAAATTCTAGAAAACTTTTCAAACCTTTGGTTATTGAATGCAAAAAAAAATATTAATTTATCGCAAAGGATTTAAGAGCTGAATGAACTCCTGCAAATGAAAATTTTGACAAAAAAATTGAATTAGTCAAAAACTATGACAGAAAAGTACTAACAACTAGATACATTCTACTCAGTTTAAAGAGGAAAATTCAAAAATGCAATAAAAATAAATAGTTATCAATTAAAATTTCAAAGATGGCGCCAATTTCTTGTAGTTCAGCCATTTTGAGAAAATAATTTAATTGAACTCGAGACTGGTTGATTCGAGGTGTGTACAAAATTTCAAATCCTATCTGTATTAGAAGTTAAAAAGTTTCTAATGCGGCCCTAAAAGAATCACCTTGTATATTCTGTATGTCTGAAGCTTCATAGGATTATTGTTTATTTTATAAATTACTGTTATTTTTTGTAAATAGAATGTTGTTGCAATTTTTCGCAACATTAATAAAACATCCTGTATACTGTAATAAATCCGGACGAGATGGACCATTAAGAGACATGAACTTTGTAACTTAAAATCCTTCTGAGGCTCCATCTCTCATAGCAAAGTGTGGCCCATCTCCCGGACTTACCTTATTATTTATTATTTGATACCTAAAGTACAGTTTTGAGGACGAACTGTCGATGTCTTCGGACGAGGCGAAGCCGAGTTTGGAATAGCAGCTGAGTCCGCCAAAAATTGTATTTTAGTGATTTTATTATTATTGTATTATTATTTTATTATTATTATTTATTATATTATTATATTATACCAAACTAGTTTATTGTTTTATTTGGATAAAAATGTTTGTTTGGCGAGCAAATTGTGCTTTTGCGTAGCCGAGCGGATGCAAAATTGCGAGACAAAAAACTCACTTTTAAGCTGAATAAAAATTAAAAATAAAAAATAATTTATTTTTAATCCTAGACTTAAAAAAATAATTTTAAAAGTGAGAATTGCCACGGTAAATTATTTCCTAATTAAACTCGTCAATCTTTAAAAAATGACTTTAAAAATGACATGTTTTAATTCGGCTGGAGAAAAAGACTCATTTTAAAGACTTTAATGAGTCTGTAAAGTAGCTATTTTTGGGAGCGTAAGTTTTCTTGTTTTATACTATTTTGTGTACTTTGTTTCTACACTATCGGCCAAAAGTAAAGAAACATTTGCGAATATTAAAATTTCATTGTAGGTGTATTTGATTTTTATATAATTTATTACAAGTAATTTGTTGGGTTATTCTTAAATATATTTTACAGAATTTAGTAAGAATTAAACAGTTGTTGTTGAATGAAAAATTTATTTTATTTTTTCAAGGGACAAAAGTGAAGAAACAATAAATTTATAATTACATATAAATGTTACAGTTTAATAATGGGTTCCAAATCCTTTATGTTTAATTACCTCAGCGCATCTTTTCGCCATGGAATCGATTAACTTATTAATATATTCTAAGCTTACGTTTTTCCACGTTATTTTTACGGCTTCGATTAATTCTTGTTTTGAATTGAAACCTCTCTTAATTGACGATCAATATGGTCCCAAAGATTCTCAATAGGATTGAGATCGGGACTCTGAGCAAGCCATTGCTTTACAGGTATTTGTTCCTTTAAAATCCAATCTTTGCAACTTTGGCTGTATGTTTGGGGTCATTATTGTGTTGAAAAGTCCATCTCAGCGGCATATTATCTTCAGCAAAAGGAAGCATCTCTTCTCTTAAAATACGAAGATAAAGAAATCTGTCCATTATTCCATCAATAACGTGGAGTGGTCCTACTCCGTCACCGGAAAAACAAYCCCAAAACATAGCGCTGCCACCACCATGTTTCAAAGTCCCTTTTGTGTATTTAGGATTAAATCTTTCCTGTTTTGGTCGTCTTACCCACTGAATTCCGTCTGAGCTATGCAGATTAAACTTTGATTCATCGGAAAATAACACATTTTTCCATTGAGTAGGTGACCAATTTAAATGCTCTCTAGCAAATTCCAATCTGCGCTGTCTATTTTTGGCAGAAATAAACGGTGTCTTTGCTGGTTTTCGCCCGTAGAGTCCAAATTCATTCAGTCTTCGTCGAATGGACCTCACTGATATACCCACATTTGGAATTTGTTCTCTGATTTTTACAGCAGATAAAAATGGATTATTTTGAGAAAGTCTTTTAATTTTTTTATCAGTCTCGTTATCCGTTTTACGCGGTCTTCCACTTTTTGGAGCACTTACTACAGTTTTTCTTTTTTTAAATAAGGCAATTATTTTCGATACAACACAGCGATTTAAGTTCAATTGCTTGGCAATGTCAATTTGTTTCTCACCCGCCTCAAATTTGTCTATAATTAGTTTTCTCAAGTCTTGAGACAGTTGTTTACCTTTAGGCATAATTACAACTCTTTAAAGAACAATTTTTGTAGGAACTGTTTTGCACCGACGTTGTAATTAACTTTACAATAGGTAAAATGAAAATGTTTCTTTACTTTTGTCCTTAGCAAAATAGTAAAAAGTTCACTGTATGTAGAAACATTATCCAACTTGACCAAAAAACTTATAAAAAATGATCTTAAGTAGAAGTAAGTCTAGTGCACATAAATCGTTTTCGTTCTCATACTTATATGAAAAATAAATAAAAAAATCAATTGTTTCTTTACTTTTGGCCGGCACTGTACATCTACTAAAAATTGTAGTTTATGTTTTATTTGTCAAAAATTGACATCGGAAATAGCACAGAAAGTTGCTATAGAAGAAAAATTTTCAATTTTGAGTGCAATGTGCACAACTTTATTTTCAGCATCTGTAAAAAATAAATGTCTCCTACATTTCTATTATCAATGAGTCAAACGAATTTATTCTTCACTTTTGATTGAATTTATCTTCGACCTTAGGCAATTCCATTGATTGTTTACGATTCGATTCGTCATTTCTTACTTAAACATCAATTATCAAACACTTAAAAATCGTCGTTTCCTTTTCCCTTTTTTATTGACACAAGTGGTGAAAAAAGCGTCAAATATTTTGCTCAAACATCGCCACGAGTGAAGGCCATTCCTCTCTCGCGAGAAGAATTATTCGATTTTTTTTCCCTCTTATTTGCCTACGAGAGCAATAATAACAAGGCATAAAATCAAGAGCCATTAGAATGGTCAATAATCCGAACGGTTGGAAAAATGCCGCTTTCGAGCGCCTAGAGCCACTCCGGCGAGCACCCACTCGCCACGACGTTTTCCTGAACTGGTGCTAATTGACAAAAGCGCGGAGAAATTTATTGCCCAATAAAATTATACAAATTTTTACGTTGAAACTTTGAAATAAAAAATAAAACGCCCGGGGAAACACACAATAATGCTTAAATTTTTCGGCGACTTGATTTCGCACCTGGAAGAGGAGGTATCCGTTTTCGTACATCCAGAAGTCGCCGGGGTCGCCCCTGCAGCCCTCCTTCCTGACGATGATGGCCAGACATTGGTGTAGGAGCACTCTGCACTTGGGGCCCTTCGAGGTCATGTTTCACTGCAATTAAAATGCAATTGTTTTTAGTGCGCAAATGCTTTCATTTCACACATGAAAGTCCGCAACAGAACAGAAATTTTGCTCGCAGACATACGCATACAGAGAAGAAAAGAATAAGATGACTCTCTCTTTATCTCTATAAAACCGCAATGAATTAAGCACGGTCGCGAGAAACGAGAGTAAATTCGATCGGAGACAACCTAATTTTTCATTAACGATCTTGAAAATTTATTTTCGTGGTCAGGAAAAAAGTTTTCTTTTATTCAATTGGCGATAGGAGGCGCAAAAACGCGTGAAAGGCGAGTGAACTATCGGCGATTCAGACCAAAAGCTAAAAAATCACTAATTCAATATCATTCCTTTTTTTACATATTTCTAATAAAATCAGTGAAAGTGTTAATGCGTTTAATTGATTTTTGAACTATTTAACTCATTAATTTGGAGATTAGAACGTTCACATTTTTCTGTATTTTTGTAATTTGTGCTTTTTAGGTTACCATTAGGCTTGCTTGAGAAAGATTTTGCAAAAAAATGCGTTTATGGCTGAAAAATGAACTAAATCGAGCAATATTTTTAACCAAATTTAATGATTTTTTGGCTGGTTCAAAAAGTAAATCAAGCAAACAGACCATGTACAACTACAATTGCGATCTAATTTAGCACTTTTCTTGACAAAATCTCGCAAAAAACGGCGATTTTATATCAAAAACGTGTTCAAACTCTTGAAAAACGCAAAAAATAACACAATTCTCCATGTTTGTTGTCTTGTTCAAAAACATTTTTGCGAAAAATGTAAAATCTTGCTAAAAATAGAGTAGGTATTTAGCTCAAAAAGGTGCCCGAACACTAAAAAATTTTTTTTAAATTATTCAGTAATTTTTTCAGTTTGTTTTAACGAAATCTTGCTCARAGTCGAGCTAAATCGAGTGAAACGATCAAAAATAACGCCAATGTCGATGTAATTTAATGATTTTTCGCCCGGTTTTGACAAATTCTTGCAAAAATTGCGATTTTGTTTGAAAAACTTGATCAAATTTTCGAAAAAGCCAAAAATAACACTTTTACGACGTTATTTGGTAATTTTTCGGCTTACTAAACTTTGGCGTTTCTGTCGAAAAATACAAACTAAATCCCTCAAGAGAGATTAAAATCACATGTCAAGCCTAATATGTTTTGGTTTACCATTACGCTTGCTTGAGAAATATTTTGCAAAAGTGCGTAAATCGAGCAAAAGAGACCAAAAGAACAATATTTTTAACCAAATTTGGTGATTTTTTGGCTGATTCGAAAAGTAAATCAAGCAAAATAGACCAAAATAACTTCAATTACGATCTAATTTAGCAATTTTTTTGGCAAAATCTCGTAAAAACGGCGATTTTACATCACAAACGTGTTCAAACTTTTGAAAAACGCAAAAAATAACACCATCCTCCATCTTTGTTCCTTGTTCAAAAACAGTTTTGCAAAAAACGTAAAATCTTGCTAAAAAATAGAGTATTTAACTCAAAAACGTGCTCGAACACTAAAAAATTACATTTTTTAAAATTATTCAGTATTTTTTTTAGTTTGTTTTAACGAAATCTTGCTCAAAGTCGAGCTAAATCGAGTGAAACGATCAAAAATTTAAAGATATTTCGTACGGTTTTGACAAATTCTTTCAAAAAATTGGATTATGTTTGAAAAACTTGATGAAATTTTCGAAAAAGCCAAAAATAACGCTTTTACGACGTTATTTGGTAATTTTTCGGCTTATTAAGGCAAAACTTTGGCGTTTCTGTCTTAAAAACAAACTAAATCCATCTAGAGAGATTAAAATAATAATATCTAAGTAAGTATATTATTTTATTAGAAGTAAAAGTTCAGCTGAATTATTTGCAAAATAAACATTAGGACTCACTTTTATTTCAAATAACATATACTCAGCGAGAGTAATAAAGAGCAACACTATAATTAGCAAGTAAATGAACAAAATAATCAGGACACTTTGCAAGTATTCAAATTATAACAATAACGCTTATCAAACATCACGCGTTAATACCGGAATTTATGTTGAGATTTTTGAAAGTGTTTATTAATTTAACTAGTGCAGTTAGTAGGACAAAATGTCAAATGCTACAATGTGCCTCTCCACAAATTGCTGAAGCAGCAAGAGATAAGAAAGAAACACCGTTGGTCAATAATGTCATAGTAAAAGTAAAAACGCTTAGGTTGGAAGATATTACTTGTGACATTTAGTCATAAAAGTGGTCACTTCTGTGACGTTTGCGGATAAAATGTTCCTTTAGTTTTTAATTTGCGAATTAATTGCGGCGGCTTTCTCATATTTTATCATGGAAACTAAAATTTCAATTCAACTGTCATAAAAAGAATGGAAAGTATAATAAACCCAAGATTGATATATCACGAAATGTCATTTTGGTCGTTTTTTAACAAAATAATTGCATCATTTTAATTTTTACCTTGTCGGGTGAATAACAATAACAAAATTAAAGTACCATTAAAGTTGTTCAAGGCTAATTAATTTTTTTACGGACATAATGAAGCAAGAAGAATGAAATTATGGCCATCCAAATGATTTTTTCATGCTTTGTAAACAGTTATATAAGGTCCAGAGTGACATAACGTGCTTCCTAATGTGCTAAGTGCAATTAATTGGATTTCATAATTATTCAAACACGACAAAACCTTCGTTATATTTGAACAACGACAGTTTGCAAGTCACAGTTGTGCAAGAAAAAAGCGTCAAGAGTGAAACCTGCTAATAACACTCTTGTAACGTGAAATAATAAAAAAGATTTTTCAAATCAGAGATTTTCAATATGTGGAACTTTCTCAACGGTTGTGAAAAAAACCAAACGTGTGCATTATGATAATTAATTTTTTCGTCGGATTTTAATTAATTTTTGATTGGAGTAATAAAAATAGTATCAACTTTTCCTCTTTGATCTATGAATAGAAATTCTAAGAACGCCCATCTAAATAATGACCGTCTTCCCGAACAAAGCTCATGAAAGTGATGGACAGATTTGTGAAGAGTAAAAAACACACGAGTTCCCAATTATTCAAGCTTGATTACCGGCAATATAATAGCTTCCGTAATATGACAAGCTCGTAACCGATCTGATTTGGAGAAAAATGCAAAATTCTTAGTGGTTTCCCACGAAAAAAATGATTGTTCAAGTGCCAAAGGTCGCGAATTTGTTGGTTTTGACACGGAATTTTCTAATTGTAGAAAGTAAAAATCGTGGAACAAAACAATCACGGCCGTAAATGTTTTATTTGACTAATAACTCGGATTTATTGTTTTAAAGAGAAGATATGTGGAAAAGTACTGAAACGAACGAGTTTACACGTCTGAAAAAAAGTAGAGCAGTATCACAAACCGCAATAAAATAATTTATTGAAAATTAGTCAAATCTTGGAATTGGGGAGTTGTCCACCGTTATAATAACGGAGCAGATCAGTTTCGGGCAAAAATCGTTGTTTCGTTGGGTAATTGGCCCACGCAAGTGCTCCATTTCCAGCACCAAAGCTGAAAAAGTGTCCGCTTTGATTGGAAAGTAAATTAAAACGGCTTCTAATTGCCGGTTTAGCATCGATATAGGCTATTAATGAGAGTGACTGTGTAATTCGCCGTGTGTTTATTTTGACGAAGCACGTACGTGACTAATGTCCAAAATTCGTCCTTTCTTCACTTTCCTGATTTTTTTTTCAGCGGCACTCGAGCGTAAATTTCTGAAATTCGAGTCAAGTCGTCATAAATGACACAATAATTATCCAAGTGAATGTAACAAGAGAAAATTATTATAATAGCTTCAATTGTGTTGTTACCGATGCCGGTTTTGACCACACTTTTAACTAGAAAGGGGGTTCGTTGTTTTTGACAAAAGATTTAGAATGTTGGAGGACCAGCGATCTGTCACTGGTAGAATAATGAGCAGTCGAGTAGAAAAACGGCCATGAAATTGCCGTTAAAAAATTATTGGAAAATTACGAACGCAGTTATTGGCAACTTTAATTAAATCACATGTAAATTGAGGTTTTTAATGGTGCTAAATTTTCTCTAACAAATTATCAAATGGTTTCCGTTTAATCCGGACTTTTATTTAGTTTTTTTTTTAATTCATCAGCTTGTTTTCCTGTCGACTCCACTGAGTTTACACGACGTTCTAATCAACAGGTGTTTCAAACAAACTTGTTATCTGCGCTACTGGACAAGAGTTTTAATTAGACAATATTTCACACACGGAGAAAGTTAAAAAAAATCAATTAAACTAAATGAATTAAATTTTTTTTGTAAAATTCAACAATGTTGTCATATATTTAATTTCAGCTACATGTGCTCGTAACATATTTTTTCTAGAAAATTTTTAAATATGAAATTCTGAAATAGGGTTTTTCTCAAAACTTGTGGAATTCGAGTAAAAATTGCCCAATTTTTCCAGGCTTTTCTAAAGGTAGTTTGGAATAAACTGAAAATATTGAAAAATTAAAATTTTATAGTATTATAAAAAATGAAATAAAGTTCAAAAACAACAGAAACAATCAAGTCAAGAACACATTTTTATTATCCTTTTATTTATAATTAAAATAATACTGTTTTTGCGTTTTTATTTGATCAAATTTCTACTTGTTCAATTTTCTAAGGTTGATTTTGACAAAAATCGAAAAATATGTTTAAAAATGAAAGGAGACGAGTGCTTTTTTTTAATAACTCAAAAATTATTACTAGTACTAAAAATACACTGAAAAAATATAAAATTGTAAACATATTGTGAAATAGGTCATTCTACCGCCTGCAAGAATGATTCTTATTGAAATATTATTAACTTTGTACCGTTTCAAAAACGGGTTTGGTTTTCTTAAAAGTCGCCGATTTTCAATAAAAATGACTCAATTTAAGCTTTTTTAAGAGAACAAAGGCAAGAAAAAATAGCAAAATAAACATGCACTAAAAACAAAGAGGTGTCAAACACAGCAAAATACTTTTTTAAGAAAGT